CGATCATGCTGATTTTCGAACTTGACCTGCGTTTTATGAATATTCATCAGCTCTGTAAATATAAAGCCAAAAAGTAAAACTGCCTTCCACTTATCGTGCTCTGTGTCTGTACATAAAAATTAATCGAGTAAAATAATGCATTTGCAGATACTTCTTTAGGAAAGGAGGATTTGCAAAATTTTGATGTATTGTGCTATAAAAACTTGTTCTAAATTGCTTTAAAAAACTTTTTCATTAAAACAAAGAAATGATGGAATTACTTTTAATTTAATTATTTTTAGGCAACATTCAATACTGTATTCCATTTTTTCATGGTGAAAAGAAGTTGGGAGTTAGTTTTCTCAACTATGAATTGACACTGAGGTGTTGGCCTCAGCATATACTAGATCTGATGATCTTTATTACAAACATTATTCTGGTGACATTTTATCAACAGGTCACTGTGAGTTAGTCATGCATTAGTTGCATGTGTATCCATTTAACCTTAAAGCTAAGATAATAGCTGCTGGCAATAACATTTTCCCAGAAAATCCCCTATGTTTGTTTCAAACAACCATTATTCCCTATTATTCTCTACAGAACTTAGAGAGTAATAAGATATTTTTCCATGAATATCTATTAACTTGGTTCAATGTAATCTAACTGGAAATTGCACTAGAATTCCAATTACATGAAAATATGCACGTGCACATACACGTACACAAACAACTGATCTATTCATACTGGATTTCAAACATGGAAATTGTCCATTACCTTCCTAAAAATTAAATTATGCACTTGTATTCATTTGCAGAAAAAAGGGAAAATTAACATATGATTATATGTCCAAGAAAAGAGCTAGTAAATATGTAAAACATCTTCTGTGTGTGGTTCTATGTGTGTGTGTGTGTGTGTGTGTGTGTGTGCGTGCGTGCATATTTAAGGGGACATTTTCTAATGGTAATTAAGAGGCAAACTATGTTGACTCAACAAATTCTACTTGAAATTCTGTGGTAAAGCATGCATAGTGGATGTTTTATTTGTTATATGTGTGAAATGAAATTATAACTCATGGGTTTTAATTTTAGCCCTCAGTCCTTTATCAGTCAAAATTATTCAAGATTTTTACACTTTAGAATCAACAATGATAAATCTATGCTGAATATGTTTTGAACAGAGCATATTTGGAGATTAAAGACTGTAGAACACCCAAGGCTCCATTTAGGCGACTCTCAAACTTCATGGCAGTGCTATTAGGTGGTCAATCTCACAAACCATTTTGATACAGACAAGCGTAATGCACAATGTGAAAAGGGACATAAAAACAACAAGAATGTACTTTTGTAGAGAAATCAAACTTGATTTCTTCTTTCATTGTAATTAAAAAGCTGTCGGTTGTCCATTGTCTTCTATTTTATTTCTAAAGCCAACAAAGTTAAATGAGTGCATTTATGTTATTCTTAGTGAGCTACTTTACAAATACTGTTATTTTTATTGATGGCATAAAAAATGCATGCAACCAGTCTTTTTATCAGTGAAGAGTGCAACCCAGTTGTCCTTGTTCTTAATTCTTATCAATCAAAATTTATGTCAACAATCAAATGCAAGACTTCTATTTGTATCTTGATTTCTTAGAAAGAAATGCTTTCATTATGATCTCCAGACTCCATGACAAAACACATCAAATCAGAGTTTTCAAAGCCATGTTTAGCGAACTCGAATGCTACACTTTTTTAGTGAAAAGATAATGGAGATAGATTAAGCCATAGTGTACTATTTAAATAGCTTTAATCCAAATATAATAACTATTAATCACCCAGGGTACAATGCGGGTGCCATTGAATACAACATGGTGCAACTCTTTACTTTATTTTTTCAGTTTTTTTTTTTACTCAATGACGTGTTATATGTCAACCTGACCGACCATTTTTTAGAGTGATTTTATGCATGTTTGTGATATTATCTTTTTTTACTACTTTCATCCTTAAGGTGGAAGATAAATAAATAAATAAATAAATAAATAATCAACAAAATAACAGCTTCTATTTCATTTGTGTAAAGATCTAAAATGTGTTATTCAATATATTTGTTTTCGTATTAGTTGAAAACGACAAAGCAGGCCCTGGAAAAGCAGTGCAGATGCCAAAAATAACCATAGGTCCTTTTTACATTGTGTTACAACTATCTTTATTGAAACACATAGACTATTTCTAACATCTTATTGTGCTAGGTGGAGTTTCAGAAGTTTGCTTCCATCTGTTACGGCCAAGAAAACAAATCTGGTTAGGGTGACGGTTTCAGTGTAGGGGATCCATTTAGGCGACTCTCAAACTTAATGGCACTGCAATTAAGTGGTCAATCTCTCAAACCATTTTGATACAGACAAGCGTAATGTACATTGTGGAAAGGGACATAAAAACAACAAGAATGTACTTTCGTACAGAAATCAAACAAAGGCTAAACAGAGTTCAAATCAATACATAGGCACTTAAATTACAACTTGGGAAAACCACTTGAACCTTTGTTCTATAGAAATTATTCCTGTCATTTGTGGCAGCACAATTACTACTAATACAGTTCTTGAAATAATATCTATGTTTCAGTGGATTGTTCCAGTGTTTATCTGAGGCAATGAGTACAAACCTACTGCGTTTTATATAATAGTTATATTTATATCCTATTTAGGTGTATCAATCAAAAATAATATGCTACATCCTCTTCAAAGACATCCTCATGATTGCCTCTTTGTTAAGCCAATAAAGAGCTCTAAGTTTACTGACAATGGTGCACTTGGATTCATTGGTGCTTTTTCAATAAAATGGGCATAATAAACATACCTGTGAATCACAACTAAAAGGGAGAAACTGCTGTCAAACTGTCAAATAAAAATCTTTTCACACCACTTGCTGATAACCACTGTGGTAAGGCTGTATCTTAGACCAGTATTCAAAGGGGGGTAATGTAAGGACAGAATGACAGAGGGAACAAAACATTTGGTGCCAATCTGCAGCACCACTACCTCATTTAAATACATCAATAAATTATACTGTTTCCACTCCCCAATAAATAAATAAATAAATAAATATTAATGTAAAAAATACATGGTTTGGTAGTTATGCCGTGAATGTTTTTCAAATAAATGCCAGTAATAAATGTTTTTGAGAGGCTTCTGCATTTTAGAGTTGATGATTCTGTATCACTTTTTTGATGCTAACAAACATTAAAAGAGGTGACCTTTGATTTTGAAGAGTGGATCAAGGTGATATAGTTTGAGGAAGCCATAACAAAACTCTCAATTCTAAGTTTGGTTTTCCAAACAAGTAGATCCCCTTATCAAGTAATCCCACAAACAAACACTTTATAACATATATCAAACAGATGCTTGGGGTCACCTCCAACTGGTCTTTTTCATTGTAACAGACGAATACATTTCAAAGAAACTCTACTATTGATCTTTTTATTTAAATTTTGGAAATTATCATTATTTTGGAGGCAGCACACCAGTTCACACTACATCAAAATATTGCTTCATGTGAACAGGCTCCTAACACATTTTTTGTGTGTCAAAACATAATTACATTGTCCTGACCTCACCTAGTACAGGACTTTCACCCCATCTTATCCTGAAGCTATGCTATTGCAAGGTTAATCATGCCTGTACTGTATAGCAATTAGACATTACTTTGAGGTATGGAGTGTCCTCCTGTAATCATTCATAATTACGCTCAGATCTCAATTTGGTGTGGCACACTTGTCCTTCAGTTCACCTCATGCTGGTGCAATTATATATACATATAATAATAGTCATGCAGGGAAAAAGTAGGAAAATGGAAATAACTGATTCCAAGAATTGCTTTGTATTTTCATGGAGTCAGCCAGCTTTATGCAGTATAAAACTATGTATATGTTGTTGTGCTTATATGAAGTGCAAATATGGTTCACAAACACATTCACTAAACTTTTATCTAATAGAAATATATTTTTAACAAATGTTTACAAATGTCAAAATAGTTTATTTAATAAATAACACAATACTTTGCATTAAGACCACACTTCTTTAATCTATTTTTTTAATGGATCGACAGCAGAATAATTCACGAAAAAAAAATCTCATAAATTTGAAATTCTATTCCACATTACTGAAATCTGAAAAAATAAAAATTTCATTCCTTTTCCACAACACTGGAATCAAAAATTTTTAATGATGTCATTTTTATGCCATGACTATGCAATCCTTAAATATAATATTTTTTTAAAAAAAATCTTGTCTTTATACTGAACACATGTTAAAAAACAAAACAAAAAAAATATATAGATTGACTTTACCTTTTCCTGATTTTTAAAAGATTTTGACAATATGTGCAGAGCAGAATTTAGATAAATTCAAATAACTAGTAAAACACAGATCTTAAAAATGACTAAACTTGAAGCCATTGCCATGTAATAAATTGATTGTATATGCAGGTAGCTCTTTAAAAATTTAAATCATTAACACTGAATTTTGTCATGAGCTAATCTTGCTGAAATTATCATATACATAATATATGTTTTGCTTGCCAACATCAGTAACTTATTTTCAGTTAGCAGGTTGCAAATAAGCAAAGATCATAAAAAAAAGAAATGGCAAACAATTAGTTGCAAAAGCATGTGCGTGCAGATACAGTTTGCAGGGAAGAATATGACATGCTGCATTTCATATCCCTGGCACAGGGCTGTTAGTACATTGCAGATTAAAAAAAACCTCCTAATGCAGGTTTAATTATTAGGGACATTGACCCTCTACCCTCCAGTTCATTACTAGGGACATTGACCCTCTACCTTTTAGTTCATTACTAGGGACATTGACCCTTTACCCTTTAGTTCATTTCAGCCACTAAGCTCTCCTTGCCTGTTGTTAGTCACTAGGGACACAGAGCCTCTGCCCTGGACTTCACTGTAGTTGCCAAGGCCTTTGTGCCTATATTTTTCTGCTTGACACTAAACCCTTAATGCACTGCAGGGGTTATGGCCTCCTTACCCACCTTCTCTTCTAGAATCTGGATTTTTTCTTGTTGCTTCTGTACTGTTTCTTTCAACTGCAATGAGAAGGAATTGGTATAATATAGTTTTAATTTGTTTCTCAAGGCACTACATCAGCTAACCCATGTACTCTTGATTATGTGTACTCTTTCTGTATCTATAGCAGAACAGCTACAGTTATCAAACCAATTGAAAAGAAGCCATGCATTAGACTAATTAATTATCATTACAAGACACAATTTCCCCAACAACAGTGAAAGAGAATTCAATTCCCTTAGGAACCATTTCCATTTATATACCATATTTTTTCAACTAATCACTTGAGTAAAAGCTGACCAATTTGCAAACATATTCCTACATTTCACAACACTTGATAAGATAAAGACTTCACTCAATATGTGTAAAGTGTTTCACATCTAATTCATTAGTATAATTACAAACACAAATGGGGGTGATAAGGTAAAATCAAAACTTTTCTTCCAACAGTAACAACATTTTCCTTTGACAAAATACTTCATATGCTCAAAGTTCTCAAATGGCTTATATTATCATTTTCTGGAAAAGCCAACAAACTGCTAATTTATAGATACAGATGCATGTGAATTTATATCTATGAAAATACACATATTCCTTAGAAACTAAATGACAATATTAATAGCACTAGCCCAGCTTATTATCCCAAAGAAAAGCTGCAATTAAGATCCAGGCCCCTAAAAGTCATTATAAGGGATGTGACACATAATCAAATAATGTAGCATGAATAAAATATACCAGTAATGGCTATATTAGATCACACTTACTAGCAGTTTTTGAAGCGCAGCTTTTTTTTCCACTGATTATGGTAATGACTCGATCGTTTCGATGGGGAAAATTTGCCAGTCTCAGATATTAATTTTTTTTAATCATTAAAATGATGTTTCTATGTGGCAATAGTGGTGCCTTTACTGTATGGAATAGAATTATAATGGTTGACTGCTTTTCAGTTTTGTCTCTTTCACTCAGGAGGAATGTTGCAATTTTAAGAATTTATGACTTGAAAAAAATTGGTATCTGTAAAATTCCCAATTTTCCCCACTGAAAAGATTGAATATTTACCTTATTCAATTTATTTCTTTAAAACAAACAGACCCACATAAAATCTACAAATGATATGTTGCACAATAGTCAATTAAAAGTTTTAAAATACTACTTACAGTACTTACCAATGTCACTTTTAGGATCAAACAAGTAAAGGCCCTTTACTAAAAACCAAATCACATTTTAATCCCATTAAAAAGAAGTTGGAATCCCAACTGGAATGAAAATGTCATTAACTAATGACAAAAATCATTACCATTTTATTTTCTTCTTCCAATGCTTCTATTCTTTGGTGCAGTTCAGCAAAGGAGTCTGTACTATGGCGGCTGTTATTGCCCTGTAAAAATGCAAAGGTATATAGTTTGGAGATATAAAAAATAGAAATGAATATGTACTAGTCTAAGGGATCATTCATAATGGCACTAAAATACTAGGTAGTACAGCATATTAAATATGTTTGAAAAAATGCATTTTAAAAATACTAATCAGTTTTAATGTGCTATTGATATTTTAACAAATACATTAATTATTAAGAGCTGAAAAATATATGTTAACATCTTAGAAACTTGAAGTTTTAATTTAAAGTTCAGCATTGAAAAGAATTAAGGGATATTATTTCTATTTGTCTTAGAGTTAAATATCATAATCTGACCGAAACACTCAACCTTCAAGGAGGACCCATACAAAAAATTAAGTCCTTTTAGGAACTGACTACCACTCTACAAACTTCTGACCATCATTTCTATTTGTTTCAGGCATTATTCTATTGCTAAGAATACAATAATCAACTTATCGACTCATTTTGAATACTAAAATGCTGGCAACTTGGCAGGTGCTGCAGCCCTCAGAAAAGACAATTAGTACAATTGTTCTTCATCCTTTTTATACACATAAATGCATTCTCATTTGTGTTTTTCTAAATCGAAATCGTTAAAGAGACACAATTTCCAGGACCTATAGATGAATGTCAAGGCTATAGAGGTTGATGCAGCACTCACACCCTTTCTGTATGTTCACAGTGTTGTTGAAAGCTGACCCAGTAATGAGACATTATCATGAGTGTCCTGTTAAATAAGCACTTAAATAAGACAACCAGTAGATGCAGTATATATGATCATATTACATTAATCATGTGCACAGGACAAACTGTGGTTTTCAATTCTGTTTCAACAATGGATTAGCCATACAAATGTTAGAATTCTGTCAGAATATATCATTTTTCCTAAATGATAAACACTACATTCAGATTACATGTGACCTTTTCAAATGATAAAGACGGTTTTGCCTGCCTTATGAAATGTTGTTTTGGTTTAAATCTATATCCACAATATTTTAATGTGGCACTGCTATCTCAGGGTAAATATTTCTGACAATGATTGGAAACAAGGAAAATGTTCTGTTTTGTGGATTCACTACATACATCTCACTCTTTTAATTTTATTAAAACTGACTAAAACCTTCACAAGTCTCTGGACAATTTTCCGAAAAAAAAAAAAAAAAAATGAAGACTACCATTTCTCTTTTTGTGATGCTTGATCTAAAGCTGTCATGACTTGGTACATTCTATCAGCAGAAGAGCTGAATTCGTCCTCAAAATGCTGTCAGATGATTCAACATCATATCTGTATCTAAAAACATTATCAGAGAGCAGTAACCAGATATGATTTTTCCACACATTAAAGAGATGTTAGTCAATTAAAAAAAAAAGAATTTTCTACAACTATAGGGATTTGAACCTATGTAGATATTGTATATAACAAGGGACCAAAGGATGACAAACCCTTCTAAACAAGCCTAACAAATTTTACACCAAACATGACAAAACTGATAATGCTAACTAGACTGCTTAAGTTCATCATCTTCATGCAAAAACAAGGCACCTGTGATGGTTCCTGTTCTTTGTTCTTCTTGAAAAACTGGATTTACCTTATGTTATAAACATTGTATCAAAAAACACTGTTTTAATTTGTATACCAAAATAACAAGAGTGTTGACGATGTCCTCAGTATGTGCACACAAATCATTTTAAAACTTTTGGACATACTTATATGAAAGAGTTTTATTCATAGACTGTAGTTTTGCTTTAAACGCAATTCTACACAGATTTCAAAATCTTAACTAACCAGAAATTCTTCGCAAGTTTATGTAATTTTAATTTTTAGTCTCTGGTAGATGAAGGTAGTCTGTGAGAGTTGATTCAAGTCTTTCTGAACAATGTGGTTCTTTTTATAATTTTTGTTGTTGTTGTTGTTGTTCTGATTGTCATCATCATCATTATTATCAGGACAAGCGTCCTCAGCTTGAACCCAGAACTGAGATTGTTTACACTTTCACCACAAATGAAAGCTATGTAGCACCCACATCACATTTATTTTAGTTAGGTGTTTGAAAGTCATGGAAATCACCATTATCAAACGATACAGCAGTAATAATGCTAGGGGGATTTTTTTATGTTATTTGTTCCTAGACAGTCGCAAATGAATGGAAAACTACCAGCAAGTTTGAAATTTGAAAAGTCCTTGGCATTTGTGACAAAAGGTCTGAGAAGCCAAGAACAGCTATGATACTTTATAAGTACATCTAACATCTATATTGATTGATGAAGTCTACTCTTTGTATTTGTAGCATGCTGCTACATATACCGCTACTAGTTAACTAATTTTCATACTGTATCAGCCATTTTATTGTTCAATCCTCCAACACCCAAAAATAAATAAATAAATAAATAAATAAATAAATAAATAAATAAATAAATAAATAAATAAATAATTGCTAATATGACTGATACCTGAACTCTGGCAGATGGGATGGTTTGCATTAATCTATGTCATGTGAAATACTATACCTGGGAATGTGTTATACACAGGGAAAACTAAATAGAAGATAGGACCTATACAAGGGTCCCAAAGATAATGACAGACCTGTGATTTCTTTTTACCATACAATTTCCTTTTCATGTCAAAATAAAAAAAACAAATTGTGAAATTTAGTAATGGTTGCTCCATACAATACAGAAAACAAGTTAGGGCTTTTTATTAGAATTCTTAACTTGGTGAATGCCTAATGTATATACTATTGAGGAACCACCAAGAGAATGGACATTAAAACTCACCATGTTGGATTCAGTTATTTCTTTTTCTGCTCCTGTTTCACTTTTTATGACAGACTGAGACAAGTTTAACTTTGGAACCACAGGAGGACTTTTACCATCCACAGGTATAAACTCTGCATCTTCCAGTTCCTGAAACAATCACAGTACTATCAATATCAATTAATTTAAGCCTGACATTTATTCAGATCAATAATATAAGATTTAAATTTTAATTTAGCTCTCTTCACCTTACCAAAATGTTTGGCCTGAAAAAAAGGGTTCATTTTGCTAATATTCTAGTAGTAGTAGTGGTATTCAGGAAACTTAAAACAGAAATTGCAACAACCATGATTTTCCAGCAGTTGCCATGACAACATAAAGAGGAAATTTAGTGTTAACATATTATAATAATGGTAGTCACACGTAAAAGCACCCACTGACCCCAAACTTAAGGATAATATTAACTGTTACAGTGAAGCATTGGCCCACGAAATTTATGATAAGCACTAGAAACAACATTTTTAACACACACACACAAAAAAAAAAATTACCTCAACATCCCTATTTGACCTTGAAAAGAGGTCAAAGGCCAACACAGATTTAAGGTTTGATTGATTTCATATGACATATCCCTTTTTACGTCAATATGACTATACCCATGATTTTTTAAATTTGATAATTATAATTTATTGAGATATTATACATATATGTTTTAAACAGAAAGGTTTTGGCAATGGTGCCTCCATACGATGACTGATCCCAATGTCATGTACAAAACCAAATAACTTAATATTTCAGTATTTCAGAATAGTCTATGAGTAGTGGTAGCAATTAATGTTTTATATGTGGAGGACATGTGCAGATAAGTGTGGGCACAGACGCTGCAGGCCAGATCCAAGGTACCTCACTACCTATGCTAGAGGTACAATTATTGGGAAAAGACTTACTGCTTTGAGCCAATCTGGCACTGAGTCCTCTACTCTCTTTGACTGTGCCACACCAGAGTCGTAACTTTTGTGGCGTGGGGATTCATCTTCCTCTGACTCAGCAAAACTGCTGTTAAAAACACTATCACATTGGCTGGCTTCTGTTTGAGCTTGCACTGAAAACAGGGAAATAAAAATCAACTTTTAACATCCTACCTCTCATTAATTTCATCCATGTTTACAAATAATAAATGCATGTTTTCCCTGAATGCTATAAATATTTAATAAATAAATGTTATAAATATTTAATAATTTGTATAAAAATATTTTAATTCCTGAATATCTTTGCTTCCCTGTATTTATGTCGGTAACGATATTCATGGTAAGATCAATTTCAGAATAAATAAAGCATCTCATTTTTTTATGTTTATAAATTAGATATATTATAAATTAAAAAGTATGAAGCACAAGCATGACAACAGTTGGTAAATAAAGGGCCTATATTCATGTCAAATTCTCTAGCTGTCTTAACATAAAAGAAAAAATTGCAAAAATATACTAGGTACATATGGCCCCCAACATTTTTCCAGGCTATGTAAGATTTAGTCCTTAGTCTGTTCCCATTATCATCTTTAATCTTGGCCTTTTCAAGTTCTACATAGTTAAATTTGAGAATAACCTTGATGAAATGATACTGCCATGACTTGTTTTTACATTGGCGGATGAAACTTTATGCCAAATGATGCAATAAAAAGGTGCATTTATTTGCAACTGCAATAAATCACAGATAGTTTGATCTAAATGCTATCTGAAGCTGCTTGCAATCAAGCAGGTGCGTACACTCCTCGAATGAAATTACAATTTTCAGAATAATATTCATGTTTGAATTACGTCTCTTAGGATAATCATTTAATTAATATAATTACTTCTGACATCATTTAGGGTTCAAACCCAATGAAAGTATCATTTTACATAGATCAATCCAACTCCACAAGGACTTTCGCTGAATGCAATCAGATTAATAGATGAACACGCCTCCTCTTGTTTCCAATGTACTCGTATAATCACTAGCTTTCTGTGTTCTAGCTAACAGCCAGGAGGAGGCATTTTAATCTGTTAATCTGATTGCATTCAGCAAGAGACTCTGTGAAATTGGATCGATTTGTGTAGAACAATAGTTTCATTGGGAATGAGCTCTTAGATCTAATTGCTTTCAATCTGTCAGTGTCTAGTATAACTACCATCCCAATGCAAATGAAGGCATTAACCATATCATATATAAATAAGTTTTAATCCAATGCAACTTGTTATTGCACAATAAGCAGACAAACCTAAGACAAGATGTTGTGGACATTCTGCTTTTGCGCTACTGTTACCGTCTTCCTGACAAGTGTGAATTTCTGTTTCACTTGCGATGATGGCCAGGTACGGTNCATTTAGGGTTCAAACCCAATGAAAGTATCATTTTACATAGATCAATCCAACTCCACAAGAACTTTCGCTGAATGCAATCAGATTAATAGATGAACAAGCCCCCTCTTGTTTCCAATGTACTCGTATAATCACTAGCTTTCTGTATTCTACCTAACAGCCAGGAGAAGGCATGTTAATCTGTTAATCTGATTGCATTCAGCAAGAGACTCTGTGACATTGGATCGATTTAAGTAGAACGATAGTTTCATTGGGAATGAGCTCTTAGATCTAATTGCTTTCAGCCTGTCAGTGTCTAGTATAACTACCATCCCATGCAAATGAAGGCATTAACCATATCATATATAAATAAGTTTTAAACCAATGTAACTTGTTATTGCACAATAAGCAGACAAACCTAAGACAAGATGTTGTGGACATTCTGCTTTTGCGCTACTGTTACCGTTTTCCTGACAAGTGTGAATTTCTGTTTCACTTGTGATGACAACCAGGTAAGTCAGCATGTTTCGAATTGACTGATATAACATAAGACCGTTGTTCATATGAGAGTTTGGGTTTATGGGTAAGTATGGGAAAATTGTCCTTTACCCCAGAAAAATCCATTTTTTGGCCAAAATGAACAGTTGTTATCCCTTTAACTGTTGTTTAGCAGCTTCAGTAGGCATGCCAGACATCTTAGCTGCTTAAGTTGAAACTTTCAAATCAAGTTCATAACAAGCTGCTTTTCATATAATTATACAGTAAGTATTTAATGCTTATTCCCTCATAAAAAGAAAAGTAAATAATCTTTAACATCTTAAACATAATCTGTGCATTTTTGACCTGACAGGGCATTACAAACCTCCAGACACAACTACAAGCTGTGAAGACACTGGTGGAACAACTTGTAAGAAGACAACATAGTAGGTATTTCTTCAACAGTGGACTCAATATTTTCATAAAGGTGAAACAAAGGGAGGATTTACCAAATATTCAGATACATTGCTTGAAATGGAAACTATACATTGGTATCAGGCATCAAGGAAAAAGGGCAGAATTTCTGATTAAATTTCATTTTAAGAGATTACTTCATGTGAAGAATTTGCCTCTTGTGAAAACAATACCATGATCATGTCATGAAAATTATTGATGCAAAATACTTGTATCAATAGCAGATTTTCAGAATTGGTAAATGTAGAAATATCCCAATCAAATTATAATCCTAGAGTAAATGTGGACATTAAGAGCTGTGGTCATATATGTACTTTAATACCTTAAGAGTCTATTTACTTATCTTTCTTCCTTAAAATTTTTTAAGTCCTACATAAGAACTATTATCTTAAGTTCCAGTTTTCCATGTTCATTCATCTGAGGGCCATTACAAACTTTCCTTCGACCAAGCCAAACAGATGTGCATTGAACATGGTGCCAAAATCGCAACACCAAACCAAATATGTGCTGCATGGGAAGATGGGCTAGATGTCTGCGCATGGGGCTGGGTGTCTGATCAGAAAGTGTACCTTCCCATCCGTTACCCTAGACCTGGCTGTGGGAGTCGCAGAGAACTGTTATCTTCACAGAAAAATGCTGACTTCAAGTCAGATGTTTATTGTTTCAAGTAGATACTTGAATATGAATGTACTACATAATATTATGTAAAACTATTCTTTTTAAGCAGCCAAAATATTGCTAAATAAATAGTAGATTTTTTGGTCAATTTTGACGCACTGAACAGCATAGTCGCCCCCAATTTTTTAATATTATGTACTGGCACTACTGTTACTGTAGATATTTAAAAAATGTAACAAGCACAGGATTTAAGACCCATGGGAATACTAAGTCACACAATGATGATGCCAATTTGGAAAAAAAAATTTTAACTTCATAACGTGAAAAAGTAAACCAATCCAGGGGATATTTGAATATGTTTACAAATAATAACTGTATGTTATCCATGGTTATTATAAATATCAAAATGAAACACAGACAAAATGAAAAAACTGATAGAAACAATGGAATCAATACATTTTACAACTAATATAATGATGACAGTGTATTAAATTATTTTTGATCAATTGTGATGCAAGATAACATAATGTTCAATTACATAATAACTACCAATTTTAATAATGTACTACTATTACAACTGCACCCTATATACAGTAGTTTTATCCTACGCTCCCTTCATACACTTGCTCGTGACCCTCACTCCAAATGATTGATGTGCAGCCATCCAATCAAATCAAATTAGTAGACATGTCTACTAACCAATAAGATGACAACAGAAGACATGGGTGAGGGTAAAATACAGGTCATGCTGTTCTTGATTGTGGTAGTTGTCTGATTGCAGTGGGTGGAGGCAATATAACCTGATAGATCTATATTGTGCATGTTGTATCAGACAAGTTAGGTGAATTACAGTAAATCTCACAATGTTTTCCAAAAATTTAGAAAATGTAACTAGCACAGGAATTATGCCTATGCAAATTCAAACTCATACCTGGAAAATACTTCATGAAAAATAATCTGATCAGCATCTGTTTTTAAGTCTAATGAATCTAATATAGTGAAGAACATTTTTTGCTGAATGGAGCATACTGTGGTCCCAAGGTTCTATGTTATCACATCTGGAATTGAATCCCCTTTTGTATCATCTTATTTCAGTGTTTTTCTTAGTTTGGTTATCAGAATGTTTTTAGCTTGTTGAAAGCTCACATAGATGATGTTTTCTAGATAAATAATTTTGTCTCCTAAAATTGCATTTTTGATTCCTGAAATTTCTGCTTCATTGTTTTTCTGAGTAAAAATATTAAGTCCCGAAATCTATGTCTCCCTGTGTTTTTCTGAGTAACAATGTTTTAATTCCTGGAATCTTTGCTTCCCTGTATTTTTGTCAGTAACAATATTCATGGTTAGTTCAATTTCAGAATTACTAAATCATCTTAAAAAATATGAAGCACAAGCATGACAACAGTTGGTAAATAAAGGGCCTATATTCATGTCAAATGCTCTATCTGTCTTAACATTAAAGAAAAAATTGGAAATATAAACTAGGTACATGTAGCCCCCACCATTTATATGTAAGATTTAGTCCTCAGTCTGTTCCCATCATCAGCTTTAATCTTGACCTTTTCAAGTTCTGCATTGTTAAATTTGAGAATTTCCTTGATGAAATGATAGAGCTCTGGCTTATTTTTACATTGGCTGAAGAAACTTTATGCCACACGATGTGATAAAAAGGTGCATTGTCTGTTAGTGTCTAGTATAACTGCCATCCTGTGATATGCAAATGATGGCATTAACAACAACATATATAAATAAGTTTTAATCCAATGCAACTTGTTATTGCACAGTTAGCAGAAAAACTTAACACAGAAGGATGTGGAAATTCTGCTTTTGCGCTATTGTTACTGCCTTCCTGACAAGTGTGAACTTCTGTTTCACTTGCGATGCCAGCCAGGTAAGTCAACATGTTTCGAATTTACTGATATAACGAAAGACCTATGTTTATATGAGAGTTTGGGTTTATGGGTTTCCTTCAGTCAATGCCAAAATTGAAAACAAAAATATAATACTTGGCAAAACATATCTAAGTCTGCATTCACTTAAACCCATCATATCATCATATCTAACTCTGCCAGAGCTTCTTACTTAAGTGCTTTCAAGTATACTCAGTTAAATTGTCTGGCATGCCTACTCAAGCTGCCAATGGAATAATTAACTATCGTGTACATGCTCCCTAAGTTTATGTGAACACTTCTTAAGTTTCTTCCATTGTTCAAGACGTACCTGCATTCACTTTTTGAGCCAAAATTTTATCCTACTAACATTCAGTCGACAAAATTGTATTTCACAAAAAATGTAATAGGTCAATTATCTTATAGTCTTAAAAAGAAACTTATCTTAACTTTAATTAAAATTAAATAGTAATTAAAATTACTATGAGGAAATTGAGAGTAAACACAACACTGTTGATTGAGCCAGATTTGTATCCTTTTGTAGTTTGTACTGCAATTTTAAAATCAAGTTCATAACAAGCTGCTGCTCATATAATTACGTATATGGTAAATATTTAATGCACAAAGATACGCATAAATATTCCCACATAAAAATGAAAATGAATAATTTTAAAAATCTTAAACATCATCTGTGCATTTTTGACCTGACAGGACATTAGAATCATCCAGAAACAGTATGTGAAGATAATGGTGGAACCAAGTACAAGAAGGAAATACCGTAAGTATCTTCAACATTTGATTCAACATTTTCATAGGGGTGAGACAAAGGGGAGGGGGAGGGGAAGGAAAATTAGCCACAGAAAAAAAAATCTTTAAAAAAAGATTCAGATACCTAAAATGTTTAAAAGGAAAAGGTGAAGCAGATATTAGGGATCAAGGAAAAAGGACTAAACTCCTGATCGAAGTCCATATTTAGAAATTATTCACGAGAGAAATTCGCCTCCTGTACCTAAAAAAAAAAAAAAGGGGAAAAAAATCATGGACATGAAAATTATCAATACAAAATACTTGTATCAAAAAGAGATTTTCAGTTTTGATTGAGTTTAGTCTTTATTCCAATTAACCATGTTCTGGTATTATGAATGAATTTTACTCCTAATTATTTGTCCCAAAAGAAACGCCAAACCCCTTCAGTCATTTTTAACTAAATTAACAAATAAATATAGGATAAAGTATGGAATCCAAGTGCAGACATGGGTCAAGCAGTAATCGGTGAGAAGGAGAAAATTGCCCTTTCTCCCCAAGAAAATTCATTTTGGTGGGAAAATCCTATGGAGTTGGCCTTTAAAAAACTCTATTCTTGTTTTAGATTGTCATTTGTTTTCTTTACCTCCGCCAAGGAGGTTATGTTTTCACCCCTGTTGTTTGTTTGTTTGTCTCTCTGTTTGTCATCAACATAACTCAAAAAGTTATGGATGAATTTCGATGGAATTTTCAGGGTAGATCAGAAATGGGTTAACTGAGAAGCGATTAATTTTTGGTGGTGATCTGGATCAATAATCAATCAATCATCAATAATCAAAAAAAAAAAAAAAAAAGTAAGTTATGGACGATTTTGATGAAATTTNAAACTCTATTCTTGTTTTAGATTGTCATTTGTTTTCTTTACCTCCGCCAAGGAGGTTATGTTTTCACCCCTGTTGTTTGTTTGTTTGTCTCTCTGTTTGTCATCAACATAACTCAAAAAGTTATGGATGAATTTCGATGGAATTTTCAGGGTAGATCAGAAATGGGTTAACTGAGAAGCGATTAATTTTTGGTGGTGATCTGGATCAATAATCAATCAATCATCAATAATCAAAAAAAAAAAAAAAAAAGTAAGTTATGGACGATTTTGATGAAATTTTCAGGAACTGTCAGAAGTGGGCCAAGGAACAGATGATTAGTTTTTGGTGGTGATCCGGATCAATAACCAATCAATAATCAAAAATCAAAAAAAATTAATCATTATAGAATGAAAACTTAGGGGTGAAACGGCTTTGGGTGGAGACTTTGCTGCCTTGGAGACTGCGCTCTCTGAGTGCTTTTCTAGTTTTAATATATTTTCAGTTTTCTTTTAAAAATTTCACCAATAATTCATAGAAAATTCAATTTAATTTCATATTTATAAAATTTACACCTTTGTGAGTGCAAGAAAAGAAGACCCTATCTTTAAAATGTAGAGGTAAAATATCCCTGTTCAAATGTTAATACTAGAGTTAACATAGACATTAAGAGTCATGGAAATCTATTAGCTTTAATGACTTAAGAGTCTATTTATACTTCCTTCATTGAATTTTTATGTTATACATAAGAACTATTATCTTAAGTTCCAGTTTTCCTTGTCCGTTCATCTGAGGGCCATTACAAACTTTCCTTCAACCAAGCCAAACGAGTGTGCATTAAACATGGTGCCGATATTGCAACACCAAACCAAATGCTTGCTGTATGGGAAGATGGGCTAGACGTCTGTGCATGGGGTTGGGCATCCGATCAGAAAGTGTACCTTCCCATCCGTTACCCTAGGTTTGGCTGTGGGAGTCGCAGAGCCCTATCATCTTTGCAGAAAAATGCCAACTTTAAGTCTAATGTTTATTGTTTCAAATATTAACCTGAATATGAATGCACTACATGTGTATACACACTATTCTTTTTTTTGGCAGCCAAAATATTGCTGAATAAATAGTAGATTNTATATTCATGTCAAATGCTCTATCTGTCTTAACATTAAAGAAAAAATTGGAAATATAAACTAGGTACATGTAGCCCCCACCATTTATATGTAAGATTTAGTCCTCAGTCTGTTCCCATCATCAGCTTTAATCTTGACCTTTTCAAGTTCTGCATTGTTAAATTTGAGAATTTCCTTGATGAAATGATACAGCTCTGGCTTATTTTTACATTGGCTGAAGAAACTTTATGCCACACGATGTGATAAAAAGGTGCATTGTCTGTTAGTGTCTAGTATAACTGCCATCCTGTGATATGCAAATGATGGCATTAACAACAACATATATAAATAAGTTTTAATCCAATGCAACTTGTTATTGCACAGTTAGCAGAAAAACTTAACACAGAAGGATGTGGAAATTCTGCTTTTGCGCTATTGTTACTGCCTTCCTGACAAGTGTGAGCTTCTGTTTCACTTGCGATGCCAGCCAGGTAAGTCAACATGTTTCGAATTTACTGATATAACGAAAGACCTATGTTTATATGAGAGTTTGGGTTTATGGGTTTCCTTCAGTCAATGCCAAAATTGAAAACAAAAATATAATACTTGGCAAAACATATCTAAGTCTGCATTCACTTAAACCCATCATATCATCATATCTAACTCTGCGAGAACTTCTTACTTAAGTGCTTTCAAGTATACTCAGTTAAATTGTCTGGCATGCCTACTCAAGCTGCCAATGGAATAATTAACTATCGTGTACATGCTCCCTAAGTTTATGTGAACACTTCTTAAGTTTCTTCCATTGTTCAAGACGTACCTGCATTCACTTTTTGAGCCAAAATTTTATCCTACTAACATTCAGTCGACAAAATTGTATTTCACAAAAAATGTAATAGGTCAATTATCTTATAGTCTTAAAAAGAAACTTATCTTAACTTTAATTAAAATTAAATAGTAATTAAAATTACTATGAGGAAATTGAGAGTAAACACAACACTGTTGATTGAGTCAGATTTGTATCCTTTTGTAGTTTGTACTGCAATTTTAAAATCAAGTTCATAACAAGCTGCTGCTCATATAATTATATGGTAAATATTTAATGCACAAAGATACGCATAAATATTCCCACATAAAAATAAAAATGAATAATTTTAAAAATCTTAAACATCATCTGTGCATTTTTGACCTGACAGGACATTAGAATCATCCAGAAACGGTATGTGAAGACAATGGTGGAACCAAGTACAAGAAAGAAATACCGTAGGTATCTTCAACATTTGATTCAAGATTTTCATAGGGGTGAGACAAAGGGGAGGGGGAGGGGAAGGAAAATTAGCTGCAGAAAAAAAATCTTTAAAAAAAGATTCAGATACCTAAAATGTTTAAAAGGAAAAGGTGAAGCAGATATTAGGGATCAAGGAAAAAGGACTTAACTCCTGTTCTTAGTCCATATTTAGAAAATACTTCATGAGAGAAATTCGCCTCTTGTACCAAAAAAAAAAAAAAAAAAGAAAAAAAAAAGGAAAAAAAAATCATGGACATGAAAATTATAAATACAAAATACTTGTATCAAAAAGAGATTTTCAGTTTTGATTGAGTTTAGTCTTTATTCCAATTAACCATGTTCTGGTATTATGAATGAATTTTACTCCTAATTATTTGTCCCAAAAGAAACACCAAACCCCTTCAGTCATTTTAAACTAAATTAACAAATAAATATAGGATAAAGTATGGAATCCAAGTGCAGACATGGGTCAAGCAGTAATCGGTGAGAAGGAGAAAATTGCCCTTTCTCCCCAAGAAAATTCATTTTGGTAGGAAAATCCTATGGAGTTGGCCTTTAAAAAACTCTATTCCTGTTTTAGATTGTCATTTGTTTTCTTAACCTCCACCAAGGAGGTTATGTTTTCACCTCTGTTGTTTGTTTGTTTGTCTCTCTGTTTGTCATCAACATAACTCAAAAAGTTATGGATGAATTTCGATGGAATTTTCAGGGTAGGTCAGAAATGGGTTAACTGAGAAGTGATTAATTTTTGGTGGTGATCTGGATCAATAATCAATCAATCATCAATAATCAAAAAAAAAAAAAAACTTAGTTATGGACGATTTGGATGAAATTTTCAGGAACTGTCAGAAGTGGGCCAAGGAACAGATGATTAGTATTTGGTGGTGATCCAGATCAATAATCAATCAATAATTAAAAATCAAAAAAATTAATCATTATAGAATGAAAATTTAGGGGTGAAACAGCATTGGGTGGAGACTTTGCTGCTTGGAGACTCTGCGCTCTCAGAGTGCTTTTCTAGTTTTATTATATTTTCAGTTTTCTTTTAAAAATTTCACCAATAATTCATAGAAAATTCAATTTAATTTCATATTTATAAAATTTACACCTTTGTGAGTGCAAGAAAAGAAGACCCCATCTTTAAAATGTAGAGGTAAAATATCCCTGTTCAAATGTCAATACTAGAGTTAACATGGACATTAAGAGTCATGGAAATCTTTTACTTTTAATGACTTAAGAGTCTATTTATACTTCCTTCATTGAATTTTCAAGTTATACATAAGAACTATTATCTTAAGTTCCAGTTTTCCATGTTCGTTCATCTGTGGGCCATTACAAACTTTCCTTCAACCAAGCCCAACAAGTGTGCATTGAACATGGTGCCAATATTGCATCACCAAACCAAATGCTTGCTGCATGGGAAGATGGGCTAGATGTCTGCGCATGGGGTTGGGCATCCGATCAGAAAGTGTACCTTCCCATCCGTTACCCTGGACCTGGCTGTGGGGGTCGCAGAGCCCTATCATCTTTGCAGAAAAATGCCGACTTTAAGTCAGATGTTTATTGTTTCATATATTAACCTGAATATGAATGCACTACATGTGTATACACACTATTCTTTTTTTGGCAGCCAAAATATTGCCGAATAAATAGTAGATTCTGAAGCAAATATTATTTTCACTGATTTTGCACTGCAGTTTGTACCACCAGCTGGATAAAGCTCATTCAAGTTAAATGGTAGCAATGAATGTATGTTTTAATTGGGAAGAAAAAAGGACTGATAAATATGCATAGTGCACATCATGGTGAAAAATAGGTCAAAGGTCAAATTAAAGGTCACAGTAAGATTTCCATTATGTGACTTCCTATTCAACTTCAATAGTAACTCTATGAGTACCTCGGCTACTTTTGAAGTACTTAGTAATTCATATTTTATTTTAACCTTTGAGCATAATATTCAAATAATAGAATAATATACAAACTGTTTCTGGACTAACCAAATCAAATGTGGGCACTCACTTCTAATCACAAGTTTTCCCTAATATAATAAGTGTCCATAATGAATGTCCACCTTGCCTTTTATATGTATTGGTAATAGATGACAGTGTACAACATGTATTTATTTATTTATCTATTTACTTTTTTTTTTTTGGTCAATTTTGACGCATTGAACAGCATAGTCGCCCCCAATTTTTCAATATTATGTACTGGCACTTCTGTTACTGTACATGTTTAAAAAATGTAACAAGCACAGGATTATATCCCACGGGAATACTAAGTCACGCACTGATAATGGCAATTTGGGAAAACGAAAAAAATCTTTTTAAACTTCATAACGAGAAAAGTAAACCAATCCAGGTATTTGAATATGAGACATAAGTGTGAAAATGTTAAGTAACACACTTCTCTTTTCACTGGGTTAATGAGAAAAGAGTGCATGCCAATGGATATTGTGTGGCATAAAAATCTATTAAGGCTGATAAAAAGTAGTCTACACTATCACTTTATCTCATGATATGTGTAAATATACATACAGTTTCCTCCAGATCCACTGCTGTTTGGAGACTTGATGGTCTTCTGGTGTAATACTTTCTCTAAAATTCAGGGGGAAAAGATGTATAAATCAATATAAATCAATATAAATATGTTCTCTGAGTATGTGCAAATGTTGCTTCGACTTGTTAAGTATTCAACTTTTACTGAAGAGATTCACTGGAAAGATACTGACAAACTATGATGGACTTTCTGTTTTTTCAAGCACATGAACGTACGCAACAGTCCCATTCACATGACCAAGTAAATCACAGTCCATTAAGGAAATAAGAGCATTCACCATAAAAAAGTTCACTGTTACAGAACTGCAGTTATTGCCACTTAAAGGGATAATAACTCTTCATTTTGGCCAAAAAATGAATTTTCCTGGAGTAAACAACAATTTTCCCATACTTACCAATGGTTAATGAATCCATTTTTACATTCAAAGTTAGTCCCTGGTTTTTTTCTAAAAAGTTTGGTTTTTTGTTAAAATCTCTTAAGAGATTATAACAGAGTATAGCCATCAATGGAGGTCACGTGGTCTGAAGACAAGCTCAGATATCAGAATAATAGCTATAACTGCTGTTTTTGTTGTAAAACAGAATATATTATATTTCTATGAGTTATTCACAATGTTTTTATTGGGAAATATAGACCTCATATGAAGAGTTATTATCCCTTTAACCACAAATGTAACTGCTGGCAAGACAGGGGTTGGTAACAAGTTTAAAGAACGACTGAAAAATTACTTTTTTTAAAGTGTAGGTTGTTATGAAAATAGACATTTGTAGTAACAGCGCATCTATGAACTCTAAAAGTTACCCAGATGCACGAACTTCATGTATGTGCCCATCTTTACATAGCCAGGGGGTTCAGGGGGTTCGAAATAACCCCCCTTTTGCAGGGAAAAGTTCCCTGCAAAAAATTTTATCTAGGTACATGAAGGCTTTATGGTAAAAGGTCCACTTTTTCAGAAAAAAGAACCCCCCTTTTGAAATTACTGGCTATGGGCCTGGTATAACTGACCTGCTATTATTATAGTATGCCATTTCCTACAGGACATGTCTGGCACCACATGGAGAGCACCAAATACTGGCCTGGGAATGGCCACACACTGACCATTGGGTCCACCTTTGGCTGTATCACTCACGGACCCCAGACGGCCATTCTCTCCATTACCCCAGGAGTAAATCTGATTGTCTGAAATGATAATACTATCATATAGCATTTCATATTCATAACATCACATTAAAGAATCTATCCTAATGAATTTTTTAATACCTCCAGGAAACATACACTCCTTTCATATTATTATTTTGATTTAAAAAATATTTTGATCTCGCAATTCAAAAAGTTGTCTTTCAAATATACATTAACCCACAAACCTGAACTCGTCGCTACCACAGTAAATCCATCTCCGCAGGCCACCCTCTCAACTCTCTTCCCTGCCAGCACATTAGAGATCACACTGACACCATTAGGCCTGGGTTTATAGTCCCCTAGGCCTAACTGACCATACTTGTTGGCACCAAAGGTGATAAGGTGACCATATACTGTAAAGAAAAGGAAGGAAACTGAACTGTAAGACGTAGCCATGATAATACTTTCTACTTCTGAACAACTGCAAAAAGCACAGGCATTGATGGATAAGCTCTAATTATTTAATATGCCCAATACTTGGAGTACTAAATGGTATTATTAAATTGGCATTAAAAGGGTGTTCATGGGTGCTCAGGTAAAAGAAAAATTTGAGAACTGATTTCTCAATATTAATCCCAAAATCGCAATTATGACATCACCCGCAAGATGACATGTGCGTAAATGCTAAAGGATTTATCTGTTATCCAAACAAATGTATGTAAGGCAGTAAATAAGGAGTTTTTGGCAAAGGCTAACAATATCCTCAAAAAAGGAATAGGGTATATACTTAGCAGTCTGCTTAAGTATCCGCCAGAGTAAAAACTAACACTGCACTAACATTGGCACTGATAGTTGGGGAATGCTTCATCTACATGCTGTGTTGCACTATAAATATGGTAATGACTTAATCTTTTCAATGGGAAAAACTGTGAATTTTAAAGATACTGTAAGTCATAAATTCTTGAAATTAGGACACTCCTATTGAGCGGTAGAACAAAACTGAAGAGCAAGTTACCTCATAGTTTTATTTTATTCAGAAAAAGCACCACAGATGCTACACAAAAATATATCTTTAATGATTCTAAAATAACATATCCAAAAATTGATAATTTTTCATCATTTAAAAGATCCAGTCATTACCATAACCAAAAAGAAAAAAATATGATGGAGTGAACTCATTTCTTTTACTCACAGTCTATCACAGCTGAATGTGTCCGTCCTGCAGACAAACTGACCACATGGAACCTGACTAATGGCTTCACTGTGGTGAACTTATATTTACAGGGGATATCATAGGAGATCTGGAAGAAGCAGGTGTACAGTAGCATATAACAATCATCAAAAGCTAGACACCAAAACAAACATTAAACGCAAACAGACATTACACAAAAATATCACTGGTGTCCATTAAAGCCATTTTAATTAATTTATATATCTATACATGAAAATGCTGAAATAAATAAATAAATAAATATATATATATATATATATATATATATATATATATATATATATATATATATATATATATATATAAGCATGGCCATAGTTTTCTGTTAAGAGATCTATAGTAGGATATGCTTGTATGTGTATGAATATGTGTGTATGTAAGTAGTGAAGAATTTGTATTGGATTAAGATGATGCTCAATAAAAAAAATCAAATATACTGATTTATTACTATATCAATATGGCAATGTTAATGATCATATCAATGACATAATAATAATAATGGTAATAAACATATTGCTTAATTATTAACATCAATACATTAAAGGAACACTTCCACTACTTAACATAAAATGGGACATTTTTAGTCAACAAAACTCCTGTAAACTGCCCATTAAGTGAACTCTACCTGTTTCTTCCTAAGGCCTGCAGCTGAACTATTAAAGCCCAGTTTGTTTTCTTCATTACTCCCAGCAGCCAGGACCCTGCCATCATGGGTGAGCAAAAAAGTGCCATCTGATCCAGCCAGAACACTGCGAACCGAGTGCTTGCCTCGAGTGGTGACCTGGCGAGAAAACATTTCCCTGCTGAAGACTACATTATATTTCAAAAATAATTCCATTCTTTCCATAAGATACATGGCTTCATCACAGATGTGCTGCAGTTATTTTATTGTATATATGTTCATTTTCAGCTTCCATCCTTTCCATAAGATGCACGGCTTTATCACAAATGTGCTGAAGTTATTTTATTGTATTTATTAATTTTCAACTGCACAAATCAGTTTTTGAATGCACCACTAAAAATTTTTCAGGATTAAAGATTTGTGTTATTACACGAAAAAAAAAAAAACAACTTAATTTATAAAATGAAATTGGCCTTCAAGTAAAATGTGTCAAATCAAAGAAACATAATTAATAATTATGATAATGTTTGATTTTTTTCAGACAAAATTGCATTCCCCTTATATTTTTAGTATCAGTAGGGAAAAAGACAAAAATGCTGCTATGAAAATCTAATTGGATGTATGATCTGGCATCTGGAACTCACATGTACTAGTAAGGATGACAGAACATACACCTGTATAGTGGCCCTGTTACTGTACATTCATCAAAATGTTTTTATGCCTCCTTGATTTGCATTAAGTAACTTAAATTTAATTTTGCAGACAAACAATATGTGAAATAAAAATAAAAAGCCAAGGAGGTGATGTTTTTGCCTTTGCTGACTAGTTACTTTTAAGCTATTTAAAAAACCTCACTAAAACATCTCGGGCAGATTTTGATAAAATTTTCAGGACAGGTCACAAACGCCCAACTAAGAATCCATTAACTTCAACTGCTGGTCCATTAATTAATAAAGTATTCATGAGAACTGATATGCCTTGGACGAGGTGTGCACTTTCTGAGTGCTCTTTTAGTTCAATATGAAAAAGAGATGCAGGTACTCGTAAATATTTCAAATTATTCATAAAAACACCAGGTCAGGGTGACACTGAAATGTTCATTCCCAAAGAGCAAAATGACTTGTTGAACTCTTGACTTCATTATTATTGATAGCCAGCTCATAAAAATTAGAAATTTAGGTGAGAAGCATTAATAAATATGAAATAGAAATGAAGCTTGTAATAAATATTTCATGTAAACATCAGGGTGACATTGGAATATAAGGTTAAAAAAAAAACAAACAAAAAAGGTGACAAGCTGTCAAATAAACAGACATAAAAGCAAACAATGGTACACAAGAATGTTAATACCATAGGTCTTAGAAAAGTTAAAAACCTCTTTCACAACTGTAATTCATAATGAAAAAAATAACAAAAAATTAAAGACATTCAAAATGGTATTTCTTCACCTTGTACAATTTAAGTGATAATACATAACATGCAATAAATATTCATTACGATCATTTTTGAAATTGCTTAAAACAAGTTGCAATACGTACATCCCATTATCACTATTGTTATCATTTAATTTTGTTTTACATGTATGAGTTGCAATAAATGCATCTTTTTTTGCTATTATTTTAATCTTTTAACCTCATATATCAGGGACTGGGATGGGATGGGATGGGGAGCACACAAATATCCAGGTGTTACGTCCTTCAGTTGCCTTCTTGTACTATTTTTGACAAAAGGATAAGAAATAACCCACATTATTTCACACCTCATTATCTCTTGAGCAGCTGTGATGCATGCATGTTCAAGTATTTCAGGAGCTGCATACAGTTTAGGAAGGAAACAACTCGGGTGTTAAGTGGACAAGGATGTCTAGCATTACCATCTTAAGTATCACTTTGCGTGTCATACAAAGTGCATAAGGAGATATACTTCATCATCAACTGTTCTCCAGAAACATGTAGGGATATACGTAACAGTTTCTAAAATCACTCGCCATCAGCAGGACCTCTACCTGGCTAAGAATGCCAAAATTAAAACAATAAAACATGTCAGATATCAAATACAGCAAGAGCCCCTACTTGTGATTCTAAGAAGTATGCAATGGCTTTAGACATGCCAGTAAACACAAAAATGCAGGTACACAGCTAAAAGTATTTGCATAATACATGAGTTTCAAAATCCTTTCCTAGCTTGCATGACATTTCAATTAATTACTTGACTTGATAAGAACAGGAAAATTAAAAAATCTCATGTAATATAGACATACATGTGTACCATTGGAGTATATCTGCATGTGCACTATTCTTACCTTTTGCGGTAAATTGTGATCATCTTCTGATCCAAGACCAAGTCTTCCTGTGGAAAAAAAATTGGGTTAATGAGCAGGTGTTTTATACATTCATAAATAATAGATCAGTTTTATTGTAATAGCATTTCATGGTATTGTATCTATAGTCTTTTTATTGGATAAACAGAGGGTGGATTCAATAAAGATCAGAAAAATGCTTAATTTCTCAAGTCTTAAATGCCCACCTGTATAAAAATATGTTGTATTTATATTATGTACACATATGTGTGGAGATGGTAATATAAAAGTTGGTGGGATCCCAATTTATATAGAAAGGAAAACTATCAATTCAAAAGAAAGGTGAACATATAATTGGTAAAATTCTACAACAACACACTTACCATATTCCCCACAGCCCCATGTGTAAACTTCTCCCTCTTTTGTCAATGCCACAACATGTGCATCTCCGCATGAGATTTGCTCCACAGGTTTGGAGTGAAAGAAATCAATGGTAATCGGGAAGTGTGCTTCATCTCCTTCTTGTCCCTCACATCCTAGGCAGCCATAGTAGTCTGAACCAAAGGCATAGACAACACCCTCATCTGCCAAAATTATAGTAACATAGTAACAAATTATAAAGATAAACTACTGAAACAATTTACTTAATTCATATTATCACAGACAAAATAACATAACTGGACTGTCATAGGCTAGAAACATAATTTATCTTACTTGTTTAATTTTCAATATCTACTTTTTCTTCAGTCTTTTTGCATCACTGTGTATAAGGTAAAAAAGAAGTTAAAACTTAATAATTTTTTTAAAGTTGTGAGTTCAGATTTAGTAAGAAAAACCATATTTAAGTAACATTTAAAAAAATCCAAGTTCAAAAAATAAGAAAATGCAACTTGCATATTGGGTTTATACAGGTAAACACCAGTGAATACTTCAATGTATTATCATCATCATCAGTCAATTACCATAACAGAATAGTCACCAACCCAGCAAAAGGTCACTTCTGCACAGCTATACCCTTTTCCTGCACCCTAATCAGTGGGTCCATGGTTCAAGCAGACAAAATGGTACAAAACCATGACTAGTGGAGAGTTTTTGTTGGGGGGGGGGGGGGGCATGCACAGAAAATTGAACTTTTCACACCTGTTTTTGGCCTGACACTGACCTGTCACACATGCAGTAAACTCTTCCCCACATGACACTTGTTTTACACTGATGCCTTCCATGAAGTCCACTTTCTTTGGTGCCTTATAGGCTGCTGTATCCCCATGGCCCAGCTGACCCACCATGCCACTGCCTCCCTGGGCATTCTAGAGAGATAAACATCTAAGCATCAAAGACAGCATGGTGTCTCAGAGACCAGAAAATAAACAATGACTCATATTTGGGACTGAAAACGTAATTCTTCAGCAAATTCTAAAGGGCGGTTTGTATTTTTTTTTTGACAAATATACCCCATATGTTATGAAAATGTTACTTATTAGGAAATGGCTTACAAACTGACTTTAAAATATTGTAAGTCTGGATGACAGACGAGCAGTGTCAAATTTAATTACAAAATCTGCCCCTGGCCTATGTTTTATTAAAGTTGCTATATATATTTCAGTAAATAATTTTACTTCAAATATTGTCAGTATCAGAGTTTATCATTGTGAAATTAAAATTAAATATGACTCTCCAACAGAAGTAAAAATCTAAAACTGATAAAAAAAAAAAAAAAAAAAAAAAAAAAAAAAAAAAAAAAAAAAGGACTTCTATCTGAATTTGCTGTAGCAAGTACAAATTAAGCAGGCTGTGCACCTACTCCCCAAGTAAAGAGTTCCTTTTCCACTGTGACCACAGCAAAGTGTGCATGCCCTGCAGCAACCTAAAATATACCAGAGATGGGTCAAACATCAGCTATGTCGGCTTACTAGAGAATGTGTCAGATGTGATTCAACATCTCAATTGTGATAATCCTGGAAAAATATAATTACTAACAACTTGCCACACAATGGTTGTTGACATATATGTGTGTGTGTGTGTGTGTGTGTGTGCGTGTGCGTGTGTGTGTGTGTGTGTATATATCAGATGCAGACTGAATGATATAAAGGCGATATAATTAAATATAAAACACACATTTAGCATGTATTAAAAATACTTATATCTGATACAAACTTAAATTAATTAACAACAAAAGATACATAAAAACATCAAACACTTAAATTTTTAAAACTAAAGCCTACCCTCACCTGTATTGCACTTTTACCCTCTTTGAAAACCTCCAGTCTTTGTGGTGTAACTTTTCCCCCTCCCCAGAAATAGACCTGAAAAATGTGTAAACAGTGTGGCAACATCATAATGAAAAATGCCATTTGAAACTACGTATCGTGACATTCAGGTCCAAGTAAAAATGTCTTAGCAAAAAAATTCTAAGTAAATAAAATAAAGTTAAACATAATTAAGTTAAACATCAGTGCAATTCCAGATTACAACTTTAAATATTTACTGAAGGTTACTTGAAAGATTTGTTTTATAATTATTTTCTAACTCAATTATTCATTTTGACATTGTCACGAGCAATATGCTGAATTACCTCACTAGATTTTGAAGTGATGGTTGGAATGGTGTATTCTGAAAGTGAATGTGCAAACTCCCGAGCCCTTCTGGTTGCTGAGTTCAATTTGTGGACATGCTGTTCTATTTCACTGGAATGTTTGCAATATTGTACTAAGCAATAATTCCTGAATATATTCATTCTGGGAAAAAGGATCCTTAAAATAGCATATGGATCTTCAACAGAAAAAGAAGCTTATACTGACTTTCTTTAAAACAAAATTGTTCATGATTCAATACCACATTTCTTAACAAATTCAACAGCAGTTTTGATTAATTAAATAAATAAGTAAACTTTTTTCAATTTTTGGGTCAAATCATATAATGATTAATACTAGTCAAACTGTTCAAGTTATAGACAGAAAGATGTTCAATGTTTGCATTTGTTAAACAGTTTTTAAGACAGTACCTCCCCCTTACTGCCATAGCAGGGTATTTCAAGATGTCTTCAGCCCATGGTCTTTGCACTGGATCTTTGTTTAGTAAGTCATGCATCAGTGTCCTGATTTCCTCTGAATACATAGGATTAATATCTGCAAACCCGCCCCTCACTATCTGGGAAGCTAATTTTAAAGGGTTCTGCAAAATAAAATACAGCATGAAATTCAAGACTGGTACAAATGTATATTGAACCTCTTTTAGAATGATCATTAAATATGATTATCAAATAACAAATACTGACATTTAATATAATACACATACATGGACTGATTACATTGACAGACTTCCAAACTGAACAAAGTGGTGATATTTCTTATGGTAAAATCAATTCAGTAATCTAGTAGACAATAAATTAAATTATTATCAAAATCTCTGTCCCTTACAGTAGCATCAAATGTCTTAGTGAGAGTAAGCAGCTCATACAGCACACAACCCACAGCCCAGATGTCACTCTTCATGTTATACCTGGAGCAGATACAGACAGATTATAGAATTTCTTCAAGTAACTAGTGAGTTGAACTCCTGAGGAGGAGGTGTGTTGAGTTCATTGATTATTCTGGTGTGATGTCTCCATTACACACTGTACACTTGAAATAATATGTGAACAGAGTTACTACATATCTTGACTTTCTTCAAGAGTTAACTTATGCAAGAAACAAAATCTCAGGGTTATCAATGAACTCAACATATTTCTGTCTTGGGGAGTACAACCCCCCAGTACAATTCAGTCACTAATTTTTTCCTCTGTGTTAAGATGTTTTCTGATTCTCCTTAATTGCCTCTATTCACCACTTCTCCTGCATAAATACTAATATGTAATTACTTTCTTCAAAGATTGATGAATATGACATCAAACTAATTTATTGTTGACAGCGATTAAAATAGTTACAATTTATGTATCAAATATTATTTCAATCTTCCTTTGTGATAAATCATATGAACACTTACTGATCTCCTTGGATCAATTCTGGGGACATGTAATATGGTGTACCAACATACTATAAGAAGAAATGTAAACACGGCTGTGAAACAAAATTTTCCCATCTATTAACCATAATTTATGACAGGATACATTTCTANGCAAATTCAATAACAACGTTTGCGACAACCGACTTCGTTGGGGGCTGGGGGGGGGGCGGGTTTTTTTTTTTGGATTTTTTGGAGAACGGGCGAAAATCCGTGCGCGCGCAGGATGTCATCCATAAAATTAAAAAAGTGTGGCCTAATGAAAAAAATAACAAAAAATTAAAGACATTCAAAATGGTATTTCTTCACCTTGTACAATTTAAGTGATAATACATAACATGCAATAAATATTCATTACGATCATTTTTGAAATTGCTTAAAACAAGTTGCAATACGTACATCCCATTATCACTATTGTTATCATTTAATTTTGTTTTACATGTATGAGTTGCAATAAATGCATCTTTTTTTGCTATTATTTTAATCTTTTAACCTCATATATCAGGGACTGGGATGGGATGGGATGGGGAGCACACAAATATCCAGGTGTTACGTCCTTCAGTTGCCTTCTTGTACTATTTTTGACAAAAGGATAAGAAATAACCCACGTTATTTCACACCTCATTATCTCTTGAGCAGCTGTGATGCATGCATGTTCAAGTATTTCAGGAGCTGCATACAGTTTAGGAAGGAAACAACTCGGGTGTTAAGTGGACAAGGATGTCTAGCATTACCATCTTAAGTATCACTTTGCGTGTCATACAAAGTGCATAAGGAGATATACTTCATCATCAACTGTTCTCCAGAAACATGTAGGGATATACATGTACGTAACAGTTTCTAAAATCACTCGCCATCAGCAGGACCTCTACCTGGCTAAGAATGCCAAAATTAAAACAATAAAACATGTCAGATATCAAATACAGCAAGAGCCCCCACTTGTGATTCTAAGAAGTATGCAATGGCTTTAGACATGCCAGTAAACACAAAAATGCAGGTACACAGCTAAAAGTATTTGCATAATACATGAGTTTCAAAATCCTTTCCTAGCTTGCATGACATTTCAATTAATTACTTGACTTGATAAGAACAGGAAAATTAAAAAATCTCACGTAATATAGACATACATGTGTACCACTGGAGTATACCTGCATGTGCACTATTCTTACCTTTTGTGGTAAATTGTGATCATCTTCTGATCCAAGACCAAGTCTTCCTGTGGAAAAAAATTGGGTTAATGAGCAGGTGTTTTATACATTCATAAATAATAGATCAGTTTTATTGTAATAGCATTTCATGGTATTGTATCTATAGTCTTTTTATTGGATAAACAGAGGGTGGATTCAATGAAGATCAGAAAAATGCTTAATTTCTCAAGTCTTAAATGCCCACCTGTATAAAAATATGTTGTATTTATATTATGTACACATATATATGGGGATGGTAATATAAGTTGGTGGGATCCTAATTTATATAGACAGGAAAACTACCAAATGCAACTTAACACACACACATGCACACACACACACACACACACTATCACATGAAATCATTTCAAAAGAAAGGTGAACATATAATTGGTAAAATTCTACAACAACACACTTACCAAATTCCCCACAGCCCCAGGTGTAAACTTCTCCCTCTTTTGTTAATGCCACAACATGTGCATCTCCGCATGAGATTTGCTCCACAGGTTTGGAGTGAAAGAAATCAATGGTAACTGGGAAGTGTGCTTCATCTCCTTCTTGTCCCTCACATCCTAGGCAGCCATAGTAGTCTGAACCAAAGGCATAGACAACACCCTCATCTGCCAAAATCATAGTAACATAGTAACAAATTTTAAAGATAAACTACTGAAACAATTTACTTAATTCATATTATCACAGACAAAATAACATACCTAGACTGTCACAGCCTAGAAACATTATTTATCTTATTTGTTTAATTTTGTGTACAATATATACTTTTCCTTCAGTCTTTTTGCATCACTGTGTATAAGGTACAAAAGGAGTTAAAACTAAATAAATTTTTTTTAAGTTGTGAGTTCAGATTTAGAAAGAAAAACCATATTTAAGTAAAAATTATATTTTGGATTCCATTATTTCGGCTTATGTTATTTTGGTTTGTATTTTTCACTCTTTTTCTGGTTGCAATTGTTGGCCTCTTTGCAACCCCACAAATGAAAATATTTGCACTATTTGTTTTGATATTTATTTTTATGATACAACATAATGTAATTTTCACTAATTAACATTATCTAATGCTATAATTATAATATCTAACACCATTCTTTACTAGAGGGACCTTTCAATAAAAGCGGCTGCTACCGGCCCAATTACAAACACTATATTTGTGTTTGTCCTTTACTTATGCTTTTGCTTGGGTTAATGAGGAGACATAAATCAGAAAATACAACTTGCATTTTGGGTTTATACAGGTAAACACCAGTGAATCCTTCAATGTATCATCATCATCATCAGTCAATTACCATAACATAATAGTCACTATACCAGCAAAAGGCCACTTCTGCACAGCTATACACTTTCCTTGCACCCTAATCAGTGGGTCCATGGTTCAAGCAGACAGAATGGTACAAAACCATGACCTGTGGAGAGATTTTGTTGGGGGGGATGCACAGAAAAGTGAACTTTTCACACCTGTTTTTGGCCTGACACTGACCTGTCACACATGCAGTAAACTCTTCCCCACATGACACTTGTTTTACACTGATGCCTTCCATGGCGTCCACTTTCTTTGGTGCCTTATAGGCTGCTGTATCCCCATGGCCCAGCTGACCCACCATGCCACTGCCTCCCTGGGCATTCTGGATAGATAAACATCTAAGCATCAAAGACAGCACAGTGTCTCAGAGACCAGATAATAAACAATGACTCATATTTGGGACTGAAAACATTATTCTTCAGCAAATTCTAAAGGGTGGTTTGTATTTTTTTTTAGACAAATATACCCCCTGTATGTTATGAAAATGTTACTTATTAGGAAATGGCTTACAAACTGTAAGTCTGGATGACAGACGAGCAGTGTCAAATTTAATCACAAAATCTGCCCCTGGCCTATGTTTTATTAAAGTTTCTATACATATTTCATACTTCAAATATTGTCAGTATCAGAGTTTGTCATTGTGAAATTAAAATTAAATATGACTCTTCAACAGAAGTAACTGATAAGAAAAAAAAAAAAAAAAAACAGACTTTTATCTGAATTTGCTGTAGCAAGTACAAATTAAGCAGGCTGTGCACCTACTCCCCAAGTAAAGAGTTCCTTTTCCACTGTGACCACAGCAAAGTGTGCATGCCCTGCAGCAACCTAAAATATACCAGAGATGGGTCAAACATCAGCTATGTTGGCTTACTAGAGAATGTGTCAGATGTGATTCAACATCTCAACTGTGATAATCCTGGAAAAATATAATTACTAACAACTTGCCACACAATGGTTGTTGACATATATATATATATATATCAGATGCAGACTGAATGATATAAAGGCGATATAATTAAATATAAAACACACATTTAGCATGTATTAAAAATACTTATATCTGATACAAACTTAAATTAATTAACAACAAAGGATACATAAAAACATCAAACACTTAAATTTTTAAAACTAAAGCCTACCCTCACCTGTATTGCACTTTTACCCTCTTTGAAAACCTCCAGTCTTTGTGGTGTAACTTTTCCCCCTCCCCAGAAATAGACCTGAAAAATGTGTAAACAGTGTGGCAACATCATAATGAAAAATGCCATTTGAAACTATTGTGACATTCAGGTCCAAGTAAAAATGTCTTAGCAAACAAATCTAAGTAAATAAAATAAAAAAACAATTAAGTTAAACATCAGTGCAATTCCAGATTACAACTTTAAATATTTACTGAAGGTTACTTGAAAGATTTGTTTTATAATTGTTTTCTAACTCAATTATTCATTTTGACATTTTCACGAGCAATATGCTGAATTACCTCACTAGATTTTGAAGTGATGGTTGGAATGGTGTATTCTGAAAGTGAATGTGCAAACTCCCGAGCCCTTCTGGTTGCTGAGTTCAATTTGTGGACATGCTGTTCTATTTCACTGGAATGTTTGCAATATTGTACTAAGCAATAATTCCTGAATATATTCATTCTGGGAAAAAGGATCCTTAAAATAGCATATGGATCCTCAACAGAAAAAGAAGCTTATACTGACTTTCTTTAAAACAAAATTGTTCATGATTCAATACCACATTTCTTAACAAATTCAACAGCAGTTTTGATCAATTAAATAAATAAGTAAACTTTTTTCAATTTTTGGGTCAAATCATATCATGATTAATACTAGTCAAACTGTTCAAGTTATAGACAGAAAGATGTTCAATGTTTGCATTTGTTAAACAGTCTTTAAGACAGTACCTCCCCCTTACTGCCATAGCAGGGTATTTCAAGATGTCTTCAGCCCATGGTCTTTGCACTGGATCTTTGTTTAGTAAGTCATGCATCAGTGTCCTGATTTCCTCTGAATACATAGGATCAATATCTGCAAACCCGCCCCTCACTATCTGGGAAGCTAATTTTAAAGGGTTCTGCAAAATAAAATACAGCATGAAATTCAAGACTGGTACAAATGTATATTGAACCTCTTTTAGAATGATCATTAAATATGATTATCAAATAACAAATACTGACATTTAATATAATACACATACATGGACTGATTACATTGACAGACTTCCAAACTGAACAAAGTGGTGAAAGCTCTTTATTATTATTAATTTTTATCATCATAATCATCATCATTAGCTATATTTCTTATGGTAAAATCAATCCAGTAATCTAGTAGATAATAAATTAAATCATTATCAAAATCTCTGTCCCTTACAGTAGCATCAAATGTCTTAGTGAGAGTAAGCAGCTCATACAGCACACAACCCACAGCCCAGATGTCACTCTTCATGTTATACCTGGAGCAGATACAGACAGATTATAGAATTTCTTCAAGTAACTAGGGAGTTGAACTCCTAGGGAGGAGGTGTGTTGAGTTCATTGATTATTCTGGTATGATGTCTCCATTACACACTGTACACTTGAAATAATATGTGAACAGAGTTACTACATATCTTGACTTTCTTCAAGAGTTAACTTATGCAAGAAACAAAATGTCAGGGTTATCAATGAACTCAACATATTTCTGTCTTGGGGAGTACAACCCCCCAGTACAATTCAGTCACTAATTTTTTCTTCTGTGTGAAGATGTTTTCTGATTCTCCTTAATTGCCTCTATTCACCACTTCTCCTGCATAAAATACTAATATGTAATTACTTTCTTCAAAGATTGATGAATATGACATCAAACTGATTTATTGTTGACAGCAATTAAAATAGTTACAATTTATGTATCAAATATTATTTCAATCTTCCTTTGTGATAAATCATATGAACACTTACTGATCTCCTTGGATCAATTCTGGGGACATGTAATATGGTGTACCAACATACTATAAGAAGAAATGTAAACACGGCTGTGAAACAAAATTTTCCCATCTATTAACCTTAATTTATGACAGGATACATTTCTATGAAATTACTACACATCAGAATGATGAAAATCATAGTTGTAATTTATAGTCGTCCTAGAATAACTTCAGCAAATATTGATTTCAAGCAGTTTATCAAATAATGTTTTATGTTTCTGTGAAGAAAATAAAGCAGGTTGACTAATTTGACTACTTCAGTTCGACAATTATTCATATCCAGATACGTAATTTGTCAGATAACTCTGTGCATGTTTTGTTGGGTCTACTGGATTACATACTGAATCTGCCATTTCTGTTTTGCTATCCATGACCTTTGAGATTCCAAAATCACCCAATTTGACTAGTCCTGACTTTGTAAGAAAAATATTCAAGGTCTTGATATCCCTACAAATGAAGAGACAATATACAGTATATATTCAATGATGTGGTATTCAGAAAGAGAACCTTGTATCTTAATTCAGTTAATATCATAATGAAGAAAAACTTTCATGTTGTCACTTTTTTTTTAAATTAAAATGTGATCTTGAGTATGGAGTTTCATTTTGTATATGTATAATATACGTTTGTACACTTGATTGACCAAAAAAAAAAAAGACTCGGAAACATGCAATTGTTTTTCAATAATTACAAAACCATGTAATGTAGTGGGAAAATCTTCAGTATATGTTAAAAAAGAAACTAACGGTGGGTGCATTATCCACCAATATTTACCTTAGCTCATATGGTTATTTTATAATTATTCAAAATAGCAATGTTTACTAACTTTTTTGAGCAAGTGTAAAAAATGACATATATTTATGTAAATAATGACATATATTTAGAATGGCATATCATGCATTTACCTATGTAAAATACCGTATTCATGTGTGTGCACCACAGCAGAAACCAACTGGAAAAAGTACCATATCACAGACTAAAAAAAAGAAGATAATTATAAACTAAATAGAATATAATTATTGTTAATTGCAATAAGATAAAGCACACTGAAATTTTACAATTATGCAGCAATCCCCTACTGTGAAAACCCACACAAGAATCATACAGTAAGTATTTATCATTGAACTGCTTAGGTAGCCTTCCAAACATAATAATTAAGTAGTAACAATCTATAATAAAATGATTTTAAGTGTGGGTATCAAAACATTTACTTCTTCTGGAAATAGATCCTTCTGTTGCAATATCTTCTCATATAAATTTCCACCTGCAATAAAATATTTAAAAAATCAAATGCGAACAAAGCCATACAAGAAGTAAGTAAGTTAAAGTAACAAAAATTTTGTTACTGTAACTTACACAAGAGAGTTACAAAGAGATATTTTACAAACTGAAAACTTATATCATTTTTTTCTTTGGTACATTTCTCTTATTTTTATCTTACCTTAAAGTAATGGAAACAATCTAACCTACACATACAGGGTATGTTCAAACAAGATTAATACCACTGTCATCCTAAGATTTATATTGACAAATTTTACACAACACTATGGAAACATACATCCTTAAACAACATAACTATTTTTTGCTTTTATAAAAAATCTAAGGTTAAACAAATCCATTTGGGCTACACAAAATCTTACCATTAGCATATTCCATTTCAATAAGCAGAGTCTCTCCATCCAAAAAGTGGTTGTAATATGTGACAATATTAGCATGATTGAGGAGGGAAAGAATGTCAATTTCATTCTGAGAGTCTCTCCTCTCCTTCTCTGAAAGCCTGGTTAAATCTACTTTTTTCCATACAACTAAGGTGTTATCCTGAAAAAAGATGCTTGGTAGTAAAATAAAGTATTTTTATTTTTATTTCCCAGTTCCATGCCGCAATAGAAATACAAATGTGCAGAACATCTATGCTATTTATCGTGTTTTCAGGCTACAAACTGCATGTGCTTCTTTGATTAAAGGCTGACCTGGTTTTAAATGCTCGCGGCATTGATTTATTAAGCCAGCTGCAAATATTGCCCTCTAGTAGTTTCACACATTTGCAGGGGCAACCTATTCAAGTTTATTAACTTTATTCCTACCTCTGTTTTTCTGTAAAGCACGGCTTGCCCAAATGCACCTCGCCCTAGCACCCTTACTGGGATATAAGACACGTCTTGTGAACCCTCTGACAACACAGGAGACTCGAATTTATCATCTGAGATGTCAGATTCAAAACTCACGTCGTCCATGTTTGATGTCAACAAACAAGGCTCACATGGAAGAAATCTAGGCATCTGATTGGTCAATTTCTTAAGAGACTTGATAAATACATGTACTTCTATGTATAGAAGTATGATAAATAGTAGAAAAGCATAGAAGCAGAAAGAATTCTATGGTTAATAGTAATGAACCCACAGTAACTACAAAAAATGCACTGCATAAACACTTCACACGAATAATGATATTAAACATGCAGAATTGTAATTGAATATGCCAAAAATCCATAAACTTAAAGATGCATACAAAGTCAATTTTTTGTCACAAAAACCAAACAAATGCCAGCATATAGTTTCAAGTAGTATAACTAAGAGAATTACCAAAAGGCATTGTTTAATTTTACCCGAAAATGATGTTTGAACAGATTTTTCTGCTAGCATTCTATAAGCTGTATGTCAATGGGTCAGAAAAGTTGGTCACGAAAGTAGGTTAAATTTCTGACCAAAAATTTAAAGAAAGGAGCAGTCTGAAGGTCTTTTATGGCTGATCGAGTGATCTATTCAGTTTATCCCTTGGCATGTGAAATTTATTTGAGGCGTATTAGAAACTAGTAGAAGTTGATTACATGTGTTACTGGGAATCCACGTTCCACCGATGCTCGGTTTGTATGTACCTTTAAAACAGTTTAACATTGATGAAGAAATATATTTGTGTTAAATTTAATGACATGAGTTCTACAAAAACTAAGAAATATGTTTGTGTTAAATTTAATGACAGTTGAGTTCTACAAAAACTAATTTGGAATAAGAAAGGAATTCATTCAAATGTTTCTTTTGACAATTTGGACACAATAGTACGTCATAATATATACTGTATATATATATATATATATATATGAATTTTGAAAGTTTCAACTTTCAAAAGCTTTGATCAAATATTTTGTGAAATACTTAACATATTTTGTGGAATTAAAACAGCAAAGCTGTCAAATTTAGGGGAGACAGGGGCATGTCAGGCCATGATAAATATTTTTCAAAATTCCTCTTACCCAGTCAAGTTAACCGCTCACTATGAAAATATGGCAGCCGAGTTGCCTGCTGTTCACAAGGCATGGATTTGTTTGTCACTAACCAGTATGCAAGTAAACAAACATACAGTAATTGGATAACTTCAAAATAAGTATCACAGAGAAGTTTTATTTGCAAACAATTACGAAGGACTACAAATTCTATATCTATGGTTTAACTTACAATTAAAAAAAAAATACAAACTATGGAGAAAAACTGATGGCAGCTGCTAGGCCATCACAATACAAACATATTTACCATTACAAAACTGTGGCATGAGATCATCTACACAAGAGGTGTATCAGAACAATCAATGTTTCCTTATTCACTTATCGTACTTAACATATATACAATGGCACGCTTCTTGCACAACTCATATATGTGCTTAACAAGATGCACCTGCAGTTAAGGCAAAAACACCAATCTTGAAATACTTTTTGGTCAGATTCTGAACATTGTGGGTTCACTTAAACCATGTTAGGGTATCCAACTGAATGTGCAAAATGCTTTACCATTCAATTTTCATAGGCACACAGTTACTGTTGAACAAAACATTCAGAAACTGAAAGAAAAAGGTATTTCAAAAATGGTAATCCACCAGTTAAATTCTAACTATAAAACATACATTTTTTAAAAAAAATTCATCAAAAGATTCCACATTAAAAATTCCTTTCCAGGAATCCTTCATCTAACCTTAAAGTCACTACTTAAAAAAAGTGTAATTACACAATCACTGATACAATTATACCATGGACAAACTCCATGTTTTGGTATCATCATCACAAATTTAGTTATTCATTGCATAATATATTTTTGCCATAAAAAAACTTTACCTGCATAAAAGACTTGTAATATAATTAAAAAATAACTGTAGCATTAAGCAGTCAAGAACATGATATAAGAAAACAAATAGAGATGAAAAAAATAATGGTATTTACACAAAATGATCAATTTGACAAGCAACAATTGAAGTGCTTAACCTTTGAAGTTCTTTGTATTAAAGTCTCAAAGCAATGCAGAACAGCAAAGTTTAACTAATGTACCTCCTAACATGAAGACAATTAACATTTTGTTAAATTCTTACCATGAAAATTTGAAAAAAAAAATCAATAATGATGTTTAAGTACTTCATCACAAAAAATGAGGTAACTTGTAACAACCTAATACTTTTCATTGGTGAAGATCATGATCAAAATAATCAAGTTAGTGCAATTTCTTCCCATAATTTTCTAATACTTATTTTGAATTTTCAAATTCTAAAACAACATATTATGCACAAGAACATTATTCAGACACTTATATATGGTACACATATCAGGTATAACTCAAAATTATGACTCCTATCTAAAAGTTCTCTGGTTAATATATTGTGGTTGTTACAGATATTACTATTCAATGTCATGAGATGCAGCTTACAGCAAAGACCTACAGTTCCTGCCTGTCTATGGTCTGCTGTGTAGCTAATGTTCTATCAGGTTCAGCTAACCTCAAGCCTTCTTTTAAAAACTTCAGATAAGCCACAGCTGAAGGATCACTAAATCTGAAATAAATAAAAGATTTTATTTAGCATTTTCTGTGCATCTCAGTATGTGTTCTCACTTATGTCCTCATTTTACTGACACCAAGGGTAAAGAAATATGGCATGATTTAGATACATGATGACACTAATGCAAGTTGAATCTCATGTAATTACTCTTAGTTACTGCACAGTGAAAGAAAAATAAAGAAGTTAAAATAAAAACTGTTCTCATCTTACTCTTTAAAAAGTCTTCAACTTATTACACTATTTGGGAAATTTACACATCAACACACTTTTTAAAAATCTCCAACTTTTCTTGTTCTAGTAATGAAATGGATATCATACACTCATCAGTCAAGGTGCTCATAAACAAAATGTGAAAAAGCAAAACCTGGGAAACTTACCCTGATTCAAGTATGCCTGGAGTCTCATCTAAGAAGGTATTAGCATTAACTTTGCTAACTACTGTTCCATTGGGAAATGCTATCATCATGGTGACTGGGAAAGTATAGGCCTCCATGGCCAATTTTGCATGGTGTGCAATTTCTGGTCGGTTCTCATCCTTTTCCAAGGCCTTGAACAGAAGAAAGATATGTTAAGCTCAAATACCACAATTACTAGGTAGTGTAAGCATGCTGTAAAATGTTCATAATGCTTTCAATTTCAATTTTAATGGACATCTTAATTTTTGGCATTGATGGTCCTAGTTTTAATCATAAATACCTAGTTACATACCTTGAGATCAACAACCAATGACCATGTGCTGATAAACTCTTCTGTCAGCAGAGAGACAACGGGCGAACTCTCCAGGGCAGTTTCCCTGAGAGTCCGCCCTGAACCTCAGCAACTCTGGTCATCTAGTGCACCCCAAAGTAATATGGAATGTACTAGTTTGTTCTCCTTGGAGGCAAGACTGTATGCTTCTGTAAAATTTATGTATGGGACCTGAAAAGAGATTAAGTATATTTAAGAAATGAATTACTTCAAGTAAAAAAAACTTAAGCTACATACATGAGTGTAACCCAATGCATGCTATATAAGTTTCCTTGCTTTACTCTGCTTCAATGAAAATGCAAAACGAAAGGTTCAATTACATTAAAAAAACACATTCCATTTTTATTCTCTGCAGCTTTTTGTATCTTTTTGCATTTGAAAGCCATTGCCACTCCATGTCTCTTGAACTGTGAAATAAACAAAATCTAAATGTATGACATGTGAAATAAAACTTGAATGCATGACATAAATCATTTACACACCTGCTTAAATGGATACATTACTGTCTCCATTCTTTTCTGAGCTTCCTCCAATGTTATTTCTTGAGTCCATGTTATGTCTGGTTTGGGTTGAGAGATAAAATCAAGGACAAGTTCTCTTATGTCTTCCCCTTGGTAAATAGCTGGGACGGAGGGTCCTGTTATGTTGAGGGCCATCAAGGGCATGTAACCAATGTCCACTTCCATGTTTTCAACATCTGTTCCACTATTTATCCATTCCATATCTGTAAATAAAGTCGAACCACGTATACAAATGCAAGAAGCTTCAATATGGCTGAGATGCGATGTCAACTTTATAAACTTAATGGCATGGAACAAAATAACCTTCACAATGGTAGGCTGCCATGAGTAGCATTTTAATGTGACAAAAATGCCCAGGATCTATTCTCTTTTTAACTGGGTAAAAATACATAAATCTTTAGCCCCTTAGGCTTCGCTACTCCCTATACAAGCTATGTATTTCACATGCTACATAGGATAATCAGAAGTTCATGGAACTATACAGCTTTCATTTCCCAAAAGATGTGGGTTTTGTGGTTTAATTTTTGCCACATAAGTTCATCTACCAGGTTATAGAACTGCTTTATCTGGAATTATGTCTATAAACAAAACCCGCAACAACATCCCATATAATACTTATCGCAGGTTCGTTTCAATTCTTTATGTACTTGGACTAAAAAGAAAACAAAGTACGATGAAAAATATGTGTTGACATTCAAGCGACAACTCACCCACGTTGAGGTTCTTTTCTGCTGGCACATACATTTCAAAGGAAATCACTTTTTGCATATTTTGAATGATGACATGACCTGTGAACTGTGCAGGGGTGAACCAAAATGGGCTAAATGGTGGTTCATTCAGCTGAAATTCTGCATGGATTCTGAAATAAGTATGTTTTTAACACCAAACACAATCAATTTTGCTGTAAAAGATAGTGATTGTTTTTCTTTGTAACGGTTAAAAAGATAACACAAAATGTCAAATGTTTGGAAAAAGTTTTTTCCTTTCCCATACAATAAATGACATACAATAAAATGACATGAAAATATGCAATCTAAAAAAAGAATAGAGAAATAGCTATGTTATGTATTCATTCTGATGTTGCTTAAAACAAAGTGAAAATTGAGCCAAAAAGCTTATTATAATAAATTACTTAATATACCGACTCACCTGAAAACTACTTCAACAAAGTCATCATTGTAGGCTCTAATACAACCCACTGATCCTCTGGGTTGAAATCTCATGTGAACAAATGGTCTTGGATGAAATAATGTCAATAGTTTGTGGATAAATATCTCACTTTCATCAACCAATCGAGGTGGGTGGTAGCGGTTACTAGACCTTGGTGCAGCCATAGATATGTCTCCTCCTGGGTTTGCAATAATATTATAAACTTCTCCAAATTTGGACTGAATAGAACGGTCTTTTGGTAACAAATTGAGGAAGTCTTTTGCTGCAAAGTTCTGACCTGGTTTGTTGGGGGTTTTCCAATGCTGTAGGCCTGTTAGAGAATGCAGATTGCCTGAAAACTAAAAAAGAAAAAAAAACATTTATACTTTTTTTGACTTGGTTAAAAATGCTGTTATGCATACATCCATAATATGGTAATAAATGCTATCAAACAATAGTTGGATCAAAATCATGAAAAAGTAAAGCAAAAGCAGTCTTGACTATGTTATCCAACAACTGAATCATATAAGGACCCCTATTACACCTTAAGATCAAAATCTAGTTCCCTGGTAGTATCAATTAAGACTTTTTCCTGTCAAGGTTTGTTTGGTTTTTAATTTTCTTATTATTAAAACAATAATAAAACTATCCAAGTGTCAGCATTTGTGACTTGGCCACTTCTGTTTTTATTTCTTATATCACTAATAGCAACAGCTATTGATTTACTAAGTACTTTAAGACTTGGCCCATCATTGTTTAGTTACATTGAGTGATAGTTACTTCATTATACATTGATATGAAAACTAGTATATATTGATAACTGCAGTCTTAGGTTTTCGAATCAATCTTTAATAGGCATATTTCCATAACAGATAACAATACCAGGTATTGTATGCAAAAAAAAAAAAAAAAACAATACCAAAATAAATTAACGTTTGCTTTAAATTCCATAAAACTATTTCACTGCATGGTGAATTAAATATATTAGAAAATCAAATGGCATTATGGTCATTTTATCACAGAAAAAAAATATTTACCATTCCATTTAAGTCTTTGGTCATAGTTTCTAATCGAAGAGGTTCAAAATAAGTCTGCACAGTGACCACCTCATCTTGCTCATCTATTGTGGAATTGTATTCATAGGTTTCCTGAAACATAACCAGTAATGAAACAATAATTATAAAAATTTTTATTGATGATTATAATAAATAGATATATATAGATAAGTAAATAGATATCTCAATAACAGGAAATGAAATTAATTTAAGACTACTAGTACTGAAAATAACAATAAGATTATTTAGTACATTTCACTTATTTCTGTAGCAATGATATTCCAACCATGTTATTGCAAAGCCATGGAATCAAGTTTTGAGCAACTAGTTTTTTTCTGTATGTGCAACAGAAGATCCAGTATTTTCAAAAAACTATATATTTGATAAGGGGGCATCTTGTAGGCTATGTATCAATTGAGGGATATGAATGGTGAGATAGGGGGATTTATTTAGGACACATTTACAAAAAACAATTTGAAGTTAAATAACGACTCAAGTTCACATGGCTGGTGAAGCAGATACACTCTGGTGATGGCCATATTATAAATTATATAAGGAGAGCTACAGTACATTTGTGGGGGGGGGGGGGGGCAAAAAAAAGGGGGAGACTCAAAATGGGAAGAATATGTGATCGCTTGTGTGTACATGTAATTGTGTATGTATCACATATATTATGCATATCCATAAGTAACTATCCACCCACATTTGTTTCCATCAGCCTGTGGGCCAGTGGCTCAAACTCCTCCAAACTGAGCACCCCATCGTCATTTCTATCATACTGTCTAAACATCATCACGCCGTCCACCCCCATGTTCTCCATAATACCTGGAGGGACGCTGAAGTGCGGCAGGGTCCAAGAAATGACCAACCATACCGTGCACCATACGGCAACAGTTCCACACAATATTATACCAGACCAAAAAAGCCATCGTGGAAATACTAAGGCCACACAGTCGGCTCGTACGGGCACCAGTGTGACGGGAACCATTGGTTTCCCTGCTGTCTTTTGTTCCTCGGGTGTTTCAGATTGCCTCCTCTGTTGTAAATCATCTTGCTGCATAGTTTCATTTCGTGTTGGGTCTCCGCTGTCCCCAGCGCTGGCTTCTGCCATCGCGAACACGACACTACACACGTATCTCCGAATCCGGATATTTGCTCAAGGACCTCAGCCTCGATTCAACTACTGTTTTTATACGGTGGTGTAAAAGTGCCGTAAATAATGGTAGAATCAGTAACACTGAATGTTTAAAAATGGGAGTAAAATACAAATCAAAAGCTTACAACTACGGCTTAATGGAGTTGGAACGCAAAACACATATCGTTAGATTATGATTTTTGAGTCTAAAACTGCAAAATTTCTCTTTTTTTGAGAAAATTGTAAGATTACTTTTAAGCCACCATACTTTTGCGTGATACCAAGGACGCTTCCATTTATAAAATACCCGGATGAGTAGTCGGAAATCTATTCGTCACACCTGCCACATTCGCCAAGCATTCCAGCTTTGGCGGTCAACTAAAATGGCCAGCGTAAACGAACGAATGTATAAACAGTGACCATACACACCACAGACAGTAAAAATGGAACTCGATAAAACAGCACCGAAGTCACATCTTCGGCTTGACTGGGTATATGGTTACAGAGGGCATCAATGTCGCAGTAACCTGCAGTACACGGCCACAAGGGAGGTGGCTTATTTTGTGGCCGGTGTCGGTATTGTTTACAATGTGAGGGATCACAAGCAGAGGTTTTACTTTGGTCATGACGATGATATCATCAGGTTAGTGGTTAGGTTTAGTAAATGCCTTGTTAGGATATTTGATTTTGGGTTCAGATTAAGGGGTACAGCTGCTATAATACCAATTATAAGATTAGTTAGTCACTGGTCTACCCCCCCCCCCCCCATCAAATTTAAAAATACTTATATTTTATCATATTTACCTTTAGAATTTAATGTATTTCAAACCTTGATGTAAACTGACACGAAAAACGTTGATGATCCTATGTCATGACTTAACTGTATTGTGCAACCCTATTCAAAGATACTGCATGTACATTAATTAGTCTGATTTGAGTGTTTGAATCAGTTCTCTGAATTAAAAGATGGGGTCAAGTTATTCTCACGGTCATGTCGTTATCATAAGCAGCTATTATTGTATTATTATATTTTAGTCTTGCCATGCATCCCGAGCAAATCCTGATTGCAACAGGTCAGGTTGGAAAGGCCCCGTTCATCTGTGTTTGGGACAGTTACACCATGAAAACAGTCTCCATATTGAAGGATGGTCACACACATGGGATTGGAAGTATAGCTTTTGCCAGGGATGGGCAGGTTTGTGTATAAATGGAGTGATTTTTGAAAGATTTTGCTTTAAAATGACAGGTGATTTAGCTTTTTAATGAAACTATTACCCATGTTTTGTTTGGGATATATATATATATATTTTAATGATATTAGATTCTACTTTTGTATTATCAATGACATTTGCTGTTTGTATTCTAATCAACTGGACTTTCATACCTACTGTTGTAGAATGAATTAGAGGTCTATTTTTTGCATTATTTATTTATTTATCTGTTTATTTATTTATTTTATTGATAATTTTTTTTACACTTGTTGTTTTCAGAGGCTTGCATCAGTTGGTACAGACCCTCAAGCAACTGTCTGTATCTGGGACTGGAAGAAAGGCAAAATCATTGCAACCACGAGGGGGCATACTGATAGGGTAAGAACAGAAAACTATCGAGTTATGGTGAATTATAATGAAATTAGGTCCTGTCCTTAAAAGATAAAACTTAAAACCATAAAGGCAGATTTGGACTGTTTATAGGCTCTCTGAGAGAGAACATTCTCTAATATATCAGATCTTAATACGCTGTTCTATGTGATACAATGAATTAATTGACTTTTAAATATGAGGTTAGATACCAAGGCTTGTAGGTCAAAATGGCAGACTAATTAATTAGTTTGTGCTTGCCCCACTGAAAGAATAAGAAAGGCATAATGCTATCAATAAATGGCAAACAGATAGTGGCAGAAATATTAAATAACTTGGTATTGAATTACATTGTATTCAATTTTCTTTCTAGGTCTTGGATATTCAGTTTAATCCTAACAAGGAGAATGAACTGGTCACATGTGGAGTAAAACATATCAAGTTTTGGACCCTGAGTGGCAATTCACTGACCTCAAAGAAAGGGGTGTTTGGAAAAGTTGGAGAAATCCAGACAATGCTATGTCTGGCCTTCGGACCTGAAGATATAACTTACTCAGGCTCCATGTCTGGAGATATCTATGTTTGGAAGGGGAATAATCTGGCAAGGGTGGTACAGAATGCACACAAGGTGAGAAAAAAAGTCAAAAGTGGAAAGGGTTGGACATTTTTAATTTACAATTGAATATATTTGGCGTAAAAGTTTAAAACATTTCACCAGATATATGGAATTTATTTGCAAGGGGTAAATGTGTGAGGTGCAAAGGGGTCTTTCAGTACACTCATCCTATAGATCCAGCTGTTATTGTATATCACAAATAAACAATCACTTACGATTTGTTTGGACTTTAGCTTTCAGTTAACTCCATATCAAAGTTAAAACAAACAAAGCTGTTAAAAGGCTGATTTTATCCTTATAATGCAGGGAGTTTATGTAATGTTCTGTAATTTTTTACACTGATTTTTCATCAATTCTTTGGTGCAATTTTCACACTCTTGTTGAGTTGTTTACTAACAGGTTTATTGTTTTATGTATAATAACACATTAATTGCAAGCATTTCTCTTTATTACAGGGTGCGGTATACTCCATGGATACTGCCGATGAGGGATATGCCAGTGCAGGCAAAGATGGCTGTGTGTGTCTCTGGGACTCTGATTTCAAACCAATAACATCCATTGATTTAGCAGACACGCCCACTGGCTATCAAGGTCATACTTTATTTGCTTGGGATGATATTTCTCTGTATTTTGGCTGAACTATGCCATTCTTCACTCTCCAGAGATCAGTTTTTTTTTTTTTTTTTGCACTGGACCCTTTTTTCAGACCTTTTACCCAAAACAAATCTGACTCATACAATTCACAATAAGAAGAGAAGCCAATGTCATATTTTTATTTTTAGATTAAATACTTTTTAGAAAATTAGAAAACTAGATAAAAATGCAGTTTAGTAGTTTGGTAATGTTTTCAACAACTATAATTGTTTTGGCAGAAAAGAAAAACATAAATGCAAATGATTACATAGCTGTATACATTATCATAATAACTTGTCCTAATAATATATTTGAAATACCTTCACCCACTCTAGGTCTGTGCATACGTAGTGTGTGCTGGCGTGGAGAGAAGATACTGATAGGTACCCAGGACAGTGAAGTCATAGAGGTGTCTGTAAGGGAGAGAGACAAGCCCAGGTGTCTGATACAAGGTCATGCAGAGGGGGAGCTGTGGGCCCTGGCAGTACATCCCAAGAAACCCATCTTTGCCACTGCAAGTGATGACCACACTTTGAGGTAAAAAGGGGTTACATGAATGACTGTGCTTCAATTGTGTATTTAAGGCAAGGAGGATTAGATTGCACCCAGTGCAGAGTTTAAAAAATATTTTAATATTAAAGATTAAATAGTAGAGAAAAATGAAAGGAATAGAAGAGCTTAATGAATTTTTAGACTATTCATTAATGAAATAGCAATGCCTTTACAACTGGTATTAGAAAACAAATCTTACCAATTGGTGTATTCTAGGCTGTGGAACATGGTGGACAATGAGCTGCTATCTCGGACCTCACTAGATCACCCCATTCGCTCCTGTGCCCTCAATGAAGATGGTACCCAGATTGCAGCAGGCATGAATGATGGCTCCTTTATTGTCCTCAAGACAAAGTATGAAATTTACTAGATATATAGTACAAGATGAACAAAGAATTTTGTCTGACACAGGCATGATTATAGTATATATCATGTTATGTTGTGATATTTTTGGAATTCTTTTGGGTTTATCTTCTCTTAAAAGTAACTCTTTTTAAGTCATTGTTAACTCGTCTTTTATGTTTATTGGTGCAGCACTAAGAGGCAATAACTTTATTTTATATCTATAGGATTTTGTAATAACGAAAGGAAAAAAAATATATTTTCAGAGATCTTTCTGAAGTTATCCAAATCAAAGATCGCAAGGAAGTAATTCATGAAATGAAATATTCCCCAGATGGACATTTCTTGGCAGTAGCCTCAAACGATAATTTTGTCGACATTTATGCCGTGGCGCAGCGCTACAAGAAAGTAGGAGTTTGCTCTGGTAGTTCTAGCTTTATTACGCACATAGATTGGTCAGAAGACAGCAAGTATTTACAGACCAACAGTGGAGCTGCAGAGAGACTGTTCTATAAAATGCCAGGTGAATACATGCAGAAATGAACGTGATAAGCAGATACGCCTGTAAATTTGTTGAAACTAAATTTCCTCTTTTTTCCACCAATATGGTACCTGGTGTTAATTCACTTCCTAGTGCTATCCTTAGAGGCGTGCAAATATGTCTATTATAAATTGCTGTGGATGAAAACTTCGTCTTCAAAAACAAAAAAAAAAAAAAAATGTTTTTTTTTGGGGGGGGGGGGGGGGGGCAGTTGTTATTCACATGGCAAAAGATTAGTTAAACGAAAAAAATGATATATGCTTGTAATTATAACTAGTTTACCTTTAATAGGTACTTAGTGTTGTAAAACAATTTCCAATCCAGTTGCTCACCTTAAAATCTTTGCTCTTCCCCTGTTCTAGCTGGCAAACGTATTACCAGCCGTGATGAGATAGAGGCAATCCACTGGTACTCGTGGACAGGTGTCCTGGGACAGGAAGTCAATGGTATCTGGGAGAAGTACACTGACACCAATGACATCAATGCCACAGATGCTTACTTTGGAGGAGAGGTCATTGTCACTGGTGATGACTTTGGGTGTGTGAAAATGTTCAAGTTTCCATCGTTGAAGAGAGGTAAGTGTTTTGATTTGTTTACCAGTTTGTTAATTGTAAAGTGTTTTTGGGTGTTTTAGATTTTTGCTTATTTCTGGTTCATTTCACTCTAGTAATTGATATTTATATTATAACCACCAGGTGAACTGTTTTGTTGTTTGAAACAACTGAACTAATAATGATGAACATAATTTTAAAACATTATTCTGTATTTTCTAAATTTCTTGATTATATTATGTATTAACCTTGTCTCCTTATAGGTGCAAAGTTCCGAAAGTATCTGGGTCATTCAGCCCATGTCACCAATGTCCGTTTCTCTTACAACAAGCAGCATGTCATCAGTGTGGGTGGTGCTGACCATGCTATCTTCCAGTGGAAGTTTATTCCTGAAGGGGCACCTTTAGAGGGAGATGACCAGCAGGAAGCTGAAAGTGGAGGTATTCCATTCTACCCTTGGGCCATGGCAACATATGTAGTTTGATGAATGATAAATGATTGGTGGAAAAAGTCAATTAAAAAAAATTTAAGCCAAATAATTTTCTGAAACCCAATTAAATAATCTGAAATGTTTGACTGTTTGATTTTTTAATGCAAGTGTGTCAGTTACTTATTTTTTTACAACAGGACAAAAAGCTCTGAGGAATAATAAGAGGAGAGCTGAAAGAAATTTCGCTTCATGTGAACATTAAAGTAAATTTAATCAAATACACTTACTTAAAACTAAGGTCTGTCTTAACTATCATATTTAAACATGTATGAAATATTTTAACAGAACATGTGGACTCTAATAGTGAGGAGAGTGACTCAGACGTGTCAGATGTTGGAGAACTTGACTCTGATGTTGAGAATGAGAAACAGGTGCAATATGACAGAGCTGTGTATAAGGAGGATGCATCAAAACTAAAGACAGCTATCAAGGAAGAGATGGAACCTGGGGAAAAGAGAAATAAAGCACCAGATGAAGGCCTAAAACTGGAGTTTGTTCATGGGTTAGTTTAAAAAACAGTAATGAACTGCTTCTAAATATTGCTTATCTTTAGCTTGGTTTTACCAGCTTAAAACCTTCTGACCATATGGCATATATCTGATTTTTTAACATGGTTTAAATAATGAATCAGCTCTGTCTGTTGTAAACTTGATTTAAGGACTAGAGGCCAATTATTTGAATCAACATTTAAAGAAAATTTTCAGCAATTTTTGTTGCCAGCTTCCACCTAGCTTATAAATTTTGATATATACTGATGTAAATACTTTACAGATATCGCGGGTATGACTGTCGCAACAACTTATTTTACACCCAGTCTGGAGAGATAGTATACCATGTGGCAGCTGTAGGAATCGTGTACAGTAGAGATCACCACAGACAAAGATTTTATCTGGACCACACAGATGATATATTGTGCCTGGCAATCCATCCAATAAAAGACATCATTGCTACTGGACAGGTATGAAGGTTAATTGTTGCTCCACCCCCACTTTTAGAATTGAGAATGTAAGAATATTTTATATTATTAGTTGGATATCACAACAGACATTTTCACCAGGGTTACAAAGATGGTGTACTGTGCGTAGCAATTAGCCCAGTGAAAGATTTCATTGGAACTGAGTAGGTGCAAATGCTGTTTTTTTTTTTTTTTTTTTTTTTTTTTTTGAATTATTATTATTATTATTTGTTGATGAATGATACAGAAATATATTGTTATTTTTTATTAAGACAATGTGGATTAGTGTATATATCTTGATAAAAATTGAAATAGATGTAAAAAAATGATGTATAGTTAAACAATTGGACTTTGAATATGACATTTAACCTACCTTAAGGTGAATCCAGCATATTACAGTTGATATGTTATTTCTGTACTAGGTTGGAAGAGATCCACCTGTTCATGTGTGGGATGCAGAAACACTGAAGTGTTTATCTGTTCTCAAAGGGCAGCACCAGAGAGGTATATGTGCAGTAGACTTCTCAGGTCAGTATCCCCCAAAGCTTTTTTTTTTTTACAGATTTCATGTTTTTCACTTTTGAATTCGATATGTATAGGAATGCTGTAAAAGGTTTTTATTGCTTTTGGTGTTCTTTTATTATCTCAAGTTTCTCACATTCTTGTTTCCCAGTTTGAGTATGGCTTGACTGCATGGTATTTGGAATTGAATTAAAACAATACGTGACTTTGATATTTGTTTTAGGAGATGGTAAGAAGCTGGCCTCTGTTGGGCTAGATGACAACCATACCATAGTGGTTTGGGACTGGAGAAAGGGGGAGAAGTTAGCAACAACAAGGTAAAGGCTAGAGCACACTGTATTCAGCTTGGCTGCCTGTCTTTCGAGGCTAGCTTTTCCAGGTGTATTACTCTTATTTTATTTTATTCTTTATGATTAATCATGATCTGTACTTCTGGCATGGTCTGAAGTTCATTGTGAGCTAAATTAAGGTTTAGTATTTTATCTATACACATGATTAAAATTCAAGTTATTACTCTCTACTCAAGTATGTAGTTCAATGCATGCTGCTTTTAAACATGGCATTTGACCTTTCCACAGTTTATTAGAACTATTCTCATAACTTTCTGCTCCTTCTCCTACTCATGAATGGTAAACATTGCTTAAATAACACTAAGTTATGCATTAAATATCTGTTACTGTACACTTCAGAGGTCACAAGGACAAGATATTTGTGATCAAGTGGAATCCTTACGATCTGAATAAACTGGTGTCTGTAGGAGTGAAGCATATTAAATTCTGGACACAAGCAGGTGAGCACCAATGTGTTTTATTTAATTAGAAGATTTCATGCCTGGTGAGGGATTACTGATCTCTCCTTTATGTCAGGAATGGTGAACAGCAGTTTTAACATTTTGATTAAAGGTTTTCTTTTTGTTTGGTGCAGGGAATTAGCAGTTTTTTTTTAAATTGGTTAACTAGACAACAGTGTTTTGTAGAGATTTTTAGTCATCAGTTCAATGAACAATAATGTCTAAAAGCTCTGAATAGTAATTTAAGAAATTAATATATTAACATCCAGCACAGGCATCTATGACAAAGTACTCATACTCAGACATGAACTAGTGGTGGTTTTATCTTTGTATGTGCATTTTAAAGGTGGTGGTTTCACAGCTAACAGAGGCACATTTGGCACAGTGGGTAAGCTGGACAGCATGATGTGCATTACATTTGGTAAGACTGAGGATGTGTGTTACACTGGAGGGGCTAATGGAGAGGTCTACATATGGCAGGGGGTCACTCTGCTCAAAACAGTCAAGGCCCATGAAGGACCCTGCTTTGCCATGCATGCTTTAGACAAGGTACGGTAATGTTTGGGGTTATAGCATGCGATAAGTACTTTGAAAATAACATTTAACTCAAGTTGTGCTATTTTGGTTTTTTCATTTGGTTATAATTATCTAAGATAGGGTACATATAGCATGTTCTTATTTGAATTAAATCAGTGGGAAATGTTTTACTTTAAATGCACTATAATAGAGTTATGTATGCATTAAGTAGGATGCATTACAGCTTGGTAGGTTTTTGCAACAGGAGGAAATAACAGGTTTTTGTTATGAACACTTTTTTTTCAAAAACGAATGTCAAAAGAATTAATTATATAAAAAAAGACACGCTTGACATTTCAGGGTTTTGTAACAGGAGGTAAAGATGGTATCATTGGTCTCTGGGATGAACAGTTTGAGCGGTGCCTAAAAACCTATGCTGTGAAGAGAGCCACCCTGGCACCAGGGACACGAGGTCTCTTGGTGGAGGACAGTCCAGCCATCAGGGCAGTGGTCCTTGGACATGGACACATACTAGTGGGAACTAGGAATGGAGAGATTTTAGAAGTGGACAAATCTGGGCCCATGAATATTTTAGTCCAGGTATGTGATTTTCTACTGAGTGTTTATAAAACCAGAGAAGACATAGATGTTTAAAGGAATAGGTTCCTAAGTGTGAAAAGTCATTTTTAAACATCTTTTATATTGTTATTTTTACCAGACAATATAAAATTGAAAAAAAAATTAAGGGCTGCTACAACTGCTTTCCACTCTATTGGTTTTAACTTGTGTTAACTCCCAGGGTCACAAGGAAGGAGAGCTGTGGGGTTTGGCCACCCATCCAATCAAGAACTACTGTGCCACAGTGAGTGATGACAAGACCCTGAGGGTGTGGGACATTACCAGGGAGCACCGCATGGTGAACTGTAAACTGATGAAGAAACCAGGGAGATGCTGCTGCTTCTCACCAGATGGGAAAGTCATTGCTGTAGGACTTAATGATGGTGAAGTGAATTTTATACTTGTTAATTTAAAGTGGGACTTACTGAAATGTGCAGAAATAAAACATGAAAAACATGTTGTTATTGTATGGAGGACGTGATCTAAAGACACTATCTGTCTGGAAACAAACTATAATAGACTTGTATTATCCAGTATTATCCAGTAAAAAAATCTCAGTTGTCTCAACCAACATAAGCTTGATAAAGTGTGTTTGGATAAATAATTATTGACTCTAAAAAATTAACATATTTGAAGTCACAGATTTACTTTTGCAGGAAGCTTTGTTGTAGTCAATTCTGACACGTTGGAGGATATTGTTGCCTTTCACCACAGAAAAGAGGAAATCTCAGATATAAGGTTTGCACCTGGTAAGTTGAATGTTATCTTTTGTCTTGATCAGAAATTCACCAGGCAAAAATCTTTTAAGATATCATCAAAATATGAATATGAAGGTTTAAATCCCAAATTTTATTATTTAAAAATTGAGATGTTGCTGACATATCAGTTTTGTTTTATTTACTTGAAAAGATGAAGTCTTCATCTTTTACCAATACCTGTTTTGAGCTTGGTTATTAACACTTTTTTTCACAACAGCTACAGGTTATTCTATGTAAAATCATGATGATGTCAGTTAGTATAAGATTTAAACTAAACTGATTTTTTTACAGATCCAGGAAAATACCTTGCAGTGGCTTCCCATGATAACTTTGTAGATATTTACAATGTGCTGAGCAGTAAAAGGGTGGGTGTGTGTAAGGGAGCTTCCAGTTATATCACACACATTGATTGGGACTCAAGAGGTAGGTCACCCAAACTGGTGGTATCTAAATAGAAATAATTTATCTGCCTGTTAGGTTTTTATGGGACTAATGAATTTCTGAGACTCCTCTAAGAAATAAAATCCATCACTAGTGTTTTCAGTTTATTCTACATCCCAGCATCTGTAATTCATTGTGTTACAAATAAAAAATCTGGCCCATGTTATAGGTAATATGCTAGCTAAAATAACACCCTTTTATGCAGATTGTGCCATCTTTATGAAGATATAATTCTGAACAACATAAAATGTCAGAGCAAGATTCAAATATTTAGTTTCAGAAAAATGCTACTATATATAACATTTTCGTGTTTCAGGAAAGCTCTTGGTGGTGAACAGTGGTGCAAAAAACGAGCAGTTATTCTTCGAAGCTCCGCGGGGTAAAAGACAGGCGCTTCGTTCAGCAGAGATGGAGAAGATCAACTGGGCCAGCTGGACTGGTGTGTTTGGGCACACAGTAACAGGGATATGGCCGCCAAAGAGTGATGTCACTGATGTGAACGCCACCTCCCTGTCATATGATAGGAGGTTGTTGGCAACTGGGGATGACTTTGGATTTGTCAAGGTTTTTGAATATCCAGTGAAGGTAAAGTAATTTTTTTGACCAGTACAGAGAGAAATATTTTTCAGGTCATCATTTGTGACTATGAAATGCCTTTAGCTTAATAGTAAAGTCGGTAGTTGTTTTAGGGTATGATCTATATTGTATGTAGAAAATACTTTGGAGTTATTGAAAACCTTTGTATATTTTTTTTAGTGCCAGCATTGAAAATGTATAATTTCATACTAAGTGCTGTGCTTCTTTTTTTCTTTACAAAAAAAAAAAAAAAAAAAAAAAAAAAAATTAAGACAATTCATGATGATCATAACAACTTTCACATTATGGTTCTTCCTAGGGCAAATTTGCCAAGTTCAAGAAGTATGTAGGTCACAGTGCCCATGTGACCAATGTCCGCTGGAGTGCCCAGGACAAGTGCCTGGTGTCCACTGGTGGTGCTGACACAGCTGTCATGGTGTGGGCACACCCTGCAGCAGGAGACAGAATGGTGACCAGAGGAGAGAGTGATGACTCTGATACTGACTCTGAAGAAGATGGAGGTGAGGAAATGAGCGGAAATTAATTATCAGTGATGATGGTGGTATGAAGGTTTTTTTTTAATTATGAAGCAGAAGCATGTTGAAGAATGAAATGTGCGATTGACATGTTTTTTTTCACTCTAAATCTAAGTGTTGTAATGGAAACAGTGCTTGTGAAAAAGGCACAATGCAAACATTTGCATAATTCTAGATTTTGATTATAAATAAACTTTGTGTTAAATTTGAAAATATACCAAATCTTACTATTTTTGAATATATTTTCCAATGTTTTCAGGCTATGACAGTGATGTTACAAGAGAGAAAGACATGGATTATGATGCCAAGACTTATGCTAATCCAATCAGAGAAACAACTGGAGTAAAACCACACTTACAGGAACAGAAAGAAGAAATCGACAAGTATGTATTAACACTTGGATGCCACTGTAACATCTATTACACTGCTAGTTAAAATACAGTTTTTACCAGAGAAATGTAGATTAGGTGTAGACAAGATCATAAGGGATATTGGTGATAATGAAAGTTCAAAGCTAATGTATCCCTATATATTTGCTTTCTATATTATTGTAAAATGAATTAAAAAACTTTTTGTATTTAAGGCCTACTGTGAGCAGAAATGCACCAGAGACTGTGAAAGTCCAGAGGTCAGATCTCAGTCAGATGTCCACCAACAGTAAAAGGAAGAAAATCTCAGAGATATCAGTATGTATAGTGTTTACTTCTCAAAGCGAGAACCTTTTGTTCTTTGACTTATATATTTATAATTTTTTAACGTATTTTTAAACATCTGGATTTTACCCAAACATTTTCTTGTCACTTGAACATTAAATAATATACCTGGCTATTACATTTTGTCCTGTAGGATTTGTCCCTGGAATTTATCTATGGCTACCGTGGCTTTGACTGCAGGAATAACTTACATTATCTCAATGATGGAGCAGACATAGTCTACCATGCTGCCGGGGCAGGGGTGGTCATGAATCTTGCTACAGGTAAGCCAAAGGAGGCATTGGGTCTTTTAAACTTTACTGTTCTCTGAAAAAGAAAAATGAGCAATTTCAGCTTATCTGACCTGTATTTTACAATTTTGGATGTCTCTGTGTAGTGGCTTTGTAAGATTTTGTGTGAAGGTACAAGTAAAGGTCTGGCACCCATGGGGGTGCATTAGTCCCTTACCTGTTTAATAAAAATTTTAATGATGTTAATGAAAAAAATTTTTTTTTAAATTAGAGGCAATCAGTCTCTCAGTGAAACTCACAGATTTCACCTGCCACTGAAATTTATCCAATTCCTATTATCCAGGCAATCAGTCTTTCTACCTTGAACACACAGACGACATCATTTGCCTCACTGTCAACCAGCATCCCAAATACAAGAACTTCATAGCCTCTGGGCAGATAGGAGCCTCCCCAGCCGTCCATATCTGGGATGCTGTCAGCAAGCAGACAGTGACAGTACTACAGGGGCACACCAAGGGAGTGTGCTCTGTGGACTTCTCTTGTACAGGGAAACATTTGGTCAGTGTGGGGATAGATGCTGAACACACTATTTGTGTGTGGCGGTGGCAGGAGGGTAAGTTCCTGTTGACCTGTGTTTCTCACTGGCAAATTATCACTTTGTATATTTTTATAGAATGAGGGATTTTTTCTCACTCTTGAAGATAACTGAAAGTGGATATTCAGCACTCTTTTCCACTTCATGTGCCAAGACAAAATTATACTGTCAAATAAATGGGGGAGAACTTTTTTATAGGTATGTTAATGTTACAAGTTCAGGTCTTTCAAAAATTAAAAGAAAAATTGTCACCTTCAGCCACCAAAGTTGCCAGCTGTCCAGGTCACACAGAGAGAATCTTCAGAGCAGAGTTCCGTCCAGATTCTGATGGTCATTTTGTGACCGTTGGTGTGAAACATGTCAAATTCTGGTCAGTTGCTGGTGGAGAGCTCATTGGGAAGAAAGGAATCCTAACAAATGCTGGTTCTGGAGCAGATGTACAGCGGATGCAGACTATGTTGTCCATAGCTTTTGGAGCAGTAAGTGGTTAACCTTGCATACACGTACACTAACACACACACAAAACTGACTGATTTATTCAGAACAACTCTCTTACATTTTATCAATTTATATACTTATAATTACAAAATTGGATAATTGCTATACTCAAACACAATATGTTATTTGATGGAAAGCCTCACAGGTGATAGGCAAATAGTGAAAATGGCTATAAAATGTGGCCTTTACATGTGCCCTCTGCCTTCTTTTGAATGGATACCTCCATACCATGTCATATTTTTTGCCTTTCAGAATAACTTAACCTACACTGGAGCCATGAGTGGTGATGTTTATGTGTGGAAGGACAACACTTTACTTCGTCTAGTGAACAAAGCACACAATGGGCCAGTATTTACCATGTTTACCACTCTCAGAGATGGACTTATTGTGACAGGAGGAAAGGAGAAAGTGTAAGGGAAATTTTAAAAAAATATAAAAGATTATCATGTGCATGAGGAAAACGGGAAATTTTAATGAAAAACCCAGGAAATTATAGTGATATGCAGTCATCTTTTAGAGCACCAAAATGCTTTAGCAAAATTGAATAGTTTTACATTCATAAAGAACAAAGCTAATGTTGCTGGCACCTTGAGCATTGTATTTGCATTCTTGAACATTTTAAGGTGGTTCCAAAATGGTATATTTAGTCAGCAGTTGTTTTGCTCTACATGTGGTTCTAAATTTTAATTTCTTGCTGATTATTTTACAAATGTGAGTTGTACATTAACCATACCTTTAAGTACAAATGTTGGAATTGGGGATTTCAGAGGGAAAGAAAGTGGGGCAGTAAAACTTTGGGACCAGGAAATGAAGAGGTGCAGATCTTTCCAGTTGGACTCTGGAGCACAAGTAGATGTGGTGAAATCTGTATGCAGAACCAAAGTAAGTGAGAAGATTATTGGAGTGTTCATATCAGAGTCATTAGCTTTGATAAATTTTGTATTTATGTTGTTTTTGTTAAAGAACTTGACTACTACAGATGTGTAGGGAGAGCTGGTTTAAAACATTGCTAAAATGCTGTAGTCATCAAACCTTTTTGTTATAAAGTACAGACAATTGATCATCCTTATGAGACTGAGAAAAAAGACTGCCCAATATATTACAACTTACTTGAAACTGATTTCAATGATAGGAGATTTACCACCTACTTTGATACTGTATTATATACACAGCTATTTTATTTTACTAGCTTCAACATTACTTGTCCACTGTATACCACATACAAGAGAATAAACATACAATTATAATAAGAAATTATTCTCTCTTGTATGTTGCCTACAGTGGACGACAAGACGAGATAACTGACAAAGCTAATGGCACTTTGAACAATAGGATAGTTGCACTTGTATTTTGCTCAGAATGCAGTGAAGCATATTAAAAAAGAGTCAAGTGTGTAAGCAAAATACAAGTTCAATTATCTTATTGTTTGAAGCACCAGTTGGGGAATAAATGCATATAAAATATATATTGCCTACTTACAGGGTAAGATTCTAGTGGGCACCAGAGACAGTGAGATCTATGAACATGCAGAGAAGACAGGAGCTGTACAGGTGCTGGTCAGAGGTCACAGTGAGGGAGAACTCTGGGGACTGGCCACTCATCCCACCATGGCCAGGTTTGCCACAGCCAGCTATGATGGTACTGTTAGAATATGGGACATTGTTAATAAGGTAGGCAGTATTAATGTTGTAATTATTGGGAAAAATTAATGGAAAAAGAGTAAAACCATTGAGAGCTGGCATTAAAGAGTTAGTTTCCATTACATGTTTGTGTGATTTTTATTTTTTAATTATTTGAGCCACACTACACATTTGTCAGTCCTTAGGCCGTCAATATATTTTGTAGTAGTTAAAAACACTGAAAGTCCAAAAGAAAAAATCGGTTTCATCCAAATGTGTGTGTTTCTTCAATCATCATATTTTCTGTAATTTTGAAATGGTGTTCCCACCATTAAAGAACCATTCATTTTGATCCTACATTCCAAAGACCAAAAGAAAGTTTTGTGACCAATCTTTTGGACACATATCATTAATGCATGTACTATGCATTCTATTTCTAGTATTGATTTTCTTCTTATTTCTTCCTTATGCAGAAATAATTTGCAGTTTTTTCCTAATACTTTTAAAAATATATATATATTTTTTTAATTTTCATTCGTGATAAACATTTCACATAAGTCCAATACACTGTTACTTACACCTATGACCACTGAACCCTTAATTACTACTAGACAATCTAACAAAAAGAATGTTTCACACTTCACTACTCCCCAGATAATCTGACCTCAGCCTTGCCATTATGTTCCCCTTTTTAAATTTCAAGTTGATGACTTGAACATCTAACATTTGTTTGTAGATGATGGTTCAGAAGCTGGCCATAGGTGCCGCCCACTGTGTTGACTTCAGTTCTGACGGAGAGATGGTGGCTGTTGGACTGAAGACAGGAGAGTTCATGCTCCTTACAGTCACAGGCTTAACACTGTGGGGAAAGAAGAGGGATAGAAATAAAACAATTACTGACATCAGGTATGAAACCAAAGAGAATATAGCATATCTCATGGAGCTCACATTCATTAACTCTCATATGTGTCATTCAGAGGTATGCCTTATTATTAATTTGAAAACATCTTTGGCAAGCAAACTCTGTGGAAATAGAATACAAGTCAGTTTGAAGTATTTAAAACACAAATGAAACTTATATTGGTTAGATGAAGAAATTGGTTGAAATCATTAAAGAGTTTCTTAACAAAATTTATTTTGTTTTCCAGATTCAGCCCAGACTCTAAATACATAGCAGTAGGTTCTGAGGATAACTGTGTAGATCTGTATGATCTCTCTCAGGGCCCCAGCCTTAACAGAGCTGGTTACTGCAAGGGAATCCCTAGCTTTGTCATACAGATGGACTTCTCTGCAGATGGGAAACATCTGAGGGTTAGTTAACAGATAAAGATGCATAAGAACTAGGTTAAAGGATGATTCAAACTAATTACCTTATTTCTATATTAATTTAACATGGCTAAAACCATTTTACTTTTAAATACTTAGAGGTAGAACACATGAAAAGGGTGTCATGAATACATTTACAATTTGGGTCATCTGCAGTGTATTTTCAAATAAATTAATACCAGTACTAATATCAATAACAATAGGTATGCACTGTAATACTTGTTCATTAAGGAAACAATTTGGTTGGCATATATTCTCTAATATAAGCAATTCCCTCTAGGTGAGTTCTGGAAGCTATGTTCACCAAGTTTTTGAAGTGCCCAGTGGGAATCCAGTCAGTGATGAAGCTAAAATTTCAAAAATAACTTGGGCAACGTGGACTAGGTAGAGTGCTATTTTATAGAGCATCATTTTACTCTTCACCGTAATAATTTTGTTTCCTGTTATGTGGTAGATAATTCACCAAACCTAATTTTTTATTTTAGTTTGTTAGTGCTTATGTCTTAAAGCTTCACTTTTAGAACCATTTTTGAAAATGATTTTTGCAGCCACTTTAGAATTAATGAGTTAAACTTAAGGGGAATTATAAAATATTAGTTGAAGTATTTATTTTTATGAAAAATGAACATTTATTTTTTTCAGTGTCCTTGGTAACGAAGTGCTTGGTATTTGGCCACGCAATGCAGACAATGCTGATGTTAACTGTGCTCATCTGGCTCACACTGGCAATGCACTAGTGACGGGAGATGACTTTGGCTTGGTTAAACTATTCCAGTTCCCATGCACAGAAAAATTTGTAAGTTCAACCAGTCAATTTTTTATTAATTTTACACTTCTACTCACCAGCATAAATGGTGACTTTATCAAAGTGCTTGTAACAGTTTGCCTCTAAAATATGTCTAGTGAGCTGTTGTCATTTAGTCAAGCCCAAGCTTTGTACCTGATGCTCGCAAGCTTCTTTATGCATAAATATCCATGTATGCCTGCTTGTAATAAACCTGCACAAATTGAGTTCTTAATTAAATAGCTAATATGCATTGGACCTATAGCTAATTGTAAGGCTAACATAAAGGCAGTGGAATCTAATGAATAAATTGAACCATATGCATCTTCATTGTAGGCTGCACATAAGAAATACTATGGACATTCTGCCCATGTCACCAATGTGAGGTTTACTTTTGATGACAGATATCTCCTCAGCACTGGTGGGGATGATTGCTGGTAAGACTGACCTGCGTTTTCAAGTTTTGCTCAAAAGATGAATTGTGACTGTCATGTATTTTATATAATTTGCATGTATTTGTCAATTTATCAGACAATTGTTTAATTTAGCCTAAATAAACCCTCTTTAGTTTTTCGCAATGTTTTGTATCCTGATGAGCTACTTTTTTCTATTAATTTAATATGTGTAAAGCAATGTTTTATTCCTTTGCTTGACAATCATGTCACCGAAATTTTTTGAACCAAATTAATTTTTTGTTCTTTTATTCTTAAAGCATCTTTGTTTGGAAGTGTCAGTGAAGTCAGGAAGAAAGAAAGGTGGAGACAGCACCAGAAGACCATCCTCAGGGCATTTTGTTTTAAAACCTAATTGAAAAAATAACAAGCGACTTTCAAAAATGGGTGTTGCCATTTTTAAATGTGATACCAAGCTGTACTTGTAAGAAATATAAATTTAAGATATTTGTGTTCTGTGCATCTGTCCTATTCTGTACTTGACTGTACATGAAGGTGTCAAAATTTCATTTTAATGATAAAAAGCATGATTTAACTTAAATTTTAGCATTCCAGTCTTCCCTATGACGTGGAAGCACAGCACAATATCACCTGCAGAAAAACTTTTATGAAAGTAGATACATGTTAATGTCAATTAAATGTTTTAAGTATTTTTTATTTATATGTGTTGTTAACAAATTTATTGGTGTATTACATTCACAATTCGTAAATATGATGTAGTTGACCTTGGCTGTTATTTGTATACATGTTATACATAAGAAATCTGTTTAGGAAAAATCTTTCATATATCATTGTATCAGATCTTTATTTTCTATACTGTTATGTAATATGTACATGCTTTAGATTAATAAAAAATAAATAAAACCAAATGTACAACGGTGTGTATCAGCTATGTGTACACTAGTGATGTATAAAACAGTCCCTTAAAAACCAGCCTGGCAAAATAAGTCATTATACCATGCATCTGGTTTAAAATTAAATAAACTTATAACTGGTATATAGGTAAGCTTGAATAATACCACTTACATTTTCCAAACCAGAAGAGATGTTTTGTACACAAAATTTGAAAAACCATAAACATATGACATTAATAATTTCATTTCTAAGAATTCACATGGTAAAGAGTTATATTGTTGAATTCAATCACAGATTATTTGTGGAAAAGAAATCATTATCTTCTGATGGGTTACCAAACACCTTTTGAGTAATGTGTGGTTTATCTGATTCTTCATTGCTTGCATTCTCTCTGATTTTCAAGTTTTTCTAACATTTTCCATAGGTTTTCATGGGTTGTGTGGTTGTAGATCATTATTGTATCGGTAATCTAAATGCTATTTCCTAATAATGCAAAGCATCATAAAAAATCATCAGCTACTTTTTTGTGCAATGTCTTGTCCATCTTGTACATCTGATTGATCATTGTTAGTTTCCTGAATTACTTTTTCAGCTTCCTGCAGTTTTCCTATTTCATCTGCCATATATTTTATGGGATCTCCTGGGCGTTGATATATTATTCCAGATGTTATTCCCTAAAATGGGTATGAAGTGGTATTTTTAAACTGTAAATGAATTTACTATAAATGAAGCAATGTTTTATCCCTTTGCTTGATAAACTTTGAACCTGACTGCCTTAATTTAATGATAATTTCAACATTTTTTACTCTAAAAAGGTAATCTTAGAAGTAAAATATATTAACTTCACACAACCATTAATGTTTTGCTCATTCGCTCAGAATAATACATGCATGTATAAAAAGAAACGCCTCTTTTCAAATCAAGTAACATGACGTAAATTTTGTCTTTTCATGGGGAAATTAAACAGTTGCTATGCTATGGCTTGGCTTCCATAGCAACCACAACTAATGACTTTACCTGAAACAACTGCAGGATATTATGCTCTTCTAAATATCGAACGGCTTTCCGAAATGGATCTTGGAGTGGTGGCACATATGCAACCTTTTCCTCTTTTTGTGCACCTCCTTGTGCAGTAACCTCATGAATTATGTCCCCTGACGTTGGATGATCACTTCTGTCTTCTGCTACACCACCAAGATCTGATTTAACTTCGTCGTGTGAGTCATTCGTGTCTTGAAGAGCCGCAACCAGTTCACGCTTCACGATCTCAAGTTTTTCTCTTTCTGTCAGTTCACGAGTTTGTTTAATCTCTGATTCAAAACTGGCGCTTACTTCTGTGTTTGTATCCATTATTATCATTTAATCATTATTATTATTATTCGTGGAACAGGAAGTGGACCTCATTTCTGTTGTTAGCAGGTACTCACACGGTTTCGATGACCTCACCAAACTTGTGCACAGGTTTTGCTTCCGTATTGCCCATGTGACTTATTTTATCCAATGAGAACGAGTAAATTAGTTTCACCTTGGGCTTTTCCCATGCTTATTTTTAGAAGAGTGATATCAGGGAATTTTTCGATCTCTTGAAATATACTACAAATTTCCACCGTAAACCATTCATATATACACAGTGAGTGGATGAACCTATCGCTTTTTGCATGCTGGTTTAAAGTTATAATTTCATATCCAAGATACATAGTTGACATTGACAACCATCGTGCGTAGTACTAGCTGACTTGTGGTATTTGGAAAACGTAAGTAGGAAGTGCCTCAAAAGCTGCGAAGTTTTTAGTTCTGCCATGTGACAAGCGTCAGCATTTTTTGCAGAATCGTACGAAATCTTTTTAAAACCATATCTTACGTTAGTTATGATAATACTGTTGAGGGTTATACTTGGCGCCACGAAACTAAGTTTTGAAATGTGGCGCAAAACTTGATTATGTCGGTTTCATTTTTGTATACACACATTTCCTCAGTTTTTTGCTGAACAAGTTACATGCTATATGTGTACTTACGACATATTGTTAGTGCCTTGCATGTAGGGGCATGCAGTGATACTGACAGAGATACACGCATCATCCGTGCTTAAGTTACTTTATTTTAGTTAAACGTTTTGCTCACTGTTTTTTTTTTATGTATATATACTTAAACTCTTAACCCGAGATTATTTGAATGATTTATGTTTTATGTGATGTTGGCTAGGTGTCGCATATGTCCATATGAAATTAATACAGTTTGAATATAGTTTGATTAGCGTAGCTAAAAGTGTTCATTCTAGATCATTTTTCGCTCAAAATGATTAATTAGTACCTGTGCATTTTGCCCCATAAACTTTAAAGTTTAGGTGGCAAAATTTTCGTTTTTCAAAATTTAGTAAAGTGGCGAGTTTGATCACCATCTTTGCCTTTTGTATAAACTTGGTTGATATTTTATTTCACAAATGACCATTTACTTTGTCAAGTATAATGAGAACTGAGGTCATTTCACAGAACATTTAAAAACCAGTTAAAAAGCAGAAACACCAGCCTACTGCATAAGCATCCAAGTTTTAGCTGTCAATATAAAGCTAGTTATTCATGGTATAGATCTAATATTTATGTTCCATAGTGAGATCATACTGTAGAAAACATTTCTGTGTTTGTGTACTAGTAAATACAGCAAGGGGAATGACACAATGCTGAAATAAGTTTAACGGCCACGATCTCTGCAGCATTTCTTCCAGTTCTAAATAATTATGTATAACATTTGTTTTAGAACACTGTCAATATGTTGCTCATTGAATTTAAATAATCTAATAACTAATTTTTACTTACAGAACATTGAAAGATGAACAGTGCAGACTTTACTGACCTGATGCAGCAAGCAAATGTTGACATGATGACAGCACAAAATGAACCCGCTTTTACCATGTCAGATGTTGGTAAGTAAAACAATTGTGGCAAAATGTAAAAGAAAATGTCTGGCTAAATTGTGAAATTTGCTGGTCATATTGTAGGTCCTGTCATTTTATTTCTCTTTTTGACTTGATACACTCGTAGGAAAAGTGAAAATAGTTCTTAAGTTAGTTTAGTTTATAAATTACATTAGTATTTTTGTTTGAAATACTTCTAAGAAATACATTTTTTATGATGCTTTTGTAGATCATTATTAGTATTCTAATTGGTTATTGAAACTCTTATAATTTATTAGTTTAAAGTTTAAATGACTGGATTACATTTTTAGATGCCATATTGAGAAACGAAGATGACAGCTCCCAGCAGTCACTGTATAGACCCCAACCAACAACTGATGCTGCTGCTAACATGCCAAAAGAAGTGAGAGATGTCTGGGTTCAAATTGTTGAGCAGCCTCGACAGAGAGGAATGAGATTCCGCTATGAATGTGAAGGAAGATCTGCTGGTAGCATCCCAGGAGAAAACAGCACAAACGAACAAAGGACCTTCCCAGCAATTAAGGTAAATATCTGCTTGTGACTTTCATGGCTGGTTAAGTAACAAGTAAGCAGAGTGGACTGAGCTCATGAATGCCTTGTACATTTCATTCAGTGGCGTAACTTCTTTGCTACATCTCTCTAGAAAATGTTGATTTCCAAAATTAGCATTGAATTGAAAATTATATTTTATTTTGTGTCTTCCAGATAAACAATTATAAAGGTCCAGCAGTGATTGTGGTCAGTGTTGTGGACAAAGGTAGCCCTCCAAAACCTCACCCCCATGCCTTGGTGGGCAAAGACTGCACAAAGGGAGTGTGCACTGTTAAGATCCGATCCACAGGACAACCTATACAGTAAGTTTATTACTTATGTGATTTTTTCCTTGTCTTTTTTATTTTTGATTTCTGTTTCTTTCTCATTTATTTATTTGTTTTTTTAACATATTTTTTCACATATATAGGAAATTAAAAAAAAAAAAAGATATGGCATGCATCATTACCTTGATGGTGCTATTTCATGTTGCGTGATCATTCACAAACTGATTTCATGAAGTCTCTCACCTTCGTTTCTGTTAATTTCACTTCAGATTTCCAAACCTTGGAATTCAGTGTGCCAAGAAGAAAGATGTCTCAGAAGCTTTAAAGCAGAGGGAACAGATCCGAGTTGACCCATTCCAAAGTAAGCAGAGCATCTAATCATTTCTTTAGGTTTTCCTTGTTATATGGTACCCAAATAGAATAACTGATTTATAGATTCCTTGGGAAAACATTTGGGACTTATAGTTGGTACACAGCAAAAATTTGACATTGTTTTATAGTAAAATCCATACCTCATGATGTTATTTCATATATACATTTCAGCGGGGTTTAAGCACATGAAATCCAGCAACATTGACCTGACCGTTGTAAAACTTTGTTTCCAAGTGTTTCTACCTGATGAAAATGGAAAGTTTACCAAAATTGTCCCACCAGTTGTGTCCCAGCCCATCTTTGACAAAAGTAAGTTTTGTGAATTATGTTTATTATTTGTATGTTTTTGTTTATATACACTGTATAGTGATATCCAAATAAAGATTTTATAATAGAGAGTTTCCGTTGCCAGTGAAATACGCCTGCTAGATTAATACGTCATTGGTTTGTGCGCACTTGTGACGTTTACCGCGTTCATATACCGTCGTTCTATCTAGTCTGCAGAATACAAGCGCTCCTACCTAGCCAGTGCGGAAGATTATTGGAAATAGTTATTAAAGGTTATGTTTGCTAATTTATATGCCTTATATACTTTTTTACAATAGTTCAAGTGTACGTTCATGCAAATTTCGACTTTTTAAGAGAGAGGAGTCGCTTGTTTTGGTTTATCAGGCACGTAGTCGGGGGTTGATCGTGGGGTTCTTACTAACCGCCATTTTTGTCGGGGAAAAATTGCACTTTTGGGTAATATTTGTCTCCTTTTTCATAAAAAAAAATCTCCCCCTTGGAAATAGATGGCTATGGGGCCGTATATTGTTATTATATTGGAATAAGCGCCACCTATGGCGGGAAGCGCCAGCATTCCAGGACTTTACCGGAACTTGAAGAGAGTAGCGCGTTACTGGATACATTTGCACATACATAACAATCTAGCCGTCGTATCCCAACTGCACCGGAAACTCTCTAATATTGTAAGCCTTCCATGATATTTGCTTCTCTTTACCCTTGTAAATTAACTAGATAAACCAAGCTATATAATTCATAAGTCTAAATGCACTGTCTAAACTGTTGAATTTATGGCCTAAGTTTGAAAAGTGCTAGTTTGTAACTAGAAGTCTTATGCAAATTTATATCAGTGTTATTGTCAATTTTCAAGTTATTATTTCTCTATTACAGAAGCCTTGAATGACCTGGTTATCTGTCGTCTTAGCAGGCATGCTGGCAATGTCCGAGGAAATGATGAGGTGTTTTTGCTCTGTGATAAGGTTCAAAAGGGTGAGGATTTTTTAAATACCTATTATCTTTAATGTACAGTGGGATAAATGGTAAGCCACTAGAAAGAACAGTTGCTCAGATTTACATGTATACTTGTGAAAACATTTTGCATAGACTGTTTTCCATACACAGACATTTTTTGTGGATACTAGTGAATATATTTCTCAATTTCATAATAGCATAAATTGAAATCATCTACTGATATTGGCATTTGATACAAACTTAGAAATGTACGCCTTACCATATATCACTAAAGAAATTGTTTCTTTTATAGAGGACATCCAAGTGCGCTTTTATAAGGAGTCGGATAATGGGGATCTGGAGTGGGAAGGATTTGGGGACTTTGGGCAGAGTGATGTGCATAGACAGGTAACATCTCAGTTGATTTACCTTTTAGCTTGAAAGTACATGCATTCATTGTGTATTGTTCCATTGTTATAGTTAAGTTACATTGTCTTTGCCAGTGTGGTATTATACCTATACCTAATGTTTTCGCACTCTAGGTGGCCATCGTCTTCAAGACTCCTGCTTTTCGTGACACACAAATTGGGACACCTGTGAGTTGCTTTCTTCAACTAAGGAGACCCTCGGACGGAGAAGTCAGTGACCCAAAACCATTCCAGTTCATGCCAGATGACACTGGTAGGATACGGGTTTGCTTGAAAGAGATCTATTTAATGTATAATTGTTTCAAATGTACAGTTCGGATAACTTCAGATACCTACTCATTAGTATTATCTATTCATGAGAAGAGTAATATATGTTGGTGAATTTATGAAATGAAGAACATCAGAAAGCAGTATGATATCTTTCTCTTGGGATCATTTTAATTGTATATTTTCTCGATTGAAGTCATCTTTTTATTTACTTCTTTACTTCTTCATTTTGCAGACCTTGCATTTATTGACCGTAAGCGCAAGAGGAAGGTACTTAACATGACTGGGATGGATATCAGTGGGCAAGCACCAGTTGTGTACTCAGGTAAGTCTTAGAAATTGACACAACTGTCTACTGTATATAGACTAAGAATTTTCTCTTTTAAGAATTTGCTAAATGTACCTGTTTATTCAAAAATAAGTATTTACCATAATTTTTATTCATTTAAATTATACTAGCACATTAATGGGGATTTCTGAATGTTGTGTATTAATGTTTAAGGTAATGATTTTTTTTTTTTTTTTGACATGTGGTACTCAATTACCTTAGATTGATCTTGCTTACTGTAACATTAGAACTATATTAATCTTTTGAAATAATGCACACATTTTGGGGTGGGTTATATCCCTGACATTGACTTGAATTGCCAATGAAACTGATAAAAATAAATATCTTCAGGCCCACCAGATCCTGCACAGAACCCACTTACTCAGAGGCAGATTATCAACGACAGGCTGAGAAAGAAAGCCACCAGAAATCAGCCACAGCAGCAGTTCAAGAGTGAAGGTATGTTTTTATTTGAAAAAGTAAAACATGCTGTTATGAATATGAGAATTTGGTTAAATTTGCGAATGGTTAAATGGTCGTTTGACATTAGAAGATGAGATTTTTACTGTGTTCGTAGAATTATTTGTTTGAACAAAAAGTTATGTAATACTAAATTCCCCCTTTCTTTTCTGTTTGATTCAAACACATTAAAGGGATAATAACTCTTCGTTTCGGCCAAAAAATGAATTTTCCTGGAGTAAACAATTTTCCCATACTTACCAATGGTTAATGAATCCATTTTTACATTCAAAGTTAGTCCCTGTTTTTTTTTCTAAAAAGTTTGGTTTTTTTTGTTAAAATCTCTTAAGAGATTTTAACAGAGTATAGCCATCAATGGAGGTCACGTGGTCTAAAGACAAGCTCAGATATCATAATAATAATAATAGCTATAACTGCCGCTTTTGTGGTAAAACAGAATATATTATATTTCTATAAGTTATTCACAATGTTTTTATTGTGAAATATAGATCTCATACGAAGAGTTATTATCTCTTTAACAAATGAGTAATAACTCAGGAGCAGAAACAGCACTCTTTTTCATTTAAACATTGATCGGTACAGATTTGTAGCTATATTTGACACAGAGCTTTGTTCATTGGCATTTCAGCTCCCCCACCTCAGTCTTGCATGTACCAGCAGACTGGTCTACCAGCACAGGCCAACACTGCCACCTTCAACTACAGCAACACTGCTATGGGCAGTGTCACTATGGCCCCAAATACAGTCCAAGACCTCAATGCCATCCATTACCCACCTGCCCACATGTCCACTGCCGCAGCAGGTGCCCCTGTGGACCTTATGTCCACTGGAGGGGGGCAGCAGAGTGGGGGTCAGATGAAAACGGGGTTTGAACCAATGCAGCTGAGCAGCAGTGACTTCAAGTTGAACAGCTCTGAGATGAGATTGGATTCAGATTTCAAGTTAGATTCGGGGAATATCAGAAGCCTGATGCAGATGAATAGTGGAGAGCTGGCCCAGTATCTTGCAGATCCTAATTTGTCTACCACACAAGCACAAGGTGTTGCAACAGAAGCACAACCGTATTATGACCCAAGTGTAGCTGCTAATGAGCAGGTTGTGAGTGATGACTCTCAGCTAATACTAAATACTGCTGATGCAATCATAGGATTGAATGCATCCTAAATACTGAAAAGCCTCTGTATGTTTAAATTGTACAAATTGTAATGTACTCGGGAAGAAGTTCTATCCTCCAGATATTTTAGAATCTTAATTTTGTAATGCAAGCTTCAAATTAAGTTAAAATGAAACTATTCAGTAGTCTTCTACACGTAATAAACTCTTTTTATGAGTTTTGAAATGTAAATAGTAGGAATGTAAATAGGGATATCATCCTGATGTTGATCATGCTGTACATAATGTGCTCACTAAACTTTGTCTAGTTGTCAACCATTAGTTGAAAAGTTGTCATCAAAATTTAGTCACATCAGCTTTTATACAGGTGCTTTTTTGTTGCTAATTAGGTCAGGCTGCTGTAGAATTTATCTTGCAACTAACTGTACAGTTAAAATAATCTTATTCTAGATGTGAAAAGCAGATTAACAATTTAAAAGATTATGATGGTAAAATGTGAAGTCTTTGTATAATATAATTGTAATTTGTTATTTTCTTGAAACAAGGAAAATGATCATCACATTTTGAGAATGGGATGCAAAATGTTTTACAAACAAATATTATATCAGTAACTTTGAATGTGGTAATGGGATCTTTGCAGAAACTTGTATAATTGTAAATGAAACAAATCTGGCATACGTTTTATTAATAAATGAAGCTTAGATAATCTCCTTACTGTGTGTGACTTATAAAAGCTGAGTGACAAACACAATTCGGTAGAGATTATCAAACTGATAAGTGTAGGTTACAATCTTTGAAACAGTCCAAAGAAGTGATGGTCACTCCTCTTAGCTGCAAAATGTCAACTAATGTGAATATACAAAGAATAAAGTATTTCTTGTGAATACATAATTTGTTTTGAAATAAAGGCAAACGAAATGGCTTCTTCTGACGTGGTGTCTCGTCCAAATTGCAAAGACAAAATGGTTACACAGGAAGATCACAGAAATCGGTTGAAATGGAATACTTCTACATGTTGATACCTACGTAGGATCTCCCAAATTTGGTGGCCAGTCTAACTCTACAGCCTGAAAAAAAAAGGGGGGTTGGTATTACATACACCACGAAAAAGAATTGCTTTCATCAGACTGCAAAATATTTTAGCTCTGTGAATTTGTTTATCATTTTGAATGTGTCAGCTATGTTTTCAATTTACTTAAAATATTTTCACATTGGTGAAAGTACGAAAAGGCACTGACCTCTACATCTAGTTCTAAAATATCACATTCCATTTCAAGAAGTGTGGTTAAGTTTGGTGTTGTTCGTCCAAAGTCCCCATGAACAAATTCCTTTATATAGCTGGGTAGCAGTTATGGTGCAAATTGATTAGATACAACTTATTGCTTTTCTTATCTGACAGTTCAAAGGTAACAAAAAAATTGGTTAATATTTCCATTTCACCACAATTTTGATTCACGGCAAAAAAAGCTGTTCCAGAGTTTCCATCTTCTACACTTATTCACTGTAAGGTATTCTTCCATTACAAATAACATAATGTAAAATATTTATCTATTTGAACACTAAAATGTTGACAACTCTGCATTAATAAATGATAAATCTAAAAACACCTATAATTAAGTTCTATATGAAATATCAGAGAAAGGATACGTTCCAGCCTGAGTGGATAAATACAACTTAAAATGACAATCATCTACTTTTTCTGAAGACATTGAATGTATCACCCTCTCTCTTACTGCTAGGGCTCTCCTGTAAAATAATTTAGTTTATGTTTTCAAGCTTCCTTACAATATTTATCTAGATATTTTTGCGTATTATATTCTAAAAACACTGCACTAGTATTTTTTAAATATATAACAGTTTGAAAGACATTAATTTGAATTACTAATTTTCAGAAAAAATGAAATATAATTACCTATGTAATACTCTAATGGGAGTTTTCTGGAACAATTTCAAATCCTAAAAGTAAAATCATATTTTTGAAATTCCATAGTTTTGAAATTCCATTCTTGTAAAAATAGAATTGTTACCTTTGTGTAATTTAAATTCAAACAGAAAATCATCAAACAGCATTCCTCACTTTACTAAAAAACAAACATTAAAAAAAAGTAAACCATTACCTTGACAGCCGCTATTTTTTCCTGATGTTTGCTTGTAAAAGGTTGATGGCTCCAGCAAAGAGCACAATAACTTTTAACTTTCTCCATTTCTCCTTCCTTTAGCTTGTTTGTTTCTTCTCTAAAAGAGTTTCAAGAATCAAAAAGTTAACAATTAATCATGTTTGTATCTATTATTTCTACAAGAAAATAAAATAAAAATATATATATATATATATAAAAGAGAAAATAAAGTCAAGAAATTGCTTTCATGAAAATCATGATTTGATGCCATTTTTCCATTGCCATTACATTATCATCAAATCTACTCATTACTACGTAATCCAAATGCTCTCCTACCTAGACACAAGTTGAAGGTCACGTATTGCAATATCTTTGGTCTTTTTATTTATATCCTGGAAACAAAACCTAATATGTAAAATTTTAACCTGTTACTCTATTATCTGTTACTTTCTATTTCCACTTTTCTACCAAATGCTCTGAGTAATGAAAAAAAAAAAAAGAAAACTTTAAAATGCATAATTACACAAAATATCTTTACAGTATCTTTACAAATATATGCTTTCTTGTTTTGAAATGAAATGTTTATAAATACCTCTTGCCAAGCGGCAAGATCATCCTGAGTGAATGCCCTGGCATGTGGATTAACAACTTCTAATACAAACGGCCTACCTGTAAAGATAAACAAATGCAACAAAAAATATGAATGCAGCCTCACTGATATACAACATTTTTTACCATTTATTTTTCACAGGTCTGAAGGAGAATGAAACTGTCATTCTGATACTTTATACTCACCCCTTCCAAGCATTCTAACATCAACATCTTCTCTCCCAGAAGCTGAGAAAATTACATCTGAAAAAAAAGGCAAGTTGTACATCTTTATTTCAATTGTTACAATATGGAAAAGTCATACTGCTTTTTATATATAATTTGTTTTACTTTTAAAATTGAAAATTTCCTTTTTAATCAGTAACCGTTTTTTAAACTTTAGATTAACATTTGCCTTTAACATTTTTACCATAAAGTTACTTTGTAACTTTTCAACAACATTTACCATCAGCCTTTATTTTCTCCTGAATCAAAGTCCCAATTAGTTCTTGCACAGAGCTTTCCATTTTTCTCTCTCCTTCTATTACCCATGGAGTCTGACTTAAATGTCTGCTAAATTTGTTGTAACGTCCTAGAATAATAACAAGACAAGACAATTGTCTATATGTTTTGAATAATATCATAATATAAATGATCACAAACAAAATTACAATTCAAATCTGCAGAGCTGATTACCTTCAATCTCAAAGCTATTATTTTCTATCTTATACTAGTATCATCTTTGACTGTGAATGTCCTATAATAATTTGCATTTAAACATTATAAAATTTATAAAAACAAAAAATCACCCTGTTAATTTGTAATAAAACAAATGAATAAAATGAAATAAAACTTGAAAATGCCTAATTTTGTCTTAAACCAACCTGCTAAAAATATTGCAGTGTGGGTCCCTCTGACTGCCTCACATGTACAAGGTACAGATACAGGTTTTGGGGGACATTGGCTATTCCTGAAATCAATTGGAAGTTTAAATTAGCACTTTCAGTATGACCATTCAAACTATTATATGTAATAAACACCTAAGCAAATTGACAACCTATGGCATTTTTAGTCTAAAATCCCACTTAAATTTAACTTTAATTTCAGTACTTGATTATGAAAGGCGTTCCTATATAGTATATGTGTTGAATGTAAACTTGTTCTTTTTTTCTCTAAGTAATTTAAAGCACAAAATCACTTTCACGAAAAATATATGTCCAATACGTACTTACTTTTTAAAAGTGACATCTCTTAAAGAATTTAATGATTTGGCAACACTCATTCTTGTGAACAACTCCCAACCATGCTAAAATTAGAGCATAGGTATTTATATGAAGTACAGTGTTTTTTAATACAAATCATCATTATTTGTCCTATGCATGTCTGTCAATTTCAAATCAGTAATTGACTGAGTAAATTTTCTTGCTTGTTATAAAATGTGTCAGGAATAATGACATGTGGTTTGACTACTTACCTTGTTAGTTTTCCGCTTTCTGTACACTTCAGGAAACAAGTCCAATCTAAAATGTTATTATCAAACAGATATAACACAGGAATGTTCTTTAAGCAGTTAAAGTTCAATGTTCAATGTTTGCAAAAAGCTTGAGGACATCTTTTAAGTCACTAACTTAAAGAAATATAATTTTTTAGGGTTTTTTAATCTCTTTAAGAGTAGAACTTACAGAAAATTACATTCTTTTTCTACCTCAGGATGGGTAAAGAAAATTGCAATTTCAAAAGGACTCTGAAATGATAAATTTTCTCATTTTACATTATGAAATAATGAATGTCTAAAAAACATAAACATCAATACTTTCCTTCATCATGAATTGTTATTTCACAAATTCATCATCACCAAATTGAAATAAAGATGAAAAACAAGCTGGCATGAAAATTTGCACACCCTGCACTAGACAAGGATATTCTATCTTAAAAATTACACAACTACAAACAATCAATATAATTGTGGCAATTATGAAGTAAAACAACTCTGAATCATCTTCCAATCTCTACTTTTTGTTCAAAACTTTTCCCTAGCATCTCTGCAAGTCTGTGACCACTTATCCACTTCCACACATCCTTCAGTGGCGTGATATGTTCAGGCAACACTGGCAAGTACACTAAACTATAATAATAATAATAATAATAATAATAATAATAATAATACTATTTCTTTCATAACATAAAGTTAATCCATATTTTATTACCATAAAGAAGCATAAACAAGTCACATATTTATGTACTGACAAGTGGTTTTTAAAAATGTATCTTTAAATTAAAATTTTAATTTCCTCAAATCTTTTTTGAACAATATAAAAAACTTTATAATACTTGTAAAACACAAAATAGCACCTTGGGATTATGGTTGGAATTATGAAAATAATTGTCTATACATGTTAAGGAAAAGTATCAAAATCAACTACTCGTTAATCATTACAAAAAATGTTTGCACAAATAATTAACACTTACGGCAATGTTTCTCTCAACAGCACCATGATGGAATGCTCTCGAACAAGAAATGGCACAGGAAGGCTGATCGCAGAACAGAAATTTTCAAACTGAAAGTCTTGGCTTTCAATCTTTTGTTTAACCTGCAAGTAAAATAAATTTGTATTCATGTCAGAAAGACATCCATCACATATCAACCTTGCACATATTAAATTCATAAATGTAAAATGTAAAATAATATTATGTGATTTTTATCTATGGTATCTAGTGTGATTAGTGATTCATGTAACTGGTTGTGGTATATTTTAGGAAAAACAATATTATATATTTTTACACATAATACCTGCAGAAGGAAATCATCTTCACAGTACTCAGCTAAAACTCCTAGACATGCTGTGCATGGTGTGGAAATCTGAGCTTCTGGTTGTTTTAATGTTTCACCATCATCATGTCCATTTTGCTTGTCAATTTCACTTGCATTTAATAAGTTTTGAACAAGAAGGAAGGTTTCCTGTAAAATATGAAAAAAAAAAAAAGATTCAATTAACTGGTAAGTATAAAAAATTATCAAATTCAGATTTTTCATATTCACTTCTATTTCCACACTATATTATACAGAGAAAAGTGCTACAATTAATATTCTAATTGGTAATATGTTAATGGTAAAATGTTGCTTTAACTATGTATTCACAAGTAAAATTTTAATACCTGCGGAGATCTCCTATAAGTACTTGGCTCCTTTTCACCCAAAAACCGAAGTACACACCTCGAACAACAACCACCCTTTATCAGACATGTAACAGCAGTTGATATGTCTTTTGGGGATTTGGGTAATAAAATGAGATTATCAAAGGTGGCCTGCCAATAAACAATAGAAAACACTGACAATCATTCATTCATTTACCGTTAACCCATCTTACCTAAATGGAGCTTACCAAAAGATAAAACGGCCCAATTGGAAATGACTAAGAGTTTTGGTGTTGTAAAACGATAAATTTCTATTATTTATTACTTTAATTTCAAATGCTTTATTTACAAACCAATTCAAGGGTAGTCAGCGAAGTAAAGCATACAATAATTAATATAATAATCGGATGTAATCGGTGGCTTTTAAATACACTGTGACCGGAGGCGTATAACCATCATTGCCATTTGTGGTCAGCTGAAAATGACGTGACTGTCTGTACTATTAGTTACGTCTTAACGCTGAACAGAACAAAACGGAGTGGAATACAAACAGGAAAACAATTTCACGACTTGTGATTGTGTCAAGACAATTTGTTACTGCTGGTGTTGATGTCCAATGGCTAGGACCTCATACAGAATGAGAACAATATAAGTTGTCGCATCTAAAAACTGTGAAAAACACGAACCTTTAAATCGGAGCACTTTTCCCCCATGGCCGCTGACATTTTGTTTTCCTACGAATAGATGGCGCTTTTTTTAAGCCTAAACTTTATTTCATATCATAGAGTACAAACCGGACATAGACAAATAATCCTATTTAAAACAAATATAATCGGTCTTTATAGAGGAATCAGGACAGAGCATGTGTGCATACTGCAGAAAATTAGGAAAACTTCTATCAATGTCCATCTTTTTCTCATCGCCACCTATCGTCTTATTTAGGATGGCCAGGACAGGGGGATGCCAGATGTTGTGACAGATAACAGTGTAGTGATTTTCTCCACAAATCGGACAGAAAGATGGGGTCTTTGGAGGAAAAGATTGATAGCTACTTTTCCTCCATAAACCCTTTAGCAAGAAAGATCATGCTAGAACGGAGCCAGGTAAAAAATACGTACGGAAAGGCTTGGGACAACTTTTCGTTTGAGGACCAGGAAAAGTTGATAGACCAACATTTCATCGGCCCCGAAGTGGAAGAAAAGTATCAGGACTACCTAAGCCCATCTCCAGTACCTCAGTGGTTTCCTAAATTGAAAATAGATTGTGGAGAAAAAATCATAATAGATTTTGATAATGAAGTAAGTGTGTTAAAGAAGAGTGAGTGAAGGAGATGTTTGTTTAGTTATTTATCAAATTGTATTTTTCTTTTGGAGATATGCAATAAGAAGTAATGGAAAAAAAGACTTGGCAAGACAAAAAGATAGAAATGTTACATTAAAATATTTAAGTTATAAATAAATAAAGTAAAAAAAAGACTGTAATACGGACAATGATAAAAACAGTGTTGTTGTTTTTACAGTATAAGGGCAGCACCCAGATGGCTATTCATTAGATATATGAATGTCACATTGTCTTTAAAAAATGGATATTTTCTCCTCTTTAGGGTTGGACATGGCAGGATGAGCACTCGGGTCCATTCAGTTGGGAAACAAAGGTAACCTTACTTTGAAATACACTGGACAAGTTAAATTTCCATGTTTATTTTTTTTTCATAATTTGTTTCAATAATAGTTGGTGATGCAGATAATTCATGAAGTAGATTTTGAATATCAGTTTTTAAGTGAAAAATTAAGTAGACAGACTGATTTTAATTAGATGCCTCGACCCACCCATTCAGTTTGATATTATTACTATAATTTTTTATAGAGCATGCAGAATTTGTCCCTTCTTGACATTGGTGCCGAAGAGGAAGGAAAGAAATCAAAAAGGTCTTCAGGTGCAATATCCCAATCAAGAGAAAACTCCACAGAAAGAGATGGCAACAAAGATGTGCCTTGGAAACGAGAGAAAAGCATCTGGCAGTCTCCATTTCTTCTGTCTGACAGAGGTCTATCAGTACCCATGGACTCTGGCTACCCCAGCAGCCAAAGCAGTGAACACCATGAAGAATTAGATGATGTATTTCAAAGATTTGGAATTACTTTCCAGAAAGGAGTTCAAGGAAACAAGTATACAAGTCCTGTGGAAGAGCTGACATCTGGGGAAATGTTGCCAAGAGATGCTGGCATTATAGACAGACCTTATGAAGATTATTCTAGTCCAGGTCAGAGCATGGGTCCAGGATCTAGACACTCCTCTTTTAGAGGGAAGTCTCCATCGCGTCAGGCATCTGTTAGATCACAACAGTCATCTTTTACCGACAAACCCCCTTCTCGACAGTCTTCTGTTAGATCAAGGTCGTCCAATTCAGATACAAGAAGTCCCTACCATCCCACAGACACGTACACCAACACACAGCAAGGATCCCTCAGATCAACACCAGAAAGAAGTTTCAGCAGGACTTCATCCCAGCGGTCTTCCAGGAGAACATCTCCTGAGCCATCATTTACCAGAGATTCCTCTACTCAAGGATCCATGAGAAATGCAATAGAAAACATCTTCGTAAGAAGTGCCACTAACAGAGTTTCTGCCAGAAGCTTCCAGGATTCCACTGCTGTGCTAGTCAGAAGCCCTTCCAGGCATTCTTCCATTAGACGCACACCAGAACGAGACATGTCAGGTCTGCGTGGCTCCTTCCACAGTCCGCCACAGTCACTGAGTCGCTCCTCTTCTCGTCAAGGGTCCCTAAAAGGACGTTCACCTTCTTTGAGCCCCTCTGGAAGGTCTTCCTTCAGACAGGTCCCCAGTAGAACCCCTTCACGCCAGTCCTCCATCAGGAGCCGCAGTCGCAGTAGTAGCATGGAAAATGATGCCTACATGGAGACAGAATCCAGTGGTAGAACTGAGGTGATTATTTGACTGGAAGGAAAAGTTTTTATATTTTCAAATTATGTAATTATTTGATTATTTTAAACACAGATAAGTATTTTTTAAGATTTATAAAAACAAATTAGATGTACATGAAAAATAATTCACAATACTGTCAGTAAATGTTAACATTATGTAGAAAGGGGCATGTTAACCAGGTGGAGACAAACTTAGTTGGTAGATGTATTTTTGCCTATTGATATTCTATGTTTGTGTCATTTCAGAATACTGCTGGTGTTGCAAGAACTGGGTTTGACTTTCTGGATAACTGGTAATGTGAACAAGTCGGATACCAATTTACAGCATGGCCTTGTTGAAAGATTGGACATGCCAGGGCTGCCTTGTTAACTGACAACTAATCCTACTCATTCAAGAATATAAAACAGCATTAACAGTCTTCCCATTCAAAAAGCACATGAAAGCTTTTATAGTCAGCATTAATAATATGGAGATTACAAATCATTACAAGATAACTCTGTACTTAAAAATCAAACAAATGCAATGTGATTATTGTGTGGCATATTATGAAATGACTTTTGCAATTTGATTTGTTTTCTTTAATTCGTGCAAATATTTTTAGTTTCTACATATATTTTTGTTTTGTGTAAAATGAGATTAATGTATGATATTTATTTAAAGTGATCATAGTACGATAAGATCCATTTTCAGTGTTTGATGGCACGTATAGAAAATCAAAAAGTTTATTCTTTCAGGACAAATTTTTTCATTGTTTTGATGCAGTATTGAGTTTTTCAGTAGCTGATTTATATATATTTATGAAACTATAACTTGCAATCAGTGACATTTGCATTTTTTTTTCAATTTATTAAGTACTTTGATATTTATATGGGTAATCTATCAAAAGTCATCAGATTAAATTTGCACAAAAAATTTTTGTGTCAGAAAATTGATTTTTTTTTTCTGGTAGATTAGGCAGTATTTAATGCATAAAAACGGATAACTCTTTCACATTTTATATTATTAGTTCCATTTTATGATGTATTGTCATTTGCAAGCCCTTTATATTTCATTGTTGTCAACTTTGTAGTCCAAACCGTTATCTACATGTATATATGACCTAGTAATATTTGACTTGTGCAAACATTTCTATGCAAGCTGTTTACTTTTCTATTGAACTTGTCATACAGGCTGCCTTTATCAATGCCTGTCAGCATTATATATATATATACATTTACTAATGTTTTTTTTAAATTGATGTTATGTACAACTAGTTGATATTTCACTAGTTGACGAAATCGTCATTTTTGACGCGAGCTATGTGACTTTTCATGTATTCTAGTCGTTTCAACTTCGAGCTTTTGTCTAAGTCGATACATTATTTCATTAGTCTACATTGTATTCTCTATATATGGTTTTGGGGTACAACTAATGCTCATTCAGTTTTGTTAACACTTTATTTTAACTCAAATAAAATGTGTTATGCATTCTGTAGAAAACGGTGGTTCTATCATTATTCTATTTTTTACCACTTTAAATATCATGAACGTGAACTGACGCAACATGTACAACTTGATATCAGATCTTGCCCTTAGCTTTTCAAACTGATAAAATGAGTCTCTCTTGGATAACAATAAAGATTTTGGTAAACTGGATCAGCGCCCACTGTTTCAGGCTTGCAATCTCTCTCTCTCTCTTTCCTTCATGTAAAGTGTTAGCCTTCTCCCAGTCCTTCAGAAGTCTCACTTTTCCTGTTTGCACATACATACATACAGCTGCCCCCCCCCCCCCTCAAAAAAGTTTTTTTTGTCCTACGGTCGTGTGTATATATATACATACTGTATACGTTTATGTATATCTACTCTTTTGTGAAGAGATTTACTTGAGATCAAACATCAAATTAAGCTTCGCAAGCAGAGCGGGACACAATGGAATATAAATGGCTTATCAATGTTAAGTACGCATTATTCTAAGTAAGCTCCTTTTAAATATACAAAATATATGCGCGCAATTTTTGGAGATCATTTCATGGAGAATTATTTTCTGAAGGCACTTGTCGTGTAGGATGTATTATTTGGGAAAAATGCAGAGAACGATGGCATGGTAGAGAACGACGTGACCAAACCCTTCCACGACAACACGGCTACCCGCTTCATACGCTTGCCAAGCTGAAAAAAAAAAGAAAAATAGTCAAGTATAATAAGGATTATTTATCAGTGAGTTCATTGTTATACAAAAAATGTTAAAGTACATAATACAAATATAGTACTTGTAATACGTAGCTTCTGCATTTTAATATATTTAAGTCCCATAAAGTATTTTTATAAATTATCAAAAACAAAACATTCACCTTTTTCACTCTCTTTTTGGATTTCCTTTTCCACCCCTTTTTGTTTTTAACTGGAATTGAACCATCTTTTGCATTGCCCTCCTCTAGTTTTCCATATTTTCTCTTCCCAGTGAGAGAAAGAGAGAACAGTTTTTCAACCATACTTGTATCACCCTCTTTATCCAAATCTGACTCCAGCGACGTTTCCAATGTAGTTATGTGATCATGGCTCGCGTCAGTGGAACTTTTCTTATCTCCTACTATCTCGTCACTGTTTGCTGGTGTATATTCACAATCTATTTCTATATCCTCAGATATATCTAGTGCGCCGCCAGTTGCATCGTGTGACTCGTCTAGTCGTGAATGGTTAAATGTAGCTTTTAAATTTCGCAATGGTTTCGTCGCAGCGACTCTTCTCAAAAATGACGATTTCGTCTTCAGTTTAGTGTCTGTTGGGTGTGGATCCACTCCTTTTCCCATTGTGTCAAAATTCCTTTAGTATTTTACAACAAAAATTTAACTGTTTAAGCAGTTTTTGAGCAGCCTGGAGACCACTTGCATCGTCCGACTTGCGACCGTAAACTTGATGCACAGCTACAAGGATATCTAGCGAGGCCCTGTATATACGAGCACAGTAGCAACAAGTTAGGTCCTATCCTTCGCTATTTCACTTAGCCTCTTCCTTTCTGTCAAATTTCTAAAAGTTACATATGTTAAAATGTTAAATTGTTTAAGTCGTCTGCCCAACTTTGGAGCTTCATCAGTGCCACGGTATGATACGTATAACATACAAAAACGTAATCAAACCTGGTGCGACCCACTGTAATAAGCCTAATACAGGTACAACATGGCGCTTGACGGACGAGGCATTCATCGAGTCCCACTGTGTCAATCTACGCGTCAGGTGACCCGCATTATATTTGTTCAATAGGCTCAACCAAGCCTTCTCACCCACTTCATCAAAACATTGAGTTTTGCTAACGCGTCTTTTATGTGTAGAATGTGCCCCATATATAATTTATGTTTAAACTCTTGCGATGCAAATAAAAAATGTCGCACTTGGGCTGGAAGTAAGGTTAAGTACTAAAACTTGTGTTCCTTATAAAATGGTCCCTTAACGAACAGCGCAGGTACTACTGCAGGTAGACCTATATCGATAAGATAAAGCGATCTTTATTTTGGATGCTGCAAAACACAGATTTACCGTATGAAAAATACAATATTAATGGACGGCGACCAAAAATATTTAAATACCCATATTTAACAACCTTGCAAATTTAAAATGCGTCAAGTATTTGAAATAGTTAAATTCATTTTCCAGATCTGCTACATGCACATGAAAAGCACGATACCCCAGTCAGCATATTTTTTTTTCTCTATAAGAGAATTTGAAATGTGGAATACGATCATGCCATGAAGCGCTGGACTAAAATAATTCGTTTGAGGTGCGTGAAACGCACCAATATAGGTTTACAACATTGGTCAAACGTTGATGCTACCAAGGAGTTATAACTCCTTGATGCTACTAAGTCCATTGGCTTTCCTATGACACCCCGTTGTTAGTTCAATTGGACACCAAGTGATTGGTAAAGTGGGTTATATTATAAACAAAATTGAAACTGAAAAATTGAAGTAAAGAAATGTGACAAGCGCAATATCTATTGTAATATATTAGGGCCTACATTAGATTAGATTAGATTAGATTAGCGTTGATGCCCTTCAAATAGAGAAATAATACATATGACCACATCAGTTGAAGGCTGATTCACGCGCATTAGTGATCGTTTTGTCTACTAGACCAGGGTTGCTGTAGCTAATTTTATAACCAGGTCGTACACAAAGTATTGGAAAGGGCAGTAGGCAGAGCTTTGACTTACAGATAAAATCCATCTAGTAGCAGATGGCCTGTGCTTATACCAAATGCTTGTTGCTTTCTTGTAAATATAATGAAATCAGTCGTTTTAAATGGCATAGCTTATTTTTGAATTTGGCACTCGAGTGATGGAGGGTCGGCTTTAAGTTGATAATTTTCATCGTTGTTCTATCATACCCTCTACCAGGGCGACAGATTAATTTTTCACAGGTATTCACAGATATGTCTCTAGATAAATAGAGTTATTTGGCTCTGTGTCAATTTTTCCGTTTTTCCCTATATAATCTGCCACCCTGGTAGAGGGTAGTTCTATCGAGTGTGTAGTGTACTGGCCCCCATGTATCAAACCCGTTCTTTTGCAGCTAGCGTACAGTGTGCACCTACGGAAATTCCCGCCAATCTCTCATTGTGATTTTACACATGGAACGTATTTTAACGAGTTCCAAGTATGAACATACGTTTGTAATGAGTTTTCATGACTTTTTTGTCATTTGACTTAGGCGATTGCCAGTTCAGTTTATAAAATCGCCCCAAAAAAGGAACTTTGGTTTTACAATCACACACCGCCAGGTTTGCACTGACACGTTTACCTCGTCCACATACAGGTACGTATACCAAAGCAGGATTGAACATGTAAAAATATGATGAAGCTATTTTTGTAATTCAGAAAAAAAACTTGCTGTTGAAATAACATCCAAATTTAAACTTTTGCTTCAGGCATAGGTAAAAATATATTACTAGTAAATAATTTTAATAATGCCTCACTAGTGTAGTAGGCCTAGTTCTTTCAGATGACCTGTGAAATACTGCAAATGTGAAATGATAATAATGTTAACAATAATTTATTTTACATCCATCACATGGAATGACAATCTTCTCTGGCTTCTGTCAGCCAATCACACATAATAAACAAACAAAAATGCAATCATGTATACCTCAGGAACATTTCCTGCTCAAAACATAATCATCTAAAACACATGGTAGGCATGAGCAACTTAGATGTTTTTTTTTAATTATCCAAAAAATTATCCAACATTTCACTTTCAAAGCCCATCTGGAATTTAACAAGATATTTAAACTACCTTACATTAGACCAGTTCACATACCATTTTTCATAATTTATCATTTAAGTATAAAAAACACTAGGTACTAAGCATAACAGCAACATCAAAACATTTGATCCTTGTTATTGAACTTACAAATGGATATGAGTACAAGTTCTTTTGACTTTGAATCTGAAATTATTGGAGTGATCCTAAAAAAAAGGTGCACGTGAAAATAAACAACAACAACAAGAAAAAAAGACTCCTCTCTCACCAACAGACCAGGAGTGGTTTGGTCTCTATTACACCAGCAGTCTAAATTGTAATCAAACAGCAGCTGTCCCCATTTACAGGACCTTCTTGTGAACACAGCCAAATAATAAATCTGCCTGTCAATAGTTGAATATGTTTCTGTGTGTTTTTAGTTTCATCTAGTCTAGCTAATTATTGGCTAACAGCCCTCGTCTGAAATGCTTGTTCTGCAGTCTCCACAATAATGGTCATGATGGTGTTGTAATATTTTCTGTCAGGCACCATCAGATCCAAGACTACATCTGTATGGTTGCACTTAGGAATTACATGGACAGTCACATCACTTCCAGAGAGCTGTGACATGGCATCGGCAAATTTTGTTGAAGATGATACTGGAACAATGGTGTCAGCATCCCCATGCACCAACACTGCCATTGGTAAACTGGAAATGCACAGACACATATATAACAAGGCAGCAAAGCTGTCTAATGTACAGACAAAAAACAGAAAATAAAGATGCAAACAAGCCAAAAGGTAAAATGGTTTTCCATTTATGGTGTTATCGGTGCTGTATATATGCTGAAAAAAGANTCGAAACTGAAAAATTGAAGTAAAGAAATGTGACAAGCGCAATATCTATTGTAATATATTAGGGCCTACATTAGATTAGATTAGATTAGATTAGCGTTGGTGCCCTTCAAATAGAGAAATAATACATATGACCATATCAGTTGAAGGCTGATTCACGCGCATTAGTGATCGTTTTGTCTACTAGACCAGGGTTGCTGTAGCTAATTTTATAACCAGGTCGTACACAAAGTATTGGAAAGGGCAGTAGGCAGAGCTTTGACTTACAGATAAAATCCATCTAGTAGCAGATGGCCTGTGCTTATACCAAATGCTTGTTGCTTTCTTGTAAATATAATGAAATCAGTCGTTTTAAATGGCATAGCTTATTTTTGAATTTGGCACTAAAGTGATGGAGGGTCGGCTTTAAGTTGATAATTTTCATCGTTGTTTTATCATACCCTCTACCAGGGCGACACATTGATTTTTCACGGGTATTCACAGATATGTCTCTAGATAAATAGAGTTATTTGGCTCTGTGTCAATTTTTCCGTTTTTCCCTATATAATCTGCCACCCTGGTAGAGGGTAGTTCTATCGAGTGTGTACAGTGTACTGGCCCCCATGCATCAAACCCGTTCTTTTGCAGCTAGCGTACAGTGTGCACCTACGGAAATTCCCGCCATCTCTTATTGTGATTTTACACATGGAACGTATTTTAACGAGTTCCAAGTATGAACATATGTTTGTAATGAGTTTTCATGACTTTTTTGTCATTTGACTTAGGCGATTGCCAGTTCAGTTTATAAAATCGCCCCAAAAAAGGAACTTTGGTTTTACAATCACACACCGCCAGGTTTGCACTGACACGTTTACCTCGTCCACATACAGGTACGTATACCAAAGCAGGATTGAACATGTAAAAATATGATGAAGCTGTTTTTTGTAATTCAGAAAAAAACTTGCTGTTGAAATAACATCCAAATTTAAACTTTTGCTTCAGGCATAGGTAAAAATATATATCTAGTAAATAATTTTAATAATTCCTCACTAGTGTAGTAGGCCTAGTCCTTTCAGATGACCTGTGAAATACTGCAAATGTGAAATGATAATAATGTTAACAATAATTTATTTTACATCCATCACATGGAATGACAATCTTCTCTGGCTTCTGTCAGCCAATCACACATAATAAACAAACAAAAATGCAATCACGTATACCTCAGGAACATTTCCTGCTCACAACATAATCATCTAAAACACATGGTGGGCATTAGCAACTTAGATGTTTTTTTAATTATCCAAAAAATTATCCAACATTTCACTTTCAAAGCCCATCTGGAATTTAACAAGATATTTAAACTACCTTACATTAGACCAGTTCACATACCATTTTTCATAATTTATCATTTAAGTATAAAAAACACTAGGTACTAAGCATAACAGCAACATCAAAACCTTCGATCCTTGTTATTGAACTTACAAATGGATATGAGTACAAGTTCTTTTGACTTGGAATCTGAAATTATTGGAGTGATCCTAAAAAAGGTGCATGTGAAAATGAACAACAACAACAACAACAAGAAAAAAAGACTCCTCTCTCACCAACAGACCAGGAGTGGTTTGGTCTCTATTACACCAGCAGTCTAAATTGTAATCAAACAGCAGCTGTCCCCATTAACAGGACCTTCTTGTGAACACAGCCAAATACTAAATCTACCTGTCAATAGTTGAATATGTTTCTGTGTGTTTTTAGTTTCATCTAGTCTAGTTAATTATTGGCTAACAGCCCTCGTCTGAAATGCTTGTTCCGCAGTCTCCACAATAATGGTCATGATGGTGTTGTAATATTTTCTGTCAGGCACCATCAGATCCAAGACTACATCTGTATGGTTGCATTTAGGAATTACATGGACAGTCACATCACTTCCAGAGAGCTGTGACATGGCATCGGCAAATTTTGTTGAAGATGATACTGGAACAATGGTGTCAGCATCCCCATGCACCAACACTGCCATTGGTAAACTGGAAATGCACAGACACATATATAAAAAGATGCCAAAACCAACCTTTCGCTAAGATTTTTAACAAGCAACATACTTGCAAATTTTCTTTGCAAGTATCAAATGATATATATATATATATATACACACACAGTATAATGCTTGTTACATACAAGTTAACTCAAAAGTGAACAAACTGGCCAACGTTGGATCTAAAACTCAGGGTACTTGGATGATGCCCTGGTTCCAAACTGGCAGCGTCAGTATCCCAAGTGTCTCAGCACTGTTAATCTAAGAGATATATTAACACATACCTTGCACCATGTTTAAATTGGCTCACAGTTAGTGTAGGAGATAGTCTGTCAAAGTGGTTAGGTCCATACATGGCTCTTGCCATAGCAGATATGTCCTCCACACCTCTATAGTACTCATGATCAAAGTGATCACTGATAGAGTAAACTCCTGCTAATCCTGGGAAAAAAATGTGTTCAGTGAAACTGCCAGCTTTGGATTAAATTTTGAATTTCAATTTTGTTTTGAATCAATTTCTTTTGGAATACTAGTACACCATTGAGTCTTCAAAGCATAATTACTATGAGGTATGAATATCATTCTCAAAATTTCCTTACAATTATACCTGTTCTAAAATTGTTCTATACCATCATTATATTAAACTAACAAAAATCAAATTACCAATGATTGCCTTGACTGAACCAAGAAAAGATGCAGCAACTGATGAGCTTCTTTCCATTTTGCTTTCTGATAAAAACATTTGTTCCTCCACAGGTATGCCACCAGCCTCTTCCTTCAAATGCACTCTTCTAGATAATACAGGCTCATCTTGCAAGTCCTCTTCCTTTACAAAATATATTGAGCCTGTAGATTTACTTTCAGGTTGTTCACTATCTTCTTTCTCTCCAGATGCTGTGGCATTATCTGTAACTACACTTTCAACTAAGGATCTCAAGTTTTGGGATTCATCCATGCTCTGTTCATTTTTCTGTTCTCCTTCAACTAACAAGAAGGAGCCAGAGTTGTCTGCAAATTGTTCACTGTCATCGGGTTTGTTATTGTCACTGCTGTCACCATTACTCCCGTCAAAATATTTCTCTTCAAACCTGATTCCATTTCCTGATGATGAAGACAGTTGTCGCATGGCAGCACTGGGAGATATGGGTGGCGACTCTTCACTTTGGCAGCGTAACAAGAGTTCAAATATGGACATAAAACATAGATGTGCACCTGCTGAATGGCCTATTAACAAAACTTGATCCTGAAGTAAAGAATTTACCTCAACATAAGGAACTGAAACAATGAAATGTCTGAAAGAAATGTAATTCAGGAGTTTCTAAATAGGTAGTAAATCATAAGAAAATTGATTGCCAAAACCACATTCACATGTTGCTGAAATCTTCCCATTTTCTTTTTGGGTAGCATGTAAAGGCACCACATGTCCTTTTAAAGTAATGAATTGTGCATGTAAGCATTCTCTTTGCTAAAAGCCAGTGCTGAAAAAATGTGGAAATAAAAGGTTTTAAAATAGTGTTTTTTTTTCGCCTGAAAATGATCAAACTTGTTATTTGTGAGTACTTTAAACTATTTAATTCCGCCAGCCAAATTTGTTGATACTTTTATTCAGGCTCTACCCTGTATATGATATATTTTATAGTGATTTTGACTAAAAGGGGCTTTGAAGAACATAAACACTGCAAACAAATACATCTGATGCGCTAAAGTGGAAGCACTTGAAATAAAGTTATACCTTGTTTCCTTTGTAATTTTCTATATTTTCTTGTATCCAAGCTAAACAGTCAACTATATCTTGCATCATATCATCTGCATAACCCTAGAATGAATGAATTCATGTAATCAGTGTCTAATAACATGTTAATATCAAAACTGTTGAGATAACAAAGATATTAATCTGAACAAAAACATCAGGATTCATATGAAACAATAGAATATAAGCACTCAAAAGAGTGGTTTATGAAGAAATTAGAAAGTCAAGAATTTCTGAGCAATCACATTAACTTCTTTGTGTTTATAAATAACTCCTATTAAAAATATACTCATTCACCTTGGGATACTTGGAATAATCTGGTGCCAGTACTAAAGCATTCAACTTGTCTGCTATTTGTGAACACAGAAGCCCATACATGTTCTTGCTCCCAGAGCTCCAGGCCCCTCCATATACAAACACTACCACAGGGCACGGGCTATCTATGGCTGCCTTTCCTTTGCTTGGATAATAAAGGTCAAGCTTGGTGTCGCTACTTCCAAAGTGAATTTCCTGGGGAGTGAAAACAGTAATATAGTGATAAGGATATGAGCCAGAACTTAATGTGGAGAGCTCTTATCGACTTGTTCATTTTCATATACATGCAGTATTAACGAAATATGTTTATGAATACAGAAAGGTTACATGCATATGCAGTTCCTATAAAAGTTTACCATTTGCAGAAAATCTACCAAAGGTTGTAGTAGTAAACATTATTATTATATCAAACAAATAGTTTGAAATGAAACTATGACTGGTATCATTTTTGCTGTTGAGAAAGAATTCTGAGAAAACACAAGAAAAATTGCAAACAATATTTATACACTTTAGGAAAATAAGAACAGTCTGGTTAAATACCTTCACCAATTGGTCTGGTGTTGCAGTCCAGTAAAACCAGTTCCACTGTAAATACAGCTTAGCATGGCGGACATCAGACAGGGATTGCAATACAGCATAATTCATTGCATACACTTTCCTTGGGTCAAGTGCCCGCCTGTACTTGTTCTTCCCCTGGGGCCAGCCATACATCAAGTTACACAGTATGGCTACAGCATAGGGCACTGCACCAAACAGAGAGACTGCCAGCAAGGCACCTTTCAGAGCAGTTTGTGATGACAGGGACATGTCTGTAAGTACAGTATCCAAGACATGAAAGATTTAGTAAATAAAACAAATTACCACTGTATGAAACGGCTTTTAGCATGATTTATTTGACCATAATAAATGAAGTGTTCATGTAGACACCAGACTGCATGAGTGTGCAAAAAAGTGCACAATTTCATCATCTGAGTATTCATATTTAATTATCAGGTAAACAGAGGCCAAGGACAACAATTAAATATACGCATTTCACATGATTTTGCAATTCAAATGGAAAACTATTTCTAATTTATCCGTAATTGAGATACTATGTTGCAATGTAAATAATATATCTCGAACACCGGTCCCCTCGAACACATTAACCGCAACATAAAGAACCGAAACTGCGTGGGTTTAGACAGAAATGTGAAACAAGCGAACCTGAAAATGATAAATAAATACTCAAACACGGTAATTTGTCAAACTTAAGAAACACTATTTATTATATGAAATTTTACATGCAACACTTACGCAAGTTATGGTAAACGTTTAACGCACAAAATACGACCCCCCTATATTCCACAATAATCACAGATGCACTTGCACATAAAATAAGTTAATTACATAACTTTCATAAAAATGACACCAAATTATCAACCAATTACGTAGAATGCGTAATTTGAGAACTTATACAAACCTGTCACCCTGCTGAAATGTTATCATGCAAGCAAGGTGAAGTACGACGTGAAGTAGTACAGGAAAACACGTGTGCGCATGCGTCATACAATCAGATCATTTCTTTTCTTTTGGGGGAGGAGCGTTGAACGGTGTCAGTTATTAGGTCAGGAAACAAATCCCACAGGGGATGACAAAGAGAATGTTTATAAAGTGTGCACGGCTGTCTCTCATACTGGCTACAAATGCATTTTATATACCTCTTGTGAAATTCTAAGTTACAATTAATGCCCTCTGCATACATTCTTCTTCAACAGAAATATACCGAAAAAAAAAAAAAAAAAAAAAAAAACACCAAAATTATCTTTCTGTAAATAAATTTATTTAGCCATATATTTGAAAAAATCGTTTCAATTGTTTAAGTTTATTAATTTGTCAATTTTATTTTATTTGTTTATATTTTTGTATGTTTCTCATTTTCTAACTCTTGAAATGCACATACAGTACTGTACATTACCAATCATACAGAGTACTCAGTATGTACTGTACTGTACTAAAACTGTATGTATGTACTACTATACTGTAAGTACTTATCAGCAAATCAAAAGTTCTTGCTTAAATGCCTGGATAGATAATTGGATAAAATAAAACAAAGAGAACATATAATATAATATACTGCACTATATATAGTCCCTCATGAAGTACTAAAAAATAGGGTCCAGTGAAAGGAAATAAGACCCTTAATTGGCTTTGCTTGGGCATACAGTACAAATCTATACATGTAGCTACCTGTATATGTTTGTTTTATAATGCACATATGATAAAACTTACAACTGCAAAATTTTGAGGACATTTATAAAGGTCAAAATGACCACTCCTTGAAATCTTAAATCTTTTAAGATGAATTAGATTAATAAATGCAACCAAGATATGGGGGGAAAAAACAATGCACAAATACATATTTCTTGAAATACATGTAAATTTGAGACATTTGAAATATGAAACTCAAAAAGATACAAAGAGGCATAATTATGTCATTCAACCACATGTATAAAATCTGCAAAATAGAGCTTAATGTATGATGTTGAGCTTTCAATATCCATTAATATCTACAGTATCACATACTGAAGTAAACAGTATGTACACTGTTTTAGAGATGAGTTTGTTTGAATGCTTCATATATACCTCATGCAAAAATATTATCAATGTTAAAAACTGTCACTGTCAATCTGTACCAAAAGTGGATCATATATATGTGCGGATGCTTTTGAGACTAAACTTGATGAGGATATATAACTGCCTGTGCTATTTACAATGTGTAAGTTAATGTATATCAATTTAAAAGTAAAATATACTTGATTAGTTGATAATATCAATTATAATGACTTTAATAACTTATATACTAGCTAATTTCTCACTAATTAATTATGAATGTTAAAATGATTTGTTTAAACACAAATTATTACAAAAACATTGATAATGATAATGCATCCTCTTCTTTATGATAACACAGATGTTGTATGGATAAGTATTCATATATATGTCTGATACATATATCAGATATGATACATATATTTTATGGAATTCTTATGTTGTTTGGATGCATCAGTAATTTGCATGTAATTATGTCACAGTAACCACACAGGGCTCTTAATTAGTCTTAGAGGTAATCTACTCTAGCTGCCAAATCAGTGATACAAATAAAATAAGTAAAAGGTATATTTGTGTATGTATGAATATAAGTATGCATGTATGTAGGGGCTGATCCAGAGATATTTTATGACAGTCTTCCAAATTATCTTTGTTAATCCATTCTTTATAAGTGACCGTCTTCTGACAGAAAAAAATTAGTTACTCGTTCATATAAACTTGGAAGAACCAGAAGACAGCCTGAATCCACTCCTGGTATGTACGTATGCTTAAGTGAAATAAAAAAAAAAAAAACAAAAGAATATTGATAATAAAATGTCTAACACATAACTTTCTAAAAAAAGAGAAAATAAATAAATAAAAATCAATGAGGAAATAAATTTTAAAAAAATATATTGCCATAAAGCTTAAACTGCCCCAAAATATCACAAATGTTAAGTATTAGAATCTGCATTGTGTTTTTTATGAAACTCTTCTGCTTTCTCAACAAATTTCCAGATATCTGCTGCTAACAACTGCGGTTCCTCAAAAGCTGCAAAATGGCCGCCAGTGGGCATATTTGTGTACTGGAGGAGGTGCTTGGCATTTGTGGTGAACAGGAGAGGCGCACAACCAAAGGGGATTTCATGCGGAAAATATGCTATGCCTGTTGGTACCCGGACTTTGTACCTGGATAAAAATAGAAAATTGTTAAAGGAAGATACAAAAATAAAACTGAAACACAGCAGGTTAATTTACCAAAGCAATACACTTTCAATGTGCATTGGGAATCTTACTTGGCAACACAAATAATCATTTTCCCATTCTAATCTATAACAAAATACAATTTTAAAGGTAGAAATATGGGGAAATTGTCTTCCATTATATTCCACAATAACTGAACAGCAGCTGCAGAAACCTTTGGAAAATAGTACAAATTTCAGGCATTTTGCAGTATTTCATTGGCCCTCATCTTGTGAGGGGCAGGGGCTGAAGCATTCACTTTGTTTTGTAAAGAGAGCCTACTGCACCAGCCTTTGAAACCATTACAAAAGGTTTCAGTTAGAAAAAAATCAATTCTGCATTCAAGATAAAAGGAGTTCAACCCATTCGAGTAGGAAAAAGGAAGAAAAGATGAACATATATTAAAAAATGAAAAGTAGGTCAAAGGTCAATTTGAAGGTCACAGTTATATTGCCAGTGTATGACTTCCTATTTAACTTCAATAGTAACTATGGACCTATCTCTGCCAGTTTTGCAGATATAAGGGACTAAATGTTTCAATTTTGGAATTACAGTAATGTGCCATAAAGAAGAAATTAATTGAAAGAAAGAAAAGGTGATTTTGGTTGAAATTCTTGAAATGGGAGGCACTCAGAAGTTCCAGATGTTCAAATTTCATGAAATAATGTCATTTTTGACCAGAGGTTATCTGCTGCGCCAATGCATTCTTATGTTATCTTTTCCAGACATTCAAAATTTTATGCATATTACCGTATTGCACAATTTACTTTCACCAGCACAATGTACTTTTTGATACAGCATAACTCGTAAACCGTATGGAAAAAAAAATTTAAAAAAAGGAGACCACCTCCAGTGTTAGGCTTGACATGCTCTATCAAATGCAAAAAATCAAGGGGTCTCTAGCATTAATGGTTCCAGAATTTGAGAGAGTTTTCTGTTTTGGCATCTAATCGCCTGCTGCTCCCGTGAAAATGCACCAATTGACCCCAAACTTATGGAGATGAAAGATGACCTGATGGGTAACACCTGCCAATAATATTATATATATATATAATATTAGGTCTGTGTAGTGTCTGAATTATAGTGCAAGTAAATTTTTTTTGTAAAAAATTCCCTTTTTTTGAAAATTTTGGCCCGTTTCACCTTGAAATAAAGGTCAAAGGTCAAATCCAAGGGCATATTTGAAATCTCCACATATGCCTTTCAGTCAGCCATCTATAGAAATTTTTCCCATAATTCCTTTGGTTTGTTAGATAATTAGTATTTAATTTTGCCAATTTTGGACAAGGGTGCATTACAATGACCCCAGCACCGACGAAGCCCAAATTTTACGTGGAAACAGTTGAGATTATACATGACCTAAATCCAAGAGATGGGCACACAGGCCCTTGTAGTCTACGAGAAGAAGCGCTAATGGTGACGTGCCGGCAGAGCCAGCAGAACATACAGGTCGGCACTAAAACCATGTGTACCGCCAGCCTGGTGCTACAATAAATACATGTACCAACCAACAAAGATTTAAACATACAAACACACCTGCCCATATCACTAGTCTGGTCACTCCAAACCCTTTCCTTGTAGAGCCTCATTGATGACGTGACAGACTTGGTGGTCCAGTAGATCATCACATTGGTCAACAGCTCATCCAGGGTAAACTTCTTTGTCAGACCACCATCAGGCAAGTCTCTATGCCCAGGGTTGGTACAAGTGGAGAACTTCTCTAAGATATATGCTGCAAGACCTACTGGTGAATCCGAAAGAGCCATTCCTAAAATGTAGAGGACACAATGATTTTTTCTGTATTATATATATATATGTTTAAAAATATATGTTTAAAAAATTGTAATTGAAAGTAAGGCAAATCTATTGAAACCATACATAGATGTTTAATCTTTTAGGCTGTAATCATAACTATATACATTCTTATAAATATTAATTTCAGTCTAATTTGCTTGGAGTTATATTTCACTTTTAACAAAAAGTAAAGCTATGAAGTTCTGCTCTGGTCTGCTGCTGTTGGTGCTGCTATTGCTCCCCCAACTCTCTCAGCCAAAAATAATGAAGTTTGATACTTAACAAATAATAAGTAAGTAAGTAAATAAACTTACCTATAGTATCAGGCTTGGTGAATTGAAGAAATGCATAGCCCACTTCATTCAGAATGAACGCCAGCTTGTCCCATATTGGATGGATTTTCGGTATATCCTGCTCTTCTAAAATTGCAGATGGCAGCATTGCAGCAATGAAAAATTTCAAGAGAGCTTTTCCACCCATTTCCATTTGGAACATATTCGAATGCAGTCCTAGCACTGACCTAAAGTGACAAAATCCAATATATACTTTGAAATTAATTGTTTTGAATAGATTTTATACATTCCTACTCTTCAACCACATTATAGCATTGAAATAAAATTATGTCATAACAATATGTTTGCATTTAATTACAACCCATTTGCTTTGACAAAAAACTTTAATAACTGGGAACAACAACAATGACATATGTATTAACAATTATACACAACTTACTGTGGATATAAGATTGACATATACTGAGTAATGGCTGCTCCCCAGTCCCCGCCCTGCACATAATAGGACTGATGTCCCAAGCGAGTCATCAGTTTGTGAAATATTCTGGCTGTGTCAACTTGATCAAAACCTAGAGGAGAAATAAAATAAGTTATATGGTTGATTAAAGTTGTTTTAAGTCTTAATTTCATTTGGAAATGAAAATGGCATTCGTTACAGTATGGCAGAGTATGACAGGCATGAAAGAGTAGGTGTTGCTGTAAAACCCAAGTACCTGCCTTAACATTATCAAATTTTATGTGGTCAGTTTTATTATATGAATGCTCATCAGAAAAAAAATGTCTTGCAAAAACAAACACTTTCCAAAAAAAAAAAAAAAAAAAACAAGGCAGCAAAGCTGTCAAATGTACAGACTAAAAAAACAGAAAATAAAGATGCAAAATAGGTCATTTTGTCAATTTTGATGCAATAATGAATAATGCTTATAATAGCACAGTCAGTCAACACTGAATTTTAATCATGCACAACAGTTAACATGGTCAATAACAGGAGCGGACCCAGTGATATTTTCTGACAGTATTCCAAAGTATCTTTGTTGATCCATCCTCCACTTTGATGGTCTTCCAACAGAAAAAAATAGATACCAATCAATATAAACTTAAAAACCTGACCATCTTCCGGAAGATCCACTCCTTCAATAAGATTACAGTTTCAGGACCATGAGAGTTCAAATTCACATGATGAAAGTCCCAATATTTGAACAAGCCAAAAAGTAAAACTGTTTTCCACTTATTGTGTTATCAGTGTTGCATATATGCTGAAAAAGTGAAAAAACAGCATAATTTTTATAAAAATGGCCTGATCATACTGATTTTAGAACTTGACCTACGCATATTGAATATTCATCAGTTCTGTAAGTTTCAAGCCAAAAGGTAGAAGGGTTTCCCACTTATCGTGTTATCGGTGTTGCACAAATGCTAAAAAAAAGTGAAAAAACAGTGTAACTTCCATAAAAATGGCCCGATCATGCCAATTTTCAAACTTGACCTGCAGATATTGAATATTCATCAGTTCTGTAAGTTTCAAGCCAAAAGGTAAAATGGTTTTCCACTTATAGTGTTATCAGTGCCGCATATATGCTGAAAAAATTGAAAAAACAGCATAAATTCCCTAAAAATGACCCAATCTTGCTGATTTTCGAACTTGACCTGCGTATTATGAATATTCATCAGTTCTGTAAGTTTCAAGCCAAAAGGTAAAATGGTTTTCCACTTATCGAGTTATCGGTGCAGCATATATGCTGAAAAAAGTGAAAAAACAGCATAAACTCCCTAAAAGTGACCCGATAATGCTGACTTTCGAACTTGACCTGCGTATTATGAATATTCATCAGTTCTGTAAGTTTCAAGCCAAAAGAAAAAACAGTTTTCCACTTATCGTGTTATCGGTAAAAGTGCACGGCGACGACGATGGCAACGACAGACGCAGATGACGGCTATATGTACAGACACATCTGTGTTTGTACATAAAAAAAAATTCAAGGCAATTTTAGGCTTTTGAACCTGGCATCACTAACTAGTACTGGTAATTGCGACTTAAAATGGCTGAACCAAGCAATGGTGTTTTTTAACTGATAATTTCACAGTTAAGTTGGAATTCAGCCAATGACTCATGTTACAGTGAGAAACAACTCCAAACAAAGGCCACAGAAATGATCCTCTAGGTACAGATCCTAAAATATCTGCTTCAAGATGGCATTTAAGAGCTAAGTCACAGCTTAAAAAGCCAGAGGGTCACTACATTGCAATCTTTGTATTTAATTGATTTCTACTGCATCCAGCTATATGAACAAAAGTGATGCACATACAAACATCTTTATCTGAGTTCTGAGCATATAAGAAGCCTGTTTTGTCTGCAAGTATTCAGGGTTGGGTCAGTTTTATAGAAAAATCTCATCACAGAAACACCTTACTTTTATGTGACTATAAATCTACATAATAATAGATCTATAGTCTTACATGTTTTTCTCTGCTAAGCACCCTCTAATTCAGGAAGTACCACTTTATAATTTAATAATAATGATGAAACTGTCAGTCAGTATTTGGAATCATAGGTTGTGGTGTCATTGCTATTTATTTTGGGTCTAATTGCACATAAATTGATCAGTACTCAAATCTGATGGTACTCGGATTTATCCATTCCCACTACATATCAACTGGTAACAGCAGTACAAGTATCAATCTTTATGTGGATTAATCTGGACAAAAAATTTATCAGCATGCAGCGATCATCAGGGGTTCAGTGCAGGAGTGATTTTATTGGCAATTTCTGCCTCTGGTAACAGATTTGACATGCTCACCCTGCTTATGAGATGCTTCAGAAAAACCATATCCTGGAATAGATGGCAACACCAGTTCGAAGACAAGCCCATTCTGAGGTTTGGTCAGAAGTGGAATCATCTTGTAAAACTCATAAAATGATCCTGGCCATCCATGAACAAGCAACAGTGGGCGGACAACAATATCTGAAAAAAAAATTAAAAAAGGTAAGGATTATTACACAAGACTCTATCATGAAAATTCGTACATTCTCTTTATGTTTTTCATTACGCATGTGTGCGCTAATGCATGAAATATATACCTGAAGTTTCAGATAACTGTGAAATGGATTTTAGTTATCAAATCAACTCCTTTTCTGGGCTCTCAAATTTACTGATAATTTAGCTCTCATCTTCTTAAGTAATAGTTACAAAAGTGTCAGTGGTGTAATAAAATATGTTTTGAAAATACTTAACAAGTCCCAAATTTTAAAGCATACACAATTTTTTTTTAAAAAATGTATCGCAAACTTATCAGGCTTTCATAGTTAATTTCTATTACCTTGCTCTTTGACATCAGGTTTGATATGTACAAAGTGAATAAATATTCCTTCAATCTGAGTTTTATAGTGTTTATATTCATTCAGTTCAAGTTCTGCTTTTCTCCAGTCATATTTCTCACTCCAGTATTTTACAACCTAAAAGACAATCAATCCATAAGTGCTTTCAGATAAACACTAGTAACAGACTAAATGAATCAATAAATAAATTGAGAAATGCAGTCAGAAATATATTTCAATCAGAAATATATTCCAAATATATCTCAACGTCATTAATTCTACCGCATCCATCTTTTGTTTTCATAGAAAGTCTTAAAAGAACATAGTTCCTTACAACTTAAAAAAAAAATTAAAATCTGACAGATAATTTTCAAAGTATTTATAAAGCAAAATTAACTTTTGACTGATAACGAATGTCAGTCAACATCTGTGGGTAATACTAGTATAATCACACCTCTTTCATATAGTCCACACTAAAGCCATAATTGAAGTTGGCATCTTCCAAGCTGTCAAAGTATCTCGTCTTGCTCAATCTCTCCTTTAAGTCATCAATTATGCTATCTGTCACCATTATTTTGATACCCTTCAAGGACAGGTCATCTTCTGTCTTTTCACCTTTTCCCCACCAACCATCTTGAATCTCTGGGGGATTGGGGTCATCGTCAAGGAAACCCGTCAAGACAAGCGCGATTACTATGGAAACAGCAATGGGGATCACAAGACAACAGCAACATAATCCACACTTCATTATTTCTGAAATGAAAATTTGGCATAAATTAAGTAAATAAATAATAAATAAGTGGAATTTTGAAACATTAATTGCTATTATGAAGTGTAATAGGGTCAGATCTTACTTGTCTGGTTGCCTCCTTTTTTAGCCTTATATGTTTTGCTAGGTACTTATCACAGGTTATAAGGCCTCTTAACTTCCTATTTAACAGTTTTAAAGTTATAAATATCCTGGGGAAACTGTGCTGACTATTACAGGCCCATATCCTAGGGGTGTCAAGGTGGGGATTTTGAATCAGTAACCCTTTTTGCTGGGAAAAGGTCTGCTCTGAGGAAAATTTGATCTACAGGTACACAAGTTTCATAGTAAAAATTCCACTTTCTCAGAAAAAACAAAAACACCTCTTTGGAACTACTGTCCAGGGTTGTGATGTAGAATATTTCTCAATTGAAGCCATTTAATTTCACATCCAAATCTAAATGTTTTAGTTAATTCCTTTATTCCTGCTATGCAACAGTACTAACAATTTTAGATGTGCCCATGCTATTTTTTAATGACTTCACATACAGCCTTGCATAGGTCCAACAACATATAAATAAACTTAAATCATAGAGATCGAGATGCTACATATGTTATAGATTTAAATCTGTATGCTGAAACCCTCACCCCCACCCACTGGCTGACCCATTGAAGTGCCCGCTCTGTGTACCAAACTTCAATATTGTCTTGTTTTCGAGAAATCAGACTTATGATCAATACCCAGAAACAATTTTTAAATGTACTTTTGGAGATTTTTCATACTTTTTGTGACTCTTATATGGACATTTTCTGCAACAAATGCTATATTAATCTGTCAACAGACTTTTAAATTTAAATTATTTTGCAATTTATACTGGTTCCCATACCTAGATCGATCTAACAGGATTGATCCATCTCCAGGGGGATTTCTCGCTAAATTGCTTTCATCTTAAGCAGTTAAGATGTCTGTCACGCCCACTGAAGCTGCTAAACGACAATTAATTACCCCTAGCAGCAGCAGTGGGCCTGACAGATATCTAAGCTGCTTATATTGATTGCAATTTAGCAAGAATCCCTTTGGAGATAGATCGATCCACAGTTTGTACGATAGGGTCTAGCTGGGAACNATCTCATCACAGAAACACCTTACTTTTATGTGACTATAAATCTACATAATAATAGATCTATAGTCTTACATGTTTTTCTCTGCTAAGCACCCTCTAATTCAGGAAGTACCACTTTATAATTAAATAATAATGATGAAACTGTCAGTCAGTATTTGGAATCATAGGTTGTGGTGTCATTGCTATTTATTTTGGGTCTAATTGCACATGAATTGATCAGTACTCAAATCTGATGGTACTCGGATTTATCCATTCCCACTACATATCAACTGGTAACAGCAGTACAAGTATCAATCTTTATGTGGATTAATCTGGACAAAAAATTTATCAGCATGCAGCGATCATCAGGGGTTCAGTGCAGGAGTGATTTTATTGGCAATTTCTGCCTCTGGTAACAGATTTGACATGCTCACCCTGCTTATGAGATGCTTCAGAAAAACCATATCCTGGAATAGATGGCAACACCAGTTCGAAGACAAGCCCATTCTGAGGTTTGGTCAGAAGTGGAATCATCTTGTAAAACTCATAAAATGATCCTGGCCATCCATGAACAAGCAACAGTGGGCGGACAACAATATCTGAAAAAAAATTTACAAAGGTAAGGATTATTACACAAGACTCTATCATGAAAATTCGTACATTCTCTTTATGTTTTTCATTATGTATGTGTGCGCTAATGCATGAAATATATACCTGAAGTTTCAGATAACTGTGAAATGGATTTTAGTTATCAAATCAACTCCTTTTCTGGGCTCTCAAATTTACTGATAATTTAGCTCTCATCTTCTTAAGTAATACTTACAAAAGTGTCAGTGGTGTAATAAAATATGTTTTGAAAATACTTAACAAGTCCCAAATTTTAAAGCATACACAATTTTTTTTTTTAAATGTATCGCAAACTTATCAGGCTTTCATAGTTAATTTCTATTACCTTGCTCTTTGACATCAGGTTTGATATGTACAAAGTGAATAAATATTCCTTCAATCTGAGTTTTATAGTGTTTATATTCATTCAGTTCAAGTTCTGCTTTTCTCCAGTCATATTTCTCACTCCAGTATTTTACAACCTAAAAGACAATCAATCCATAAGTGCTTTCAGATAAACACTAGTAACAGACTAAATGAATCAATAAATAAATTGAGAAATGCAGTCAGAAATATATTTCAATCAGAAATATATTCCAAATATATCTCAACGTCATTAATTCTACCATCCATCTTTTGTTTTCAAAGAAAGTCTTAAAATAACATAGTTCCTTACAACTTAAAAAAAAATTAAAATCTGACAGATAATTTTCAAAGTATTTATAAAGCAAAATTAACTTTTGACTGATAAAGAATGTCAGTCAACATCTGTGGGTAATACTGATATAATCACACCTCTTTCATATAGTCCACACTAAAACCATAATTGAAGTTGGCATCTTCCAAGCTGTCAAAGTATCTCGTCTTGCTCAATCTCTCCTTTAAGTCATCAATTATGCTATCTGTCACCATTATTTTGATACCCTTCAAGGACAGGTCATCTTCTGTCTTTTCACCTTTTCCCCACCAACCATCTTGAATCTCTGGGGGATTGGGGTCATCGTCAAGGAAACCCGTCAAGACAAGCGCGATTACTATGGAAACAGCAATGGGGATCACAAGACAACAGCAACATAATCCACGCTTCATTATTTCTGAAATGAAAATTTGGCATAAATTAAGTAAATAAGTAATAAATAAGTGGAATTTTGAAACATTAATTGCTATTATGAAGTGTAATAGGGTCAGATCTTACTTGTCTGGTTGCCTCCTTTTTTAGCCTTATATGTTTTGCTAGGTACTTATCACAGGTTATAAGGCCTCTTAACTTCCTATTTAACAGTCTTAAAGTTATAAATATCCTGGGGAAACTGTGCTGACTATTACAGGCCCATATCCTAGGGGTGTCAAGGTGGGGATTTTGAATCAGTAACCCTTTTTGCTGGGAAAAGGTCTGCTCTGAGGAAAATTTGATCTACAGGTACACAAGTTTCATAGTAAAAATTCCACTTTCTCAGAAAAAACAAAAACACCTCTTTGGAACTACTGTCCAGGGTTGTGATGTAGAATATTTCTCAATTGAAGCCATTTAATTTCACATCCAAATCTAAATGTTTTAGTTAATTCCTTTATTCCTGCTATGCAACAGTACTAACAATTTTAGATGTGCCCATGCTATTTTTTAATGACTTCACATACAGGCTTGCATAGGTCCAACAACATCACTATAAATAAACTTAAATCAAAGAGATCGAGATGCTTCATATGTTATAGATTTAAAACTGTATGCTGAAACCCTCACCCCCACCCACTGGCTGACCCATTGAAGTGCCCGCTCTGTGTACCAAACTTCAATATTGTCTTGTTTTCAAGAAATCAGACTTATGATCAATACCCAGAAACAATTTTTAAATGTACTTTTGGAGATTTTTCATACTTTTTGTGACTCTTATATGGACATTTTCTGCAACAAATGCTATATCAATCTGTCAACAGACTTTTAAATTTAGATTATTTTGCAATTTATACTGGTTCCCATACCTAGATCGATCTAACAGGATTGATCCATCTCCAGGGGGATTTCTCGCTAAATTGCTTTCATCTTAAGCGGTTAAGATGTCTGTCACGCCCACTGAAGCTGCTAAACGACAATTAATTACCCCTAGCAGCAGCAGTGGGCGTGACAGATATCTAAGCTGCTTATATTGATTGCAATTTAGCAAGAATCCCTTTGGAGATAGATCGATCCACAGTTTGTACAATAGGGTTTAGCTGGGAATNTTCTCGCTAAATTGCTTTCATCTTAAGCAGTTAAGATGTCTGTCACGCCCACTGAAGCTGCTAAACGACAATTAATTACCCCTAGCAGCAGCAGTGGGCCTGACAGATATCTAAGCTGCTTATATTGATTGCAATTTAGCAAGAATCCCTTTGGAGATAGATCGATCCACAGTTTGTACGATAGGGTCTAGCTGGGAATGGTCAGTATTTGTACCGATTGCCCCAGACACTCAATGCAAGCCATCCATGGAAAAGACACAAATTCTATGTCCCTTTCAGTTGATCAAAAGCTACTTATGTACTTCTAACCTTCCCTGCTGAAAATACAATTACTATAATAGGTTGTCATTTGTCACAAGATCTCATCAGTACCATGCACATTGCAGTTCCAAACAGTCGATAATACCAGTTTAGATGCTGCTGTTGCACATGCGCAGACAATGGACACAGGTGCTTGCCACAACAGTGCTACCAGACAACAATGGTGAATGTTGCATTGCAAAGGGCGAAAGGCATTTTGTGTGTTATTTCCATGTTTTTGAGCAGTTCTTTGGGTGCTCATGATGGGCCCTGTTCTGCCGTTCATGTTGTTACAGCCTGACATATGTCACCGGAAGATGGATGAATTGATGTTTGTGGGAGACACTGTCTGTGGTGAGATTCTATCACAGTTGATTTTATTTGTCTTTGATGCATCTGTTGGAAATGGAAAGCACCCAAAACCCCAAACTAACCTAGAACAAGTTTCAGAGATAGTTGGAGTTGAGACTCACCTCTATCATTAGTATCCTACTGCCGCTTTAATATTTTTTGTAATACTAATTTACTCTTTGCACGTGACGTCAAACGCAACCACTCGTCCCAGTTATAGACATGTAGAAGGTGTCACGGTCTTGGAGTGTCGTCGTGCTCTGGTCCCACTAAATACCAAAAAGCCACAACATAACGCTGCAAAATAGAAATGTAGTCTAAAGTCATCTTAATGGCATATCAATTGTCTATTTTTATCATAAGATAGGGTCTCATACTGTATCAAACTTACAGCGCTGAAGATCACCAAATCTACATGTTTAAAAAAATCCTTAACAGTCATATTCTTGTCCTGTAAAGCTTCTTACATTCCCAATTCAGACAATAAAACCCTGAAGATGAAAATTGAACTGAAGCGTACCTTGTGTAGTCATCATCTTCTCAGCCCCATTGGCTAGCCATTGCCAGTTTGCAACATCTGTATTATACACAGCACAAGGCTGCAAATGCAATACAAAAAATCCCTGCCATTTTCTTGTGTGAAAACAAGGCAATGCGTGTGATGACAGGTGTTGTTAATTTGACTGGCCGTAAACAGTTAGATACACAATATCATGTCTAAACTAATGCAGGGAAAGGAAAGAGAGGTGAAGAAAAAAAAAAACAAACCCTAATTCAACTAGAATAGGCTACACTAAACCTCATATTAAACTTACTATTGAGATATGCATCGTCAGTTTATCTAGGTTTTATTCAGCATAGATGCAATTTTCATATCACTAGCTTTAAAACAATCACCAAGAAAGTCAGTTGTGCATTTTGCGATATCAAAATCATTACATTACAGTATGGTAAGAAATAGTTCACTGATGGACTCAGGGGCTGCACTGCCCAGTATATCTCTAACCTGGTTAAAATATAAGGCTCTCACTGGAGCATAACGGGGGCATATCTTCAGAAAAATGGAACTCTTCTTCAACTGAGCACATGTTGCCCATGTTGTGCATAGCCTTTTCTCTATCGGTATTTTAGGGTTCATGTATCTCCCCTTTTCTATTGCCAGATTGTGTGCACTCTGAATTTGCATAGGTATATAAATCTTTCTTGAAGGTGCTGTAGGAGCGTAGTTTTTTACCCTCCGTGTTCAGGGATGGTTAAATGCTAGGTGGGCTTTAAAGGCCGAAATATAGGAGCTTTGGATGAGAGGTTTTATTGTGGAAGAGAGTGAGGTCTTAGATATTTTAAGAGGGTCCTCCCAGATGTCGGGGCGTCCAATGAGCGCCAGTGTATTTTTGATGCCGGTTGACCAGGTTGAGGTGTCTGGGGTAGCGCTAACACTCGCCAATTTAGCCAAATGCTAAAACTTTCTTAAATTGGCTAAAGAAAAAGGGCTAGATTTGACTTCTTTTAGTCAAGTTACATGTATAACCATTTTGAAAACAAAAAGTGGTTTTTAAATTAAATTAAAATTGGCTAAGCGATAAAAATTGCTAGCGCTACCCCAGGGTGTTAATTATTCTGTTTAATTTTTCATTTTCGTAAAGTGTATGAGTTACAAAGGAGGTGGTGTCATGGTACTTCTTATGTTAAAGGCTGCGCCAGTATTTAAGGGCCAGTGTGGAGGCAGTGGTCAATATCGGGTACCTGCCCAGTTCTCCGCTAAGGTATTAAATTCAAAATGGAATCAAAGTGCAGGGACTGGTCAAGCAATAATTGCTCTTTACCCCATGAAAGTACATTTTGGCTGGATATAATTTAATTAATCAATTATTAGAAAGTAGAATGCGTAATTTGAGAACTTATACAAACCTGTCACCTTACTCAAGGAGTTATAACAGTTATAACTCCTTGCCCTACTGAAGTGTTATCATGCAAGCAAGGTGACGTACGACGTGAAGTAGTACAGGAAAACACGTGTGCGCATGCGTCATACAATCAGCTCACTTTCGGGAGGGGGGGGGGGGGGTGGCGTCAGTTATTTCAAACATTTGGTCAGGAAACGAATCCCAAAAGATGATGACAAAGAGAATGTACTGTACACGGATGTCTCTCATAAAGGCTACAAATGCATTATATATACCTCTTGTGGAATTCTAAGCCTCTGATTGGTTAATAGGACAATGCCCTCTGCAAACATTTTTTTCTGACAATTAACAGGCATATACTGAAAAAATCAAAATCATTTTTCTGTAAATAAATTTATTTAGCCATACATTTGATAAAATCGTTTAATTTTATTAATTTTTCAATTTTATTTTATTTATTTATATTTTTTTGTATGTTTCTCATTTTCTAATGTTGAAATGAACATACCGGGTACATGTGTATGTACCAATCATACAGTGTATGTACCAGTACTTTACTGGTAGTACTTATCAGCTAATCAAAAATTCTTTCTTTCATGCCTTGGTGGATAATCGGATGAAATAAAAGAAACAGAGCACATATAGTCCTTCATGAAGTACTAAAAATAGGGTCCAGTGAAAAGAAATAAGACCCTTAAGGGGCCCTTATTAATCATTCATTATTGGCTTAATTTGCTATGGGTTCACTTGGGACAGTACAAATCTTCCTGGGTACATGTAGCTATGTTTGTTTTATAATACACACATGATAAAACTTACAACTGCAAAATTATGAAGACATTCATAAAGGACAAAATTACCACTCCTTGAAATCCTACATCTAAATGAATTAGCTTAAAGCAATAATAATTCTTCCTTTGAGATTCAAAATTCCACAAGAAATACATTGTAAACAACGCATGGAAATATATTCTATTGCATTTTACCACTAAAACAGCTGTTATTGTAGTAAAACTAAAATCTGTGCTTGTCAATAGGCTTTCGATACCTTTCTTCACAGTCGTCAAGGCATCCGTTGATAATGACGTTAGGGTGTCACGCAGATTTTCGCGTTCATTCGAGACCAAAATAACATTTGGCGCCAAACGTGTTGATGCAATTCGCAGACATAAGTTGTGAGTTTTTGTACAGTGCGTTGGATAACGAAAAGCCCAGAATTGCACACATTGTAAATATAAATGCATTTTGAGCAATAAGACGTACAGTGTATATATATCTTATGAATCTTATATTATTGTTATCTGCTTTTCCTGCGGTTTTAAGTAGGTCACCAGAAAATATCGCTCGATATTGCGTGACTATGCAAAGTCAGAGAGAGCTCCGTCAGTTAAAATCTCTTAAGATATTTTAACAAAAAACCAAACGTTTAGGAAAAAAACCCTGGAATAACTTTGAATGCAGGAATGGGGTCGCTGACCATTGGTAAGTACCGGAAAATTGCCGTTTACTCCAGGAAAATCCAATTTTTGGCCGAAAGAGTTATTATGACTTTAATAAATGCAACCAAGATAAAAAAAAAATGCACAAATACATATTTCTTGAAATACATGTAAATCTAAGACATTTTGAAATATAAAACTCAAAAAGATACAAAGAGGCATAATTATGTCATTCATGCAACCACATGTATAAAATCTGCAAAATAGAGCTTAATGTATGATGTTGAGCTTTCAATATCCATTAATATCTACAGTATCACATACTGAAGTAAACAGCATGTACACTAGTAGTGGAGATGAATGCTTCATATATACCTCATGCAAAAATATTATCAATGTTAAAAATTGTCACTGTCACGGACTGTACCAAAAGTGGATCATATGATGTGCATGATGCTTTTAAGACTAATTTCAACTTGCCTAGGATGTATAACTGCCTGTGCTATTTACAATTTTTAAGAATGTATATCAATTTAAAAGTAAAATATTCTTGATTAGTTGATAATATCAATTATAATGACTAACAATTTACTGAGTACTAGCTAATTTCTCATTAATTAATTATGAATGTTAAAATGATCTGTTTAAGCAAAAATTATTACAAAAACATTGATAATGATAATGCATTATCTTCTTTGTGGTTAACACTGATGTTGTATGGATATATAAGTACTCATATATGTCTGATATATATGGAATTCTTATGTTGTTTGGATGCATCAGTAATTTGCATGTAATTATGTCACAGTAACCACACAGGGCTCTTAATTAGTCTTAAGGGTAATCTACTCTAGCTGCCAAATCAGTGATACAAATAAAATTAGTAAAAGGTATATTTGTGTATGTATGTATGTATGTACACAGGTATGTATGTATGTACATGTATGTATGCAAGGGCGGATCCAGAGATATTTTCTGACTGTCTTCCAAATTATCTTTGTTGATCCATTCTCTATAAGTGACAGTATTGCGACAGAAAAAGATCAGTTACACCTTCATGTAAACCTGATCTGACAGTCTTTTGGAAGGCCCAGAAGACGGCCTGAATCCGCCCCTGGTATATATATGTACATATGATTATGTGAAATTAAAAAAAAAAAAAAAAATATATATATATATATATATATATATATATATATATATATATATATATTGATAATAAAATGTCTAACATTACTTTCTTAAAAAAGAGAAAATAAATAAATAAAAATCAAGAGGACATACATTTAAAAAATATATTGCCATAAAGCTTAAAGCTTAAACTGCCCCAAAATATCACAAATGTTAAGTATTAGAATCTGCATTCTGTTTTTTATGAAACTCTTCTGCTTTCTCAACAAATTTCCAGATATCTGCTGCTAACAACTGCGGTTCCTCAAAAGCTGCAAAATGGCCACCAGTGGGCATATTTGTGTACTGGAGGAGGTGCTTGGCATTTGTGGTGAACAGGAGAGGGGCACAACCAAAGGGGATTTCATGTGGAAAATATGCTATGCCTGTTGGTACCCGGACTTTGTACCTGGTTATAAAAAGAAAATTGTTAAAGGAAGATACACAAATAAAACTGAAACACAGCAGGTTAATTTACCAAAGCAATATATTTTCAATGTGCATTGGGAATCTTATCTGGCAACACAAATAATCATTTTCCCATTCTAATCTGTAACAAAATACAATTATCTGTAACAAAATACAATTTTGTAGGTAGAAATATGGGGAAATTGTCCTCTATTATATTTCACAATAACTGAACAAAAGTTGCAGAGCAACCTTTGGAAAATAGTGTACAATTTCAGGCATTTTGCAGTGCTTCATTGGCCCTCACCTTGTGAGGGGCAGGGGCTGTAGCATTATTCTGTTTTGGTAAGAGAGGAGCCTACAGTATCAGCCTTTGAAACCATTACAAAAGGGTTTGAGTTTAAAAAAAAAGCAATCTGCATTCAAGAAAAAGAATTTCAATCAATCTGAGCAAAAAAGGAAGAATAGACAACTAAATATAAAAAATAAATAAATAAATACATTACCAACCAACAAAGATTTAAACATACAAACACACCTGCCCATATCACTAGTCTGGTCACTCCAAACCATCTCCTTGTAGAACCTCATTGATGATGTGACAGACTTGGTAGTCCAGTAGATCATCACATTGGTCAATAGCTCGTCCAGGGTAAACTTCTTTGTCAGACCACCATCAGGCAAGTCCCTATGCCCAGGGTTGGTCCAGGTGGAGAACTTCTCTAAGATATATGCTGCAAGACCTACCGGTGAATCCGAGAGAGGCATTCCTAAAATGTAGAGGGCACAATGATGATTTTTTTTCTATTTTAATATGTTTAAAAATTTGTAATTGTCAGTATGGCAAATCTATTGAAACCATACTTTTTCCCATAGGTGTTTAATCTTTTAGGCTAGCTGTAATCATAACTATATACATTCTTATAAATTTTAATTGCTCAGTTTAATTTGCTTGGAGTTATATTTCACTTTTAACAAAAAGTAAAGCTATGAAGTTCTGCTCTGGTCTGCTGCGGTTGATTGCTCCCCCAACTCTCTCAGTCAAAAATAATGAAGTTTGATATTTAACAAATAATAAGTAAGTAAGTAAACTTACCTATAGTATCAGGCTTGGTGGATTGAAGAAATGCATAGCCCATTTCATTCAGAATGAACGCCAGCTTGTCCCATATTGGATGGATTTTTCGGTATATCTTGCTCTTCTAAAATTGCAGATGGCAGCATTGCAGCAATAAAAAATTTCAAGAGAGCCTTTCCACCCTGTTCCATTTGGAACATATTTGAATGCAGTCCTAGCACTGACCTAAAGTGACAAAATCCAATATATATATTTTGAAATTGTTTTGAATAGATTTCAGACATTCCTACTCTTCAACCACATTATAGCACTGAAATAAAATTATATGTCATAACAATATGTTTGCATTTAATTACAACCCATTTGCTTTGACAAAAAACTTAAATAACTGGGAACAATAACAATGACATATGTTAGAGCAATATTCTTGGATATAGTAGCTACAGGTATTATCAATTATACACAACTTACTGTGGATATAAGATTGACATATACTGAGTAATGGCTGCTCCCCAGTCCCCGCCCTGCACATAATAGGACTGATGTCCCAAACGAGTCATCAGTTTGTGAAATATTCTGGCTGTGTCAACTTGATCAAAACCTAGAGGAGCAATAAAACAAGTTACATGGTTGATTATAGTTTTTTAAATTCTAAATTTTATTTGGAAATGAAATTGGCAATCGTTACGGTATGGCAGAGTATGGCAGGCATGGTAGATTGGGAGTTGTTATAAAACCCAAGTACCTACCTTAACGTTATCAAAGTTCATTTGGTCAATTTTATTACATAAATGCTCATCAGAAAAAATATTCTTGAAACAAAATAACACTTTCCAAAAAATTTAAGGCAATTTTAGGCTTTTGGACCTGGCATCACTTACTACATTGTAGTACCGATAACTGCAATGGAGTTTTTTACTGATAACTTCTGAATCACTGTTAAGTTGGAATTCAGCCAATGTTTTGTGTTACAGTGAGAAACAACTCCAAACAAAGGCCACTGAAATGATCCTTTAGGTACAGATTCTAAAATATCTGCGTCAAGATGGCATTTAAGAGTTAAATCACTGCTGAAAAAGCCAAAAGCCAATCTGTGCATCTAGTTGATTTCTAATGCGTTCAGCTAATTTGAACAAAAGTGATGCACACACAAACATCTTTGGCTCCATTCAAAATGGATGATCCGAGAACTTACTGATCTGCCGACTAAATACAGCCAACCACAGTTCAAAAGCGATGCTGCTGATTCCTGATGGTCTCCCCAACTCCACATGCACCTTTAAACTGATTTAATCTCTGCTCTGTGGTTTAATTGCTCGACCCTGCAGTGGAGACGTGTGGAGGCAGGGAGACCAATCGGGGAATCAGCAGCATCACTTTTGGACTGTGTTTGGCCATATTTAGTTGGCCAATCAGTAAGTACTCGGATCATCCATTCTGAATGGGGTCTTTATCTGAGTTCTGGACATATAAGAAGCCCGTTTTGTCTGGAAGTGGTCAGGGTTGGGTCAATTTTATAGAAAAATATCATTATAGAAACACATTGCTTTTATGTGTCTATAAATCTACATAATAATAGATATGTAGACTTATTTACACATTTTTTTCTGCTGAGCATGCTCTTATTCAAGTACCACTTTATAATAAAACTATCAGTCAGTATTTGGAATCATAGGTTGCGGTCTCATTGGTATTTATTTTGGGATTAGTTGCACATGGATCCATCAGTACTCAAATCTGATGGTACTCGGATTTATCCGTTCCCACTACATATCAACTGGTAACAGCAGATTAATCTGGACAAAAAATTATCAACATGCAGCGATCATTAGGGGTTCATTGGAGGAGTGATTTTATAAGGCAATTTCTGCCTCTGGTAACAGATTTGACATGCTCACCCTGCTTATGAGATGCTTCAGAAAAACCATATCCTGGAATAGATGGCAACACCAGTTCGAAGACAAGCCCATTCTGAGGTTTGGTCAGAAGTGGAACCATTTTGTAAAACTCATAAAATGATCCTGGCCATCCATGAACAAGCAACAGTGGGCGGACAACAATATCTGAAAAAAAATTTAAAAAAGGTAAGGATTAGAACACTGTCAGTGGTGTAATAAAATGTGTTTTGAAAATACTTAACAAGTCCCAAATTTTAAAGCATACACAAATTTTTTTTAAAAATATATCGCAAACTTATCTGACTTTCATAGTTAATTTCTATTACCTTGTTCTTTGACATCAGGTTTGATATGTACAAAGTGAATAAATATTCCTTCAATCTGAGTTTTATAGTGTTTATATTCATTCAGTTCAAGTTCTGCTTTTCTCCAGTCATATTTCTCTCTCCAGTATTTTACAACCTAAAAGACAATCAATCCATAAGTGCTTTCAGAAAAAAATAACCAATTAAATAAATCAATAAATAAATTGAAAAATGCATTCAGAAATATATTTCAAATATATCTCAACGTCATTAATTTTACCATATCTTTTGTTTTCATAGAAAACCTTAAAAGAACAGCTTTCCTGACAATAAAATAAATAAATAAATAAATAAATAAAATAAATAAATATATAGATAATAATAATAATAATAAATACACAAAATTAAAATCTGACTGATAATTTTCAAAATATTTATAAAGCAAAATAAACTTTTGACTGATAAAGAATGTCAGTCAACATCTGTGGGTAATACTAGTATAATCACACCTCTTTCATATAGTCCACACTAAAGCCATAATTGAAGTTGGCATCTTCCAAGCTGTCAAAGTATTTTGTCTTGCTCAATCTCTCCTTTAAGTCATCAATTATGCTATCTGTCACCATTATTTTGATACCCTTCAAGGACAGGTCATCTTCTGTCTTTTCACCTAATTTTCCCCACCAACCATCTTGAATCTCTGGGGGATTGGGGTCATCATCAAGCAAACCTGTCAACACAAGTGCGATTGCTATGGAAACAGCAATGGGGATCACAAGACAACAGCAACATAATCCACGCTTCATTATTTCTGAAATGAAAATTTGGCATAAATTAAGTAAATAAGTAATAAATAAGTGGTATTTTGAAACATTAATTGCTATTATGAAGTGTAATAGGGCCAAGATCTTACTTGTCTGGTTGCCATTTTTAATGACTTCACATACAACCTTGCATAGCAACAACATCCATTATAAATAAACTTAAATCATAAAGAGATGCTACATATGTAATAGATTTAAAACTGTATGCTGAACCCCCCCCCCCCCCCTCCATGTCTGGCACGCCCACTGAAGCTGCTAAACGATAATTAATTACCCCTAGCAGCAGCAGTGGGCGTGACAGATATCTAATCCACTTATATTGATTGCAATTTAGCGAAAAATCCCTTCGGAGATAGATCGATCCACATTTTGTACTATAGGGTCTGGGAACGGTCACTAAGAGCAGTTTATTTGTACTGATTGCCCCAGACACTCCATGCAAGCCCTTCATGGAATTCCGAGGCAAAGACACAAATTCTTTGTCTCTTTCAGTTTGATCAACAGCTACTTGTGCACCTCTAACCTTCCCTGCTGAAAATACAATCACATATAATAGGTTGTCATTTGTCACAAGATCTCAATTAGTACCATGTACAGTTCCACAGTCGATCGATAAGGGCGGATCGATAATACTGGTTTAGATGCTGCTGCTGCACATGCGCAGACAATGGAGGCAGGTGCTTGCCACAACAGTACAACCTGACAACATGGTGAATGTTGCGGTGCAAAGGGCGAAAGGCATTTTGTGTGCTATTTTCATGTTTTTGAGCAGTTCTTTGGGTGCTGTCCTCATGATGGGCCCTGTTCTGCCGTTCATGTTATTAAAACCTGACGTATGTCGCCGGAAGATGGATGAATTGATCGGTTTGTGGGAGACATTGCCTGTGGTGAGATTATATCCCAGTTGATTGTATTTGTGTCTTTGATGCATCTGTTGGAAATAGAAAGCACCCCAAACCCCAAACTAACCCATAACAAGTTTCAGAGATTCTTGGAGTTGAGACTCACCTCTATCATTAGCATCCCACTGCCGCTTTAATATTTTTTGTAGTACTAATATTTACTCTTTGCACGTGACGTTAAACGCAGCCACTCGTCCCAGACATGTAGGTGTCACGGTCTTGGAGTGTCGTCGTGCTCTGGTCCCACTAAACACCAAAAAGCCACAACATAACGCTGCAAAATAGAAATGTAGTCTAAAGTCATCTTAAAGGCATATCAATTGTCTATTTTTTATCGTAAGATATGGTCTCATACTGTATCAAACTTACAGCTCTGAAGATCACCAAATCTACATGTTAAAAAAAAATACTGCTCTGACAGGGCCGTAGCCTGAGCAAAATGCCAGGGGGGGCAGTAAGCGGACACGAGGGGGCAAAGCCCCCGAGGGGGGAGGGGGTGTCCCCCTCCCATGGTGTGGAAATTTTTTAAAAACTGTATGTTTAATACTGCATTCTGGTGCATTTTAACTGTTATTTATTGGTCAATCAGAAGTCAGAAATTGTGGGTTCATTTTGCCATAAGTACAGTCACTTTTTCAACACAACACGCCAATTGGCCTGGGGGATAGCTCCCTCAGGGAGGGTGAGCTTTTTGGCATTATCCACAGCACAGGGCTGCAAATGCAATACAAAAAATCCCTGCCATTTTCTTGTGGGAAATCAAGGCAATGCGTGTGATGACAGGTGTTGTTTATTTGACTGGCCACACAGTTAAATTTAAACTAAAGTATTGAATTTAAAATGGAATCAAACATCGAATTCAAGTGCAGGGGCTGGTCAAGCAATAATTTGTCAGTTGGAGAAAATTGCTCTTTACCCCATGGAAGTTCATTAATTTTGGCAGGAAATTATTAAAGCTAAAAAATTATCATAATAATAATAAGTCAGATTTAAGAAAAAGTTCAAATTACACTCTGACATGCTTTTTATTGCTTTGATGTGTCAGATAAGGTCATGAATGAAAATAACTTCATTAGATATTTTAATGTACATGTACATGTTTACTTTACAGGCTGTGCTGGAAATAGTAATGGGGATGAAGATCAGGATTTATGGAGACCGGTTTATCCCTGGAGAAAGATGTATAATAGTTATGAACCACAGAACAAGACTGGACTGGATGTTCTTTTGGTCTTGCCTATTTCGTTATGAAGGTGGAACACGGCATGAAAAAATATCTTTGAAAAAAGGCATTGAAACATGTTCCAGGAACAGGTGAGAATAATGAATATATGATGTGTTTAGGTGTAACCGAGCCATTGCTATTATATTTTGTGTGGAGAACCTTGTACGTAGTTACTTCTTGGCAGATGCTAATTAAAGTAAATTGAGAATTTGTTATTAGTTGATATTTTTGTCGGATTTTGTAGAGAAATATTTTGGTGAATTTTTGTAGCTGTATGTGTTACATTTTGATTATTCTGTTTTCAGGTTGGGCAATGCAAAATGCAGCATACATATTTCTGGAAAGGAAATGGGAAACAGACAAAATATTACTTCAAAAAATGATAGGTTATTTTGCAGATTTAAAGCACAAAACACAGGTATGAATCAAAACAGAAGAAACCAAGCAGAAAAAAGACAACATCAGCTTTAAGATTTAGGTGCTGAAATTTAATTTGGCAGCTAGTACAGTTTGTAATGAATATGTTTTTACATATATCCAGATATTAGTGATAAAAATGATAAGAGATCTCAAGTAAAAATAAAACCAATAAAATGGGATTGACCTAAGCTCAATTACATTATTCACACATTTTTTTCCAGTTACTGATTTTTCCTGAAGGAACAGATCTAACTGCAAATACCAAAAACAAAAGTGATATTTTTGCCCAGAAAAACAACAAGAAGAGTTATGACTATGTTTTACATCCTAAAACAACGGGGTTTTCTTTTATAGCACAGGAAATGAGAAAAAGTGGGTAAAGTGGTATCTCGCTTACTTCGAGAAAAACTAATAATATATTACCAAAAAGCTTTATTCTTAACATATGAAAAGTACAATTGAATCATCAGTTGTGTATAGCCAGGATTTAGTAACATCTTTTTTTTTTTTTTTTGAGTGAACATTTAAAAGCCTTGGAGTGATGAAACAATATGTCAAATTTATTTGAGTAACTTTAAGTGTAAAATTATGTAACTAGTCTGTTTATTTCTAAGTATGAGAATTATGTTACTGATAACCACACCATGTTTATTTATAAGTATGAGAATTATGTTACTGATAACCACACCAGGGCATTGTGTCTAAAGAAAGGCAGAAAGAATTACTTTTTACTAGACTAAGTCTTTATTTTGGAACATATGACAAATGAAAAGGGATTAGATAATAACTTTGTTTTTTTTCCAGACAACGCATTGGATGCTATATATGATGTGACTGTGGGCTATCCTGACTCGATACCACAAACAGAACAAGCACTTCTTCATGGTAACCTTCCTAAAGAAGTCCATTTTTATTGCAAAAGGCACCCAGTAGTAACAATACCAATCACTGAAGAGGGTTTAGGTACATGGCTACAGAATCAATGGGAAAAGAAAGAAGAATGCCTTAAAAATTTTTATGAAGAGAAACAGTTTACAGGTGTTGAAGAGCTAAAATTCCATGACAATGAAATTAGATATTCATTATATTTTTATCTAACTTTCTGGGTGACAGCAACAATGACATTTGTTTTTCTAATTTTGTTTTCTCACATAGCCAGAATTTATGCCCTTGCAGTTGGTATATTTTATTTCTCAGTGGATAAGCTCTTTGGAGGAACTGGTATGTTACAAATAGAGATTCACAGGTGGTTACAAAAGGCATTGTGGAAAACGACTAAAAAAGAAAGCTGAAATATGTGTACGATTTGTATTACCCTTATCTTAGAGAGTATGAATAATGTATTTTCCTTGTTGAAAAAGGATTTGTAACTAGGCAGCAGTTTTATTTATTTTCATGGTGAACATGTGAATTAATAAAAATTTAATAAGAACAGAACCCAGTGATTACTTTAAATTATGGGGATTTTGGTGTCCTGCATTTATATTGCTGGAAAAAATTGATGCAGTTACTCATTTTAAATTGGTGAAAGCAAAAGCGAGGTCTGGATTAGTAGATCTGCTACAAAGACCTCATGTAATTAGTTTTCTGTGTTTGCATCTAACGAAAGAATGCTGTATTTCTTCACATTTCATAAACTGCAAGCCACACTCACAATTTTTATTACATTCATGTTCATTGCTGTCCATCAAATGTTGTGACACGTTCTTTGGGTCAACCACTTTCAATAGTAAGACAGATATTGGATATCAGGCTCCCGTTTCACAAAAAGGGAAAGAGATGATGACATGATCTATAGTCCAAAACTTTCGTCTTTCATTTTATATCACAGAGCAAATTGGCCATACAGACATTTTTATAAAAACTTTATTGAGATTAACCAGTAAATATGTAAATGAATACATGGTCTCTCTATCTGCATATATGTGCTCTCTTGTCTTGTGCATTTAAGTGGCAATTAAATGTCAGACTTTCATCATAGGGTACATTCACAATGAACTTATTCTTATAGCAAGTTCTTACTAACTCCAAAGGGACTCCTGCTGAATGCAATTAGATAAAAAAATTCTTGTTTCCAACGTACTTGTATAATCACCAGCTTTCCCTGTATTCTACTCAACTTCAGGATAATTGCATTCTGCAAGTCCTCATCGAGTTAGTATGCACTTGCTAGTACCACTAGTCACTGTGAACCAACCCATAGTGCTTCACTTTAAAAAATGTGAATATCACCTACTGTGAAAAGTATACAAGTACAATAAATAAACTAAAACACATACACCATTTTTTACTTTAAAACATATAAAAAAGCACATCAAATGAGAAAAGAAAAGATGTATCCCAGAAGTAATAATGGACTAAACACTAGCTACAACTGTAATACTTGATATAAAAATCTGAACATATCAAACTAATTTGGTAAAATGAACCAATTATGGCTATTGCAAAATGAAGTATAGCACCAAATAAAATGACATTAAATTGTAATTTCCAAATATTTGCATTTTTTAACAAAACTTTGATATTTAGGTCTAACTGCACGGAATTTTTCACTACCAATAGATATACACCGGGCTACCATTGATGTCATGTGTTGAAATACCTCCAAAGTATATTTTAACTACTTTGTTATATCAACATTTCTGTCACATCAAGTTTCAAACCTCGCACCATTCTGAAAAACATACTGTTTTCACGTATGCTAGAACTGTTAAATAACTTGACAGTCACTTGTCATAACATAGCAAAAATATACATCATTCATTTTAACTAACATAATAACAGCAACTGCTCTTTATTATACAGTTTTCGTGTAAATCTCATCTATGAAACATAAATACAAGTATGCTTCGTCCATGCAAAAGGAATACTGAATGCACAGAATTTTGTTGCAATAATAACAATACTCATAATTATGCAGAAAATACATTTTTCCATTAAAAACAACTTCATATATATATCTTCAAAGATTTCTTTTGAAGTAAAACTTATATCAGTTAATACAAACTGAAACTTTTACTTCTGGCATATGGAATGAACAGGAGATCTTTAATACTATAAAGCTGTATTTGCAGATACATGATCATAGCTTTCAAAGAAGTAAATTGTATGCTGTATTGGAAAATAACGGGGGATGTGTCAGTGGATAGAGTAGAAAACACCACAACACCAGTCCAATCACAAAGTTTGCCATGATCTTGTACCTCTGTGGAGGAGGGTACTGAAACACCATCCCAATGTCTGGAAATCCCATGTGATTACAGAAGGCATGTGCAACCACTGGAGCAACTAAACTACCTGGAAGGACGAGCCAGAAGATTGATAAACACAAATTAAAGCAGGCTAGATTATTATTTTTTTAATGTTGTGCATTATTTTTTTAAATTTATTTTTGGGCAGATGCCACTTGTATTGCTTAATTTCTCTTTCATGCATTTTTCATACATTTTTCAGAATTAATGATCCAAATTTCCAGGATTCTCAAATGAAGATACTAACCTGTGCGAATAAACAAGAAAGCTGAATAAGCACCAAATACTGTTGTGTAAGAAAACTGAAACACTGCAATACAGAACAAATGTAGATCTTCAAATAAAGTGTACTTTTGATTTTCATAAACGTATTCAAAAGGCTGCATACAAATTTTAATTTGTACTTTAAAAAGTTCAAAGATGAAGTAAATATTTGTAAGAATAGGGTTAATTAATTTGCAATGGACATTTAATACAACTTTCTTATCTCTTTATAAAAGTTAAATCACATCTTTTCCATACTTACATGACTGGAGAAAAGCTGTTTTAAGGTCAGCATGCTTGTTTCTAACTCTCTCCACCATGTGGTGAAAATGTGCTATAGAAATAAATATAACAAAAAATATAATATTCACTTCATCAGTCTAACATGTATATCAACATCCTAATAAACAAAAGATTTGGTACAAATGATGACAACACTTTTATCAACAAGCAATTAAATAAACACACACACACACACGACCCTACGTACATTCTTTTATTCAAAGTCAATAAAAGTATTTACTACAGAATACTTATCATATAAAAATACATACACATTGACCCCTCAGTTTTACTTACCAACCCCAAAAAATAGAGGAGCCAGAAACACTGCAGTGCCAGCACCGACAGAAGGGATGAGTAAAGGGATCATACAGGCTCTGAATATGAACTCTTCTGAAAATGGGGCCTAGGTAACAAAACTTCACATCAGTTATGGCATAGGAAAGGCTCTCATTACAAAAATATACAAACTAAGGCAATATTCTTAATATACTTTACCTATTACTCTTAATCAATTTTATTCAATTATACATTGCAAGGTGAGCACCAATAATTGTATTGTTTGTTTTGGTAGGACAGAAAGAGTTAAAACTTACAATAGGGACTTTTTACTCAAGTAACACAGTCACTATCCATTCCAACTGCCACAGAAAATACATCAATATAAACCTACCACAACATGATTTCTTAACCATATTAAGTTCTTCATATTAGCTTGCCAGTACTTGGGTTCTGGAAAAATAATTTGTTTTCAACCACAAATCGAATTGCACAAAAAAATAATCAGTATATCAATCTCTTTGATATACTGATTGATATATCAATCTCTTTGATCCTACAATCTTCATATGTCAAAATGACTTGTACTGTACTAAAATACCACAAAATCTTTTTCTTTCCAAAAAACATACCTAAATACAATTTAAGCACCCCATCCAAATAGAACAGTGTTAGTGGACCTAGAAACAAAACCTGAAAAACAAAAAGAAACCAATGGAAAGATATTTAAGATTTTATTTCTTTTCTACATCATTCACTGAATTAAAATGCTCCATATTTGTGACAAAAAATTACAATAATTTTAATAATAAATGGCAAAGCAAAGAATTTACCTACAAGGGCTATAAAATTTATTTACATTATCATATTTCAAGTTTCCCTTGTTTCAAAATAAGGTACTGCTTTCAAAAAGAACTGTTCAATAGCATCAATAGTCAATAGTTATATTTTATGTAAAAGCTCAGCAAACTTCTGAGTTGTAAATTTAGTGTTTGCCCATCCAAAGTATGAATAGATCACAAAACATATTTTTAAGCTTGCCCCTTTAAGCACAAACGCTGCCAGTAAGTCAGCTGCAGAACTAATGTTCCAGATGTGTACATGATAGAAAACCAGACTCCCCAACACTGTACGTAGCTTAACTTCAATATCGCATCCACACCATCCAGAAATAAACCAAATGAGTCACCAGACCAATAGATCATATGCTGGTCTTAATCAGCTATTTTAAACCGAAAGTAGACAATTAGGATCTCTGACTGGTACCAAAAATAGGAATAAATCTTGACCTTGGGTGAATGAGCCTTTAATGCTTATCTTCCCAATGCATTAATTACTGAACAAAGCAGATAGCATAGACTTAGTAAAAGAAAAGTAATTCCAAATGGAATTTTGTACTGCATTATTTATCTAAGGGAAAATAGTAATAATTTATGGAAGCAAATAAAGGCCCTTTATCTATAATCATGTTTCAACTTACAATAGTCAGAAACAGTGGTAAAACAGCTGCCATGATGGTTCCTGAGAATCTTACTCCTAGCCATGTCATGAGGCTGTGACCCTGATATAAGAAATTTAATTAAATTTAAAAAGTTTAAGTGTGATTAATTCAATGAAATATAACCTTTAACAGGTCATACACTATGCCAAATTGTTTATAACAGATATCAAATAATAAATCACCTTTCACTCACAAATATGAGTTCAAAATCACATTAATCTTTTGAATTCTTCTCTTCAGACATCTTACCACTAAAATAAAGAATTAAAATTAAACTTGGATTGTTTATATCTTAGTTAAGAAATATTATATGACAAAGGCTGTAACAATAACAAACGTATCTGCTGAGACCAAAATTTTTAAATATTAAGTGAACAGTTAAGGACTTATTAACTTTTAAAAATCTGATATATACATACCAGTGTTTCAGTTGGAGTGCTGAAATACCACACAAATCCAGGAGCTAAAGAGGAGAACAGCAACACACTGATACATCTTCTTTTTATTGTTGCAGGGTGATCTCTAACATAAAGTAATTAAAATAGATTAAATCAGTTTTAAATCCACATAATTTTCCAAACATTTATACCAAAAACAAGCACTGTTTATCAGCCAAATTTTAAATTTTACGCAGGAAAAGTTTAGTGAAAGCCATGTTATCACTTTCTAATGTACTTCCTGTTTGTGCTACACTCATTTCCTATCTTATACAAAAACCAGCAAACTAAGCAAACTAAGTCTTAGTCTAAGGTAAAAAGAATTAGTAAGGTACTGTACTTTTCTCCTAACAGCATAATCATAATAACAAAATTATTTTAATCATCAACAGGATACAGGTAAATTAAATCATTGCAACTTTTAATGCACCCCTTTCTTATTTTTATTAATAACATGAATCACATTACTGGAGGACTGTGAAATAGATCAGCACATATTGATATAATCCTAAATAAACTTTGCAAATGCCTTTTTAATCAAATCTGAATCAACCAGATGCTGTGCACTGGTATGATAATGGTACACAGCTGATGCAAACAAATGACCTACATACAGCATTGCTAAAGGGTTTCTAAATGAAACTTATGAGATTTGAAAGAATGTTTTTGTCAATGTATTCAGAAAATACAACAAGGGTAGGCATGATATTTTCGTATGAAATATAATAAAAACAAATAAAACAGGTCTACATACTCTTTTGGCATAAATACATGTATATCATCTCAGTTATCAAAATATTTTCCATGTAAATAGTGCACAGAAAGAAAAACAAGTAAAAGTGTGAAAAAATGTTATTTTTTTCATACAGTGCTTTAAGAGTAATTAAAACTACAACATATGTTCAACTATATATTGTTAATTAAATAAAGATATAAAATTAAAGAGGTAAACAATTGACAAAGTAAAGAACTGAGAAAAATAAACAGTTATTTCACTAAAAACGCAGCTTTTTTTCATCAAACGACTATCTGCTAATGTAAATATTCTCAAAATAAAGCCAAAAATTCCATTTTTTTTGGGGGGGGGGGGGGGGGGNNNNGGAGCTCAGTTTTGTGTGTAAAATGTCGTTGAAGACTGCCAAAGATGAACAATATCCAGTTTGTGATAATTAATCACCAATTACAAAAATAAACCAACTGAAATCAAGCCTGTAATTAAAAATAAGGAATGACAAGCAGGCAGTTGACGTGTAAGCATCACTGGTAAAAGAAAGACAGTCTAACCATTTCAAACAGGAAATGTTCGACACCGAGACAGTGATTCATCTGAATCATGCACTGCATTTTTGAAAACTTGAACAGCATCATCAGTTATTTTAAAATATAAATGTAGACCTACCTGTGTAATTTGTTATTCCATATATAGAGACTAGCAACGTAGCCTACAGCAAGTATAAAACACACCGATAATGCTTGCAATGTGTTCAACTCAAAAACAATGCCCGCCATGTTTGTGCTTTTTAGATCTCCAAAAATAAAAGAGTCGAGAGATAATCACTGAAAGTAGTTTTACGGAAAGTTGAATTGATTTGAGACAAGTTTTCTAGGATGATCAAGCTTTCATGGGATCACTTACTCTTAAGGTAACAAAAACATAACAATTTTAATGTATTTTTGATATTATTCATAATAGTTTATATGCTTTGTGCACAAACAATAATGAAAGCCTTTCATTACCAGTGCTATCGTTTTATCGAGTGACAGTTCCATTGCTAATAATCAACTCTCTTTTATCTTCATGTTCTAGATGTTGCTGGGTTGTTACAGTAGGCTTTCATCACATGTTCGTTTTTAAATGCCAGCAATAACAACAGCCAGAAAATGCATGAGTACTAAAATAAAGGAGAGGGACACATTACAGAAAGCAAAGAGAACCTGCATGTACATGTACGAGCATTGAAGCAAAACCATGTCTACTACTTCTGGGTCTTCTGTGATGACTAGAAGTAGAACTCGAAAGGCAGTCAATACAGAATTTGCTCAAGAGCCTAAAAGGCTTAAAGAACTTAAGAAACGAAATGATGACACTGGAATAAAAACTCGATCAAGAAAGGGGCGCAGTACATTGAATGCTCTTTCTGACAAGAAGAAGGAATCAAATAACATGCACAAGGTGAAATCTGGAACCAGAAGAAAATGTCCATTAAAAAATAGATCTAACAAGAAGAACAGTGTATTGGACACCTCATCTAATAAGAAAACCATGGCGAAAGATCAACAAAGGGTTATTAAATCCAAGGAATCCATACAGCCTTCAACAATTAAAGTTGGGGAGAAAAATACACGTGTGTGCACTTTATGTGGTTATGCCTCATCTCATAAACGTCACATGAAAGACCACATTGTCAGTGTTCATTGTAAAGCAAGGCCATTTGAATGTAGCCACTGTGTGTATGCATGCAAAGTGAAGTCCAATATTAAATCTCATTATCATAACATGCATAAATTACTGCCTACTTCGAAAGAGGCAGAGAAATGGGAAAAAATTGAAACAACATTTTATGGGGATCTTGTTGATAGATTATCAGAAGTGCAGCCTAAGGATTCAATCCGTGCTACTCCTGAGCCAGAGGATGCCAACACAGTTGATTCTGGTGAGAAAAGTGCATTAAATGAAGGCAGAGAGGATTTTGAATGTATCAAGTGTGACCACAAAGCAAAACATGAAGATGAGGTCATCATACATTACATATCAGAACACATGGAGAAGCACTTGTCTTGCCAAGAGTGCAGTGAATCATTCAGCATCATGCTGGATCTGTTGAAGCACTACAGTGAGTTGCATCCTGATGTTGTAATCCCACAGGTACAACAAGATACCTGGAGAAGTATCGATTCTAAAAATATAGACACTGCAAAAAATCTACCATGCTTTAAGAGTCCATCTTTGATTAGTAAAAAGAAATTAAAACGTACCAGATTCATGAAGCATAAACCAAGGAAAATATATGCGTGTATTCATTGTGAGTATATATCCTCCCACAAGAGCCATTATTTTGACCATGTGGAACAACACAATAAGACCTGTGATTTTTCTTGTGAAGAGTGTTCAAAACAGTTCAAAACAAACCATAACCTGCGACAGCATAGGCGTCTTGTGCATAACAAAGACAAAAAACAATGTCCTAAGTGCCTTGACCTTTTTTCCACTGTAGAGTTGGAAAACCACAGACAGAGTTGTATGGCTGAATCCAAAGGATGGGTTTGCTCAGTATGTAAGATGACTTTGCACAGTTGGTCTGCTCTCCGAAAACATAAACAGTCTCACAGCAAAGATGAGAAAGATGCAGCCTTGTCATGCAATGAATGCCAGCAGGTATTTGCCAATGTTCGCAACCTTCGCATGCATGTTGAAAACATACATCAGAAACTCAAGAGATTCAAATGTGAGTCTTGTGACAAGCAATTTTACTTGCAGAAAGATTATAAAATGCATATGAAACGACACCAAGGTGAGAAGAATCACACATGCTCAGACTGTACCAAGCAGTTTTACACTTTTCAAGAACTAAAACAACATAGACTTGTACACACTGGTGACAAACCTTACCCATGTTCATTTTGCAGAGAAAAATTTCGAGATCGTTCTACGAGGATGCGACATCAGCAACTTCATCAACCAGTAAAAACAATGCACACCTGTGTCACGTGCCAGCGCAGCTTTGCTCGCAAAGATAATTTAGCAGCTCACATGCGCAATGGAATATGTTCCAAAGGGTTGGCAAAAGGAAAACTGCTGTTAGAAGACGACAAGCAAAAGGAGACCACAGCAACTGCAGGCACAGAGGAAGGAACTCCAATGGAATCATTTTCTCTGACAATTCAGGGCCAAACAAGTGGAGAAAATGAAGAGCTGATAGGACAGGTGCTGCAGTTGTTGGCCAACTCCAATGTAGGAAATGGAGGAAATGTTCAAATACAGATAATTCCTCAAGAGGACGGTGCCCAGGAGAGATATGTGATCAGTGTTTGTACAGACAGTGTGCCTGGTGCAGAAGAACAGTTGCCACAAAATCCAGTTGTCATTGAGGAGCCTGTCCAGGCTGCAGTTGAGGACTCCACAGGGGATGGGCAGCTACAGGAGGTGGATGCTAACTTTGCTCCTCCATGTAATCCCAATACAGGGCTGAACATTCTCCTGAATGGAAATGAAGTTCAGAGCTTAATAGTGCTGCCACAGAATGAACCACCAGCAGCAATAGGGGATGTGGAATCGAGCATGCAGCAAACATATGATGTTGATAGTTCTGTAATTTCGTTGAACTCATTGGAAGTGGGTAATGCACATGTGGTTGATGAAATGTCCTAGGACACGAATTAATTTTTCACAGACTGTCATATAAAATTAATGTATTAATAAGTGGGGAAAAGTTAATTTAAAAACAATGAACAGTATTTTCATTGTTTGTAAAAATATTACAGACTTACAGAGATGACTATTGTTTTTAAAAGCACCAGATATTACTGCTAAGCTCTTGTCTGCTAATTATATAATATTCTGTAGTTTAAACCAACAATTGTTTATAATTTATCATTTTTATTGACATACCCAGTATGTAAATCAAAATAAATTGTTGAATCTCACTTTACTGAATCTCACTTTATTTTACAGAAATGTAACATTTCAATAATTTCACACAACTACTCTCTTAATGTGCATCTTTGATAGGGGTACATCATCGTATGTGAAACGGCAAATGATAAGATTCTAAGATATGACCCAGTTGTCATCTAGTGGGATTTCTTGTATCATAAGAGCAATCAGATAGACACTGTGGTAGTTGGGTTGGCCTAACTCTGCAGGGGGCACTCGCTTAGTGCAATCTGCTTAACTGAATGCAGCAAGTTGAAAATTAACAACCCCCTTGCTGCCCGAGGCAGCGTGTCAGACAATTAAGCCGAATGCTATGAAGAATTTAAGGACACGTTAGATAGTCAACACAGGGAATTATATCGGATATATAATTCCCTGGTCAACACAAGGATGCGTACACCAATGCTAGGAAAAATAAACCTTGGGTAAGCATACTGAATCAACACAAGGCAAGGTTTCCTAATGTGTATATTTCTCGTCCTGTAGAACCCATCCTTGATGTTGGCCATATTTTGTGCATTTGGAAATTTCACATAATCCCCAATCCTTGCTGCAAGAGCATTTGATACATGATGAATCGCATGCCAGGCAGTTTGCTGGGACACTTGCAAAGGGTCCCCAACAACATATTGGAAAGTGCCCGTTGCATAGTATTGCAGGGCTATCATTACCTGCTGACAATGTCCAATGGCATTGCTCAGCAGAGTTCCACAATTTCTAAAATTCTCCTGGTTATCCTTACACCTCGGAGGTATGAGTAGAAATGAGCTAAAATGATACTAGTGTTTTAGAAGATACTCGGACCTACTCTAACTTAAGCATGAAACTTAGAACAACTATACTAGGCTTAGAATGGTTTTATGGAATAGAGTTAGTATGCAACTAGAGATAGAATGAAGTTTAGCAACCAACTAGGGCTTAGAATGTTTGTATGTAATTGGCCCCAAGTTTGCAGTGTATCAGGTGAGATTCTAATTTAACACACAAGTGGCAAATGTGTTTGTTGTCCCAGCCATTTCAGATGGTTTCCTTTTCTGATAAAGCGCATCTTTTGACTTCCCAGCTTGACTCAGCTTGAGAAATGGCATAGGACTTGGATCAAATTTAGATTCAGGGGAGATATTTTCTGAGCAAAAAGGTTCTCGCAGGCCCTCCTTCCTATGTGTACGTGTACCAACACGAGTATCAAAAATCTCATTCTTTTTCGAGTGAAAACATTGTTCCAACAGTACCGTTTGCACCATTTGGTAAAATGCAAATTTTAAATTACATTAATTAACACGTCAACATCAATCACATTGAATTTCTTAAGATTTATGCCAGATGCTTCAGAACCACGTAGAAGTCTTTGCTACACAGTTTTGCTACAAGTAATTATAGTTCTTAGCTATTCAGAAATCTCTCACGTTTAGGACTACTTTTAAGTGTGCACTTGAAAAACGATATATACAAACAATTAGCTGAATTTTGTCTGTGGTTTTAATTCTTGACAGTAAACTATTCAGTATGGGAATGAAAACAAGGAGAAAAAAATGTCTTTTAAATTTTATTCCATTCGTACAACTATTTCTACATCACAACAACTATTTACACATTCAGATCTGGCTCTTCCAAATAGTTTAAAATAGCTATTTACATCTATTATGGATGGTACAAGTGGTGCCTGCAATGCTGACAACATATACTCAACATATACTGTCATAGGATTACTTATACTGAACAGATTCCAGAGATTCTTGTTTTTCAAAAACATTATTTGTATAATGACACAACCTTTATATGTAGTTTGCTCCAAGGCAACCGAATCTCTTAGTCTGACCATACATTTATTTAACTTTTTCAAAAGAAGTATTTGTCTAGTATGATTTTATTTAAAAATAATAAATACATGCTATGAAATTTGGCATGGCAAAACCTACTGCCTGCAGTATGAAAAGCCAAAATAAGCTGTCGTAATTTTTCTAACAAATGCACCTTTCTATAGGAAAAATGATACCTTAAATATAGTCAAGTTCCCCAAATGTGCATTAATAGTTCTTTTAAAAACATAACCATAGTAAGCAGTTTTATAAACAATATCTAAACCTAGGGTGATTAAGCTCAGTACCTTACTATAAAGATAACACAATTCAACAAAAACAGAAAAAAGATTGTCATCACAATATGCTTCTAAACAATACCATTTTCATTTCAAACTAATTTAGGAGTAAAAATTACAGAACTGAGTGCAAGGAAATAATTTTATTGACACTTAGACACATCCAAATCATTGAAAAACCAATTACTGTGCACCTTGAATGAGAATGGTTTGAGGTCCTGACATGTTACTTTTGCGCATTATATCCTTTTTTATATCCTACTAATAAATTAAAGGTTTAAACTGCAGTTGCAGTGCCTTGTTCTAAGGCAGCCAAGAGATTGCTCTTTAACCTTACAAACAGCCTGCCTTTTGTCCAAGGATTTTGGAGCTGTAATGGTTGATAATCGTCCCTAAGAATGCGCTCTCGAGCACCAATCACTGCAACAAGGCAAAACTCTTCCAACTGGTCTTCTGCATAATATGGCCCTTGCAGGCCCTTAGTTTTTACTGCCTTATTCAGTTGTTGAACCACCAAATTAATAACTTCCCTAGATGAAGTTTTAGGTGTTACATGCAACTTGACACTTGTGCCATCTGCAAGTCCTGTGTCATAGGCTGTGTAGACACGTAATATTCCTGGTTTGTTATTGTTCTGTGTGTTAATAAGTAGCTGTAAGTCATCACACCCCATGTCTACATCTCCCTGCTGCTGGCCAGTAGAGGGCACTGTTGCTGTCTCACTGCTGTGCAGGTCTGTACTGGACCCCTTATCACTATGGTAACCAGCATCACTACTAGTAGATTCGACATCTTTTCTGTTTGGCAATGGGGAGTCATTTGGGGAGGGTGGGGGTGCGTATAACACCCCTAGAGGTACCCCTCCTCGCACCCCTCTGTCCCTGGCATACGTTATCACTTCCATGGTCCATCTCATACTTTTCCATGCTTCATCAAGGATTTGCTGGAATTTTGTCAACTGCTCAATTCTTTCTTTGGCAACAGCTAGCTCTTCAGAGGAAAACGCCTGATTAAAAAAAGAAAAGATTTGTGGTATGAATACAATAATGCATTTGGAAATTTATTTTTAAATTTAGTACTAAGACCCACTAAATGTTGTGAATCTAAGGCTAAACTGCTAGGCCTACTTAGGTTTGCATGGAAAAATTACTAGTATCTCAAATGCAAAAGATAATTCACTTTGGCTAAATTAAAATGACCAATGATTTTTTCAAAAACTTATCACTGATTCGGCTGCTAGACAAACTCCATAAAAAGTGGCTATTTCAAATACACAGTGCTACTGTGGCTCACCTCTCTCTGAGCTTGTTGTGCCAAGCATGTGTCCATTTCTAGTATGGAAGACAGCCTGGAGTATCGGCTTATAAACTCATACTGGTAGCTACACATGTGTACTGGAAAGAAAAAATCAACATCTTGTCGTTGTGTCTTTACATGAAAACATTTCACAAATTCTTTGTTTGCAGTTTTAATTTTTAATTCCTGGGTTACCCTTATTGAATTTACACAAGGGCCATAAATTGGGCCTTCTTATTCTTGCAAGCTTGATTCATTTTGAAACTTCTTTCCCTTAATGAATGTCTTGCACTTGATGCTGATCCAGCAAAAGAAAAAAAAATGCCAGCAATAAATGTCAGGAAAAATTAATGTTGTCAGAAACATACAGATTGAGATGGGAGTCTAGTCAAAAGAAGAAAGTACGACTTACTCATTTCAAACACTTGCACTGGTAGAGCCAGGAAATCGGTCTTATCTGTCATTTCATCGTTGTGCCCTGGTACACTGCACACTGCCTCCACTGGGGGTAACAGCAGGATGAAACACACGTCAGGACTAAACTCAATCACCTCCATCTCAAACAGTCTGTGTGTCACCGCTTCATCATCACTGACACCTAGTGTTTCTAAAAGTCTTTTCGTTGATTCTACCAGCTGTCCACAGAAGTCTTGCTGGGCTTGGGTGGGGTCAGACTTGGCCTCATTTACTCCCAAGCTCTGAAGCCACTCCCATTCTTCTCTGCAGTAAGAAGGAGAATGGGATTAAAGAATATGATTAACAACAAAACTGCACACCTGTTTTACAGTTCATCAACTCCTTATTCAATTTAATTAACTTTTAAAAAATCACATTTATAGAGATCCCCCCGAAATAAAAACATACTAAAATAAATATATCTTCTTACCAAACGGTTGAAAACAATTATATGCCCAATCCTGTAAAACAATTCAAAAACTCTCCATATAAACTCTAAAAATATTATTTCAAAGTCTGTCTTTTTTCCAGTAAAATAATATTTTCTCTCAAGTAAATTTTTTATTTTTTTCACTCACTTGGACACATTTGGACAGTTCCTGATCTTGGTGTAAGGCAGGACATTGGGAGACTTCTCTGCCACCAGCATTCTGATGAGATCAACTGTGCTTTTTAACTTGAGGTAGCCCAGATAGAGACCCTTGGGAAGAACCATGGTGCTCAGCTGGTGATACAGGATCATTTCCTGAGATAAAGAACATCATCTTATGAGAGACACAGGAATTTGTATGGTTAGTTTCTTTTTTGTTTTTATAATAAAAGTTGACAAAAATAATAAAATACAAAATCAGCTAGGTAGTTTCGTGAAAGAAATATAGATATAAGTATGCAATTAATACCCAAGTTAATTGAAATATTTTTGATATGGAAACTTTTTAAGTGATAAAAAATAACAATAAATAAATAAATAAATAAATAAATAAATAAGGGAAAAAATGACCTGAAACATTTTGATAATTACATGATTTTTGAAATTTATGTTGAAAAAACTAATGAAAACCACCAAGAATTTTTAACAGAAATGCATGTATTAAAATAAAAGTACTCACATTGACCATGGTCATCAGAAGTTCTGGACACACCAGGCCTGCATCACTGACCGACATCCTCTTGTGCACCTTACTGAACGGCATCCACTTCATGGCGGCACTGTTCACTTGTTTTGGTTCTCGAATATTATTCACAGTCATCAGGACTATACTGCCATTGCTGTCCTTGATAGGCTTATAGAAAAACTGGCCCAGGTCCTGGATTCCTAAAGCAGTCTGAGAGAATGAAAAAAAAAAAAGATGATTGAAAAGATGTGTCTGAGGCAATGTTAAGTGAAAAGTTCCCTACCTTGAAAAGGTAATTACTCTCACCTTGACGCTTGAGATGTTTGGCAGGTCCAAGTAATTTTTCTTTTCTGTAAGTCTAATAAATCTCCTCGTTGGTAAAAGAACTTATCTTCATTTGCCAACTAGGAGCGGGTCTTCCTGCTTGAAATGATTGGTTATGACACTGTTTTGGTGGCCCTCCAACTTTTGATTGATAGCAGCAGCTATATGTTAACAGTGATACAATCTTAATGGGTGTAGGGACATTTATCTAATTATTTCCACCTACCTGCAACTGTGCCGCAGCCTGCAACAACTTGCTACGGAAATGGACCAAAGACGAACTGGAGATTTTTTCTATGTCTTGACGAAGAGACTTCACATCTTCCCATGTGCATGCAATCTGAAAGTGACACATATTTATTTAATTTTCAAATTACTTTAGGTAGGTGGTCTCATGTCCACCTCAATTTTCTCTTCCTAATTCAATTTCCTCTGGATTAAATACTGAGAAAGACATATCTGTGCCTGTCTTTACGTCTGTTAAAATTCTTCGAATTGTTTTTAGGAGAAAAAAAACAGATAAATCACTAAAATGTACTAAACTGACTCCCATCTCTGATAACAAAATAGGGGAAAAAACTTTTGAAAAAAAAAAAAAAAAACTAGCGATTCATGTACCTTCATCATCCAGTGAAAGTCAGAGTGAAGGCTGGCACTGGAGAAGTTCTCGTCCACCTCCACAATTGGTAAATGATCTTCATTTGTGACTAAAATTTTGTCTTCATTATAAACTAAACTTGCTAGATAAACTCCCCTGAAAAGATAGTAAAACAGCTCAAGGTCCGGAACTGATAGAACCTGATGCAGAAATGACCTAAAGACCTGCTTAACTACCCTGCAGGTAAAATGAGAACTGCAGCAATGAATTTTCCTGAAGTGTGCTGTAAAAATCAACCATTACAAACAGTGCTTCTCAGATTTTTCCTGCTGGTTTTCATTTTAACATCTAATTGATTTAACAGACTTATTGACGTGAATCTCAAGAGTTTGTTAAATGTCAACTTTAATTCCGTATACAAAGCTGAACCATACATACCTTTTTAAATTTTTCTGGAATTTAGGTGCTGAGGTAAACAAGTTTTTAATGCTTTTTCTCACTGTATTTTTTCTTTGATAACTTGGTGAGCCTGTTGGCTGATTGTCTGAAAGCATAAAAGCAATCAATCCATCAATCAATCAATCAAGCAATTTTAAAATTCACCAAACAAATATCACTAAAAACAATCTTAAGAGCATCAACAAATTCCAAGACTATTGACAAATATACACTAATAACTTTTGCAGTTATATAAATTAACTAATATTAAGACACTTAATACCGTTACATATTTCAAAGATTAATCAGCAGGTCTTGAAACCTCACCTTTTATTTCCGAGGCATCAGCTGGTCGGGATGCACGGACTTGAGAGAACAGATCATCCAGCAGTTGAAGTTTGCCCTCATTTCTGGGTTTCACTCCGCTCACCTCGCGCCAGCCTAAAGAAGAATGATTTCTACTTTATTGATAACTCCGATTTTAAAGTAAACAAATAAATAAATAAACAAATAAACAGAGAGAGGTGAATACCTGTAAAAAAACTGCAATATCAATTTCTTTTAAGTTGGGGTGGTAAAAAAGTATCTGTAGTGATGACCCTTAGAAAATGTTCTGAGTTTAGATGGATGACCAGATAGGTGTTTTAATTTGATTAAATTCTGTGAAAAAAGGAGGCAGCAGATAGCACTTTGTGTGTGTGTGTGTGTGTGTATGTGTGTGTGATTTGTGGTGCATGCTAAAGTGTAACCTGATATATTTTCCACACACAGGTGTAAGTGTCTTTCTGATTAACAAAAGAGAAATACTATTCATTTATGTTTTCCTCCAATGATTCCCATTAATACTTTAATTCCCTGAAGGTGCTTTTTCCAAAGATGACCTTCAAGCTAGTGACCAGCCCACCCTCAATTATAGCACCAATGACCCGCGATTCTTGGAAATGTCCATAAGGCACCCAGACAGACAGATAATTTACTACATCAAACCCAGAACCCTCTTCTAATTCAAACCTCACTGTCATGAAGGGACATCTGTTAAGTGGGAGATTTACTGGAAAAATCAATTATTTGGGGTTGCTCTTCCTCGTGGTGACTATTTACTATCAATTTCAATTTTCTACTAGGAGAGATCAGTGCCATTACTGCTCTAAGCTTGTCAGTTTATCTGGAACTGCATTTCAACAGAAAGGGGAAGCCATAAGAAACAATAGCTACTTCAACTGCGCTGTCTCTCTCACTTTATCTTATCCACACTGGAAAATAGATGTCATGTTTATTTTAATTTCTGCCTATTTATTTGATGTCTTTTTGATGTGCATATTTTTTTATTACGAGTGCCCATCCATCACACTCTCAATAATTTTTACCAAAACACGAAGCAACTTTTCAAGATACTTTTATGCCTTTCTGAGACAAGTATGATGGTGTGCACTACTTAAACATTAATCAAATACATACATAATATTTATGATTAGTGTTATATCAGTCAGTCTACGGGTTCATTCCCAAAGAAACTATTGTTTTATGTAGATCAATCCAACTCCGAGGGGAATCTTGCTAAATGCAATCAGATCCCAAATGAAACGCGTCATTAAATACCAGGTTAGTTCACAATTAAGGGATTTATAAGTCTGAGGTGCAGTCAGGTGTCTCTGCCCCCCACAGTTACAGACCTCAAAGTGATTTCAGCTCATAACCAGTCTGGGAGAAGACATAGAAATGATGATGCCAGGTGTATACTACTTGAAATCTGAGGGTTCCTTAAATACATGTTTTTAGTCATATATCATGTCATGAATATTTTAGACCACTTAGCTGGGCTTTTTCTGATATCATATCAAAAGCATGTGGAGTGACGTATTGGTATGTTTAAGTCAGGAAAGCTGATGTTGTATCTGATTCATTACATTAAGTGGATGAGTAAATAAATGTTAATGATACACTACAGGTGTAACAAGGTGTGTCACATTTCTCAGTTATCATATACCACATATATTAGACGATTTTTACAGCTTTTATGAAATCAAGTGGAAGTCTAATTTTGATACCTGCTAGCTAGATGATGATACCAAAACACTATGGTATGTAAAAGAGAAAATGAGAGATAAAATCACCCATCAAATACTAATGGTTTGATAGAAAATAGCAAAAACAAATAATATTAAAAAAAAAAAAAAAACCAAAAACTCAGTTCTTTTAAGATTTTTTGTTTCAGAACTGTAGTCAATAGACCTCAATATGCCTGTAACAATCCATCTCTTATGACAAAGCTTAGGGACATTTTAAAACGGTCAGATTCCAAAACTGATAAGAATGTATAACTTACTAGAAGGTATAGCATATGGAGGGCTGGTGGGTGTAGGAGGGCCCCATCCCTTGATATTCCATGCTGTAACCTGGACATAATACACATTGCCTTGCGTCAGGCCCGGGATGTCATACTCAAGATGGCGGACATCTTCTAAAATTGCTTCTCCCGCCAAGGGGCTGAATGTCTCAAAACAGCTCCACTCAACTGAAAACGAATTGGATAAAGTTTGATACTATATTTGTTTGTTGTGATGGATAGAGGATATAAAATATGTGATGGACCTATGACAGATGTTGTATGTTCCACTTCTTTGGCCACCATGCCCTGTTCAAACCCACTATATCAAAGTTGTCAGGGACATCCGTACTCTCCCATCTGTCTCCTTGGTACTCAATAAGTTCTCGAGTATGTTTACCTGATTTATTACTTGTATTTGGCACTTTTCCCCCAAAAGAATGGAAAAAGTTAAAACAATGCTCACTACTGACTATAATTTAATGTTTACATATAAAAAAAATTTACTTTACATGAACAAAAATACATATTTCTGTAGAAAAAAAATTTAAATTGTAAACTTGTTGCTGACCAAAGTTTAACAGTGATAAGTGAAAACAAAAGAACACAAAATCAATGTTCTTTTGGAAAAGATATTTAAGCTGTGGATCTCTCTTCCAAAGTAATGTTTCAAAAATTCTGTCTCTAGATTTTTCTTTTGAAAATTAAAAAAAAACAACTTTTTATGCATTGACCCTTCAGATAAAATGCAAATATAATAGTATTCAGCCTAGACCAACGGTATTTAATAAGATGCATCTGCTTTGATGCTACATCAATAAAAATCAGGAATTTTGTTACAAACAATTTAATTCTAATAACTCTGATTCCAAACATAAATCTGTAACTTAAAGCAAAAAGTAACAAATACAAAAATTTTTAACTTAATAAGCAGCCTTACCTTTATATCTGGTGACCACAGCGCCATTGTGCTGGTCAGGCTCATCGAACCTAACGGTCAAGGATTCTGCACTGGCCACACTGAGTCTGGCACTGGCTGGAGCATCGGGCACCCCTGGAGAAGGAGGTGGACAGTTGATACCATCATCATCATATATCGATACCTCATCTGAGGCAGAAATGTTCATCAAAATCTTGGTAGAAAGTTTACAGAGCTCACACAGCGATTCCTGTAGTAACATATTTGTTTGAACATCTAATCCTGGTACTGATAAAGTTGAAGTGGCTTCCTTCTAGACTAGATAATCGAGATAAAACTGTTCTACCAAAGTCTTTCAGTCTTATAAAGCTGTTGTTCTTCAGCTCTCATAGTAATCAAGACTATCCAATCTCCCTCTTTCATGAAGCTATTTTTATATGCCTGTCAGTTAACTACTGGCTTGACACATCCCAACTGAACTTCCAGGAAGCCGTTGTAAACTGGTGAGTGACTAAGCTTGCATTAATACTTATAACGGCTGTTAGAGCTGAACCAATAGTAAATCAATGGATATGACAAAAACTGCACCAGCAAAACTGATTGATTAAAACTGAGAAAAAATGTTCTCTAAAGACGAAGGAAAAAAAAACATCAATCAATACTAAGTCTCTAAAGATTTTTGTAAACAACTTTTCAATTTGAGTCTTGGTCAATCTATTTTTGGATTCTAATGTTTTTCAGTTTTTCAAAACATTTAAAAACTAAAAATAGGTATACATTGCAGTTTTTTCTTCTGGATTTGTTTACTCAGACAAGCTCTAGCCATATATTAAAACCTACTTGAAGAAACCACTGCACCAAATGACTCATGGCTATAAATTTTTCTATAGCCAAAGGTTCGGCTGATCACTTTTTATCTAAACAAGCAAGCCATTCACTTTCTAACCATTCTGGTTTATGCCAGGGATAGTGAGTAGTTTTGATTCTTGGACAAATATAACCTAAAAACATGTTACATCATTTCTTTGAGTTCCAGTTGGTTTCTCAAGTTTTCAACAATCTTTTCAGAGTAAATCCTCTGTTTGTATTCAGAGCTGTGCAAACTTGATGGAATGGAAGAAGAAAACCACTTGAAGATGTATTTCTGATCTAATATTTAGCATGTCTTGTGTTACTCATTTTTATACATTATCAAATTCCAAACATACAAAGGTTAATATAACCATTGTGCATTTCAGAAGCCTCAATTTATATAATCCATGGAGACCTGAACCTTACTAGCTAGCCATGGGCTATATTAAAGTAAAAATATCAGTAAAAATATTGCATACGTGAATGATTTATTTTTATTCAAGCTTCAAAAAAGGCAGACACAGCTTTTAGAGCTGTTAAAGGCCACTTTGGACAATGTCCATTTATGGTTTTTGTTTTATTTGTGCAAAGTGTAGATGGAAACAATACTTACTTGCATGCTCATAGCCAGCTTTCATTCTTTTCAAGAGCCTATGGCGGAACTCCCAGTGGCTTAATTCCCGATCATAATCCTGTGAGGAAATAAGAAATTCAATAAAGTTTAATCACATGCTACAAAATATTCATATTTTTCCACTTTCTTTTGTAAAATCCCAAACACTGAGAATCAAGGGATGCTGCTTAATTTGAGGAAATAAAAAATTGATTGAAAGTTTTTAAAATGAAGTAAACAAGTTTCAACAGCCACGTTTTAGTAAATGGTGGAAATCAATAAAATCCTTTTTAATAACATAAAAAAGGTGTTTGTCAGAAGATTTTAATATAAAATCCACTAGCAGTGCCAAATCTTAATCATGTTGTCAATGCTAAAGAAAGCACATGTGGGACAGAACTACTCAAAAGTTACCAGAAGGAAATAGCGAGTTTCATCTGCAGCGCTAGCACTTTCTAGGAAAGACCAAAATTATATTATACCCCAGATTTTGAGGTCCAAGCCAGAACAGCAAAAAATTCCAAGAAATCTGAAGTAATTTTAAATCCCCAATTCAATGAATAATTAGACAAAAGCAAGAGTAATTAGAAATCAATATGTCTACTAATTTTTGTGATTGGTCTGGCTATTTTATACATGTAATGGATGAGAAACAAGGGAGTTCAGTTTCACAGTATTTTAAATCAATCATCATCTTTAATGAAAATTAAGAAACGGCAATTCTGGCTTCTCCTGTTTTGAATTGTTTTTTCATTTGAAAGCAAGCAACTAGTGAAGCACACCAGAGAGTGCAACTGAGAACACCAATGAAAAATGACCACATCTTTTTGACCAGCACTGGTGCCTGACCATTCAATCTTCATCTCTCTGCCCTAACACACCAGCTGGTACACATGTTACATTCTAGGAAAAGTAAATTTTGTGTCAAGCCTCATTTTTCACTATAGAAAGCCTAATTGTACCAGTTGAATGACAATAAAATTGTTTTATCTATGGGAATATTACTTATTATCAAATATTCATTTCCTGATAATTTTTTTCTATAATTTATTGAGTGATAATGCTGTACAGTACAATCACTGCACCATGGAATTTTAAAAAGCTATGCCAACCATTGTTTGCTTTATAACAATTAGAGAGTTGTTTCTCACACCCTGTTTTTTTAATGCGTGTGTGTGTGCATGAATCATTACATAACTATTTATGCCGATGGGAATGATAATTTTATCAGGGTATCTATAATATCTTCCAAGAAAAAGAAAACATGTTGGATATACAAACGTCAATTGCCTCTTCCTGTGATTTCATAAACACAAATGCATCATACTAGTACAAAAAGCATGAGGACGCAATACTTTACCCAATTATTGGGCTGATGCTTTTGTTATTTGTATCTAATAAATCATCAGTAATTTCATCTTCTGAATCATAAGCATGTGAAATGGTTTGTAACACATCCCCGTATTGGAATTAGTAGATTATTGACATAAAAATCGCTATTGCTTAATTTCCATTGTACTTGCAAACTCATAATATCTCATCATCTGGTTAACATAATGGTTATACAAGAGTAAATACTGAAAATTAAAAATAATTTCTAATATGCTACTTAAAAGTGTATTTCCAGCCAATGCTTGGACTTAAAAAGTTTGTCTTTTGGTAAAGCTCCCTCTAAGCAGTCCAGCATTCCCAATGCAGGGAAGTGGGCATGGGCGCCTTAATGATCTATTGGATGACGTTAAATCCCACATAACCAGTGAACTAAAACAGCTCCTTAACACATAAAAACAAGACCCATTTCCGCAATTTTTCATTTCCCCCGGCCCCTATACAATCACATCTTCCAGGACTCACACTCTGTAGACCTACACCTGTGCCATTTATAAACAGGAAGCTTTACAGGTACCTCGTTCTTCAAACTCCAGTCATCATTCTTACCAATGAATGTGTCCTCTCCTCTCTACCTAGATATTTTGGAGACTGTTTAAGGTTTTTCCAAGTGATCTTTTTACTGGACATAGTCTTACAGTTGATCTCAGTCTTGATCACTGTATCAAAATTTTTCCCAGTGCCTCAATATTCTCATGGTTTCCATATTTCAATCAAAACAAAGTTTACAACAAATGGCCTTTTCTCTAAATTTGGTCTCCCTCTCTCTCCATGTGTGTATACTCTGTTTCCCTGACCCTGACTGAAAAATATTTATCTTTACTCACAACCTATTTATATACTCACTATTTTCCACACCTTTGTCAGTAGTCATTTTATTAAAGCAGTGAGGCACACACTGTGTACATGTCTCCCTCTGAATCCCATGTCTCCTACTCTTCTACCCAGAACTTGCCAACAGGTAAAATTACGGTCAAAGCTGAGTAAGACTAATTGTGTGTGTAGGTATTCTTTTGATAGTTACCTCGCGTCATTTGAGTCAACACTGAAGGTAGAACACAAAGGGTGTGTTGCCCCATTCCACTGAACCAATACCACATCAAACTTGGACTAAGGGATCAATGTGGGCTTCATTGGGTCTTTTCAAACAAACTCCTTACATATCATTAGTTTTTATCCAACTAGGATTTGCCTGGCGTTTATACTCAGATTCAGGCAACAAGGGCATTCAGACATCATTCATATTTGCCATCCTGTGTTTAAAGTGAGATTACGCACAGCAATGTACAACAAAGGGAAATCTAATGAAAATTTGATCACAAATTTATCACCTGCTTTTTTTAATTGGTAGTTCCTGGTGTCAAAACAAAATGCACTGAATATTTTAATTATTATTTTCCTACGTTTCCTTCATTCCCACTTTTATTTGCGTCAAAATTCAACAACTTACATAAACTGCACAATTTGCATAATCCTGTGATTAATATTTTGAATCAGCTAAATTCTTGAAAATCAAAACAAAAACTTTGGCAGTTTTCTTACCTGAATATGAGTCAATTCCTTGGATTTTTGAACATTATCTGGTCACAAACCTTGCACCAGGTTATCACCTTTTCAAAATGGGTCTTTTTGTACATTGTTTTTGCCACTTGAAAAAATAAAAGAGACAGAAGGGAGCTGATCTCATTCTTGTTCAATATCATTAGTGTCTGTACACCAGCAGTCAACATGAGTCACTTTTCATTCTATCACTGCATTGTTAATGTCATTGTCGCTGGCTATTGAACTGCACAAATGTCAGAATTGTTCACCTACACGTTTTAAACATTTTTCGCTAGAATTTCAACAGTCCTACACTCCAGTAGGATGAAGGCGGCTATCATCCACTTGTACACAGGATATCAATTAATTCTTACATCTTTCTTAATCTGTCCTTTCACACGTGTAAAGAACTGGACTTTCTACTACTAAGTTAATGGCCCTAATGTCATTTGTCATTTAACATTTGTCTCTTAACACCTGGACACAAAAGATTAAACTTCCTGTGTGGAATTTCCCCCAGGTGAGAGACAATTTTGTAATTGATGTCTTCTGACCATTAAGGCAGCTCCACCCAAAGCTGCCTTTTTTAACTTTTATAATTTATATACATAATTAGTTGTAAGGCTTTATGTCATTGAATGCTTATGTATAGTTAGAGTAACTGAAACCAAAGAATAGAAATGTTCTTCTGATGGCCAGACTACATAAAGGTTGGATTGAAATGGACCTCTAGGGACACCAATAAAATGTGGGGGTGGGGGGGTCCCCTCTGGATAAAATCTTATCTAGGTACACAAAAGTGTCATGGTAAAAGGTCCACTTTTTCAGAAAAAAAGAACCCCCCTTTTGAAATTGCTGGCTACAGGCCTAAAATTAATTTTACACGATATTATTATTATTGCTAAATGTTTCTAATTTGACCACAAAATTCACCAATGAAGAAAGAGCTTCACAGTAAAGATCTTTTGTGTTTGACAGAACATCCAATAAACCATCCATGGTGGTAGTGATATGTGGAAGATTTCATCCTCTGCTTGCCCTTTAAGCTTGTTTGCTACAGAGAAGACTAAGTGCCTCTAAACACCTCACCAAAAGATTCAACCGGATACTTAAAAACACATAGGCTAATACAATTTAGAGAACTTGTTTGTTCAAAATAAACTACCAATTATAAGGATATAACTTGTAAGGTGTCTTAGCTCATTGCCTCAACTTAACAGGATCCTTTAGTATTAATATGGTATTTTGATTTGAAAAAAATATTTTTGAACTAGATGAGATTAAAATATGAGATCTAAATACTGTTTGGAAGACAGCCATATTGTATTGTATTGTATTGTATTGTACTGTACTGTACTCCATTACAATGCATTGTACTATATTGCATTTTGTTTTGTATTCTTTTGTTTTTAAAGGGGGATATATTTTAGAAATTTTCTGTAGAATCTCAGAATTTCATACCTAGTATATCTCATTACAAAATCATAAATTTCTTTTTCCAAACATTTATCAGTGGTATCAGGGGATAACGGTCTTAAGTATCAAAAAAGAAATCTTAATCTTCATCAAATAAAGTTTTAGTTATTGTGCAAAGTGGGTCGTGTTTTAAGCATGATTATCAAAAACTACCACGTACNAGTATTAATATGGTATTTTGATTTGAAAAAAATATTTTTGAACTAGATGAGATTAAAATATGAGATCTAAATACTGTTTGGAAGACAGCCATATTGTATTGTATTGTATTGTATTGTACTGTACTGTACTCCATTACAATGCATTGTACTATATTGCATTTTGTTTTGTATTCTTTTGTTTTTAAAGGGGGATATATTTTAGAAATTTTCTGTAGAATCTCAGAATTTCATACCTAGTATATCTCATTACAAAATCATAAATTTCTTTTTCCAAACATTTATCAGTGGTATCAGGGGATAACGGTCTTAAGTATCAAAAAAGAAATCTTAATCTTCATCAAATAAAGTTTTAGTTATTGTGCAAAGTGGGTCGTGTTTTAAGCATGATTATCAAAAACTACCACTACTTTTTTTTTACCTTCCCAGACCCAATGTTCCCCCCACTGTTCACCACCATACTGGTCAGATCCACCACCTTCTTGTAAGTGTCATTCATCAACGTGTTCAGCTGGAGGGAACGGTTTTCTTGTAAAACTACAAAAAAAGATGAGAAAAAATATAGCTTAGCATTATTTTATTTTCACCTATATCAAACACAAAGAAAAAGAATAAGAAATCTTTTAATTTGGAATAAATCAAGTGCTTTCATTAACATTAAGGAAAATAAAACTGTTACCAATAAGTATAAATAAATTGGATAAAATGTTTAAAAAATACATACACCAATCTAAAAAGTAACAAAAAATCTTATATAATGATAAAACACACTTACATTTTGGGTTTTCTTTGGCACCAAGAGTTAGTAGCATCTTGGCCATTGGCACATGATTGGTCATCACAGCGACATCTAGTGGTGTCAATTCTTCTTCATTCATACTAAAATATAGTGTGTAAGAAAAACATTAGCTGGCTTCAGTGGTGATTAAGCATATTTTTTCATACTATAAATATAGATCCAATATAGAATGTTCTGAAATGGAAGGGATCACTTTTTTAACCAAGCCTTTGGAACAGTGGGATCTGACATTTTCCCTGCATGCTCTTTTAAATTTTTCATTTCTCATCCTCTTTTTGTTAAAATGAGGTGTATGTGTTTTTATAGAGTTAAAATTATAAAAACAAAAGATAAGATGCAATGTGCCACTTGATCTTTTTGTCATCAAAATATCTATTTAGAAAAAAAACTGAATGTACCTATCTTAGTTTGCATTTGGAGCGAAGTGTATAATAGCTTAGCTTAACTTAAATTGTACCAGACCAAGTGATAAAATTTCTAACCAAAAGAAGCCAATATCTGATCTTCCTCCTGTCCTACCCATTGCCATCTTAAACAATGTGAGTTAGGTGCTGTTAAATAGACCCCCAATATATTGTTAATAAAGTTCATAAAGGTTCTGCTCAGATAATATGTCCCATGTTACGCCATCACAACTGGACCAGAAATGGACCTCCACAGAAACCATTCAGGTACATCATGTATTTCATACATCTTCATAAAAGTGGAAAGGACTTAATCAGTGCAATAGCCCATTGCTAAGAGACTCTGCTCCATTAGTTTAGTTCAAGCAAACACTGGTCAGGAGTATTCAAATAAACATGTCTGTACAACTTGTTTCCTCCCATTTGCCCCATGTTTTTCAGAAAGAAATCAAAATTAATGCATCTGGTGGTTTTGGTGCCCTTGAATCACCTCAATATCTTTTCTCCTTCTATAAAGCAGACACGATGAGTGAGTGTGCATGGTGTAAGCCATTTCTTAATGCTTACCCCAGATAGTTCTTTGGATTCAACTAGTTCAAATTACACTTCTCATGCAAATTCTAAATACGATTTTATCAAAAGTTATTTATACTGAAGAAATGCACATATTTTTAACCCTATGAAGCAAAAAAAAAAAAAAAAAAAAATCCTTGAAAAGAAGGGATAATACTATGGCTTTATTTTTAAAAGAAAAACAATATAAAATCTATGAAAAGTGTAAAGATATACCGTGAAGGAAATGAGAGTGGAAATGAGCAAGGCAGTTCATTTCAAGAAGTAAATGGTAAAAGTATCATCATCCAAGCAGGTAGATTAAATTCCAAGAATTCTGGAAAAATCAATTTAGTATTCTTCATTCTTCAGCTCCCCCCCCCCCCTCGAAAAAATGGCCCATAAATGAGCCATACCTAATTACAAAGATATCCCATACTTCTGAATTGTAAACCTGCTTTATTTTTGAAACTGCAGGAATAGTAATGTATGAGTTTCATAGTTTTCAAGGTGGTGTGGATTTGAACGATTTGCATCATCTGGAATTAACACTAGTTTGATCAATGACAGGTGCATATCACCCAGGCCTTGTTGATTCTGAGCATCCTTGACAGAAAGTTTCAACTGGAAGGTGTCTTAAAGTGTAGTTTTACCATGTTTCACAAACCAAAGCATTCCACTGAGGTTAAAAAACAGATAAAAGATAGGATAACCATTACACTAATTTTTTTGTTAGTTTTTTTTTTTTATTATTTCAGTGGCACTTGTTAAACAAATGCCTTTACCTGGAAATCTCAGATGAAAGTTACCTTTTAAAAATATACCTAAATTTGTGCCCGTTTTTATTGAAAAAAAAACTGCTGGATCTATTTTGTAAGACTATCAATCAAATCCTTTTTTCATTCAAATTTCATGCCCTTCAGACCACCAGCACATATCACTAACATTCCTAATCCAGGGAAGCAACACTTCAACGTCCCAAAGGTTTTCTTAAGTACTTCAGTTAATTTTTTTCTTATCACGCACTAAATCATTTTCAGAACATTAAAAAATTCATAATTGTACTCTTACATACTTAGAATTATAGAAAATCCATTAAAATAAACCTTTTCTAGATTTTTACATAATAATTCACTTCAGAGAGAGAGAGAGAGAGAGAGAGAGAGAGAGAGAGAGAGAGAGAGAGAGAGAGAGAGAGAGAGAGAGAGAGAGGAGAGAGAGAGAGAGAGAGA